GTCTTAATGTCTTCTTGTCTACAATGAAATATAGGTTCGGATGTTAAAAGTTCCGCGAATATACAGCCAATAGCCCATATGTCTGAAATGGCAGAACACATAATTCGATACAATTTGTACGAGCTAAAATAATATAATGGCACACAATATATCTATAACACCGACCTATAGCTTTTGTGTAATGTCTGGCACCTAAAAGTAATTCTGGAGCTCTATACCAAAATGTTACTACAACAGGATCTAAATCTGCCAAAGGTTTAAGAGGAGCATTAAATAATCTAGCAAAGCCCATGTCGGCAATTTTCACACGTCCTCGCTCATTTCCTTCACCCATTACTAAAATATTTGCAGGTTTCTAAAACAAAGAAAATTGATTGCATTAGATATAATCGATAAATATAATAAAAATACATTTATAATGCTTGCAGACAATAATTACCAAATCTCTATGAAGGACCCAGTTGGAATGTAAATAATGGATACCATCTAAAATTTGATACAATAAAGATTTGACCATGCCTTTTGGTACCATTACTGGCTTTTTATTAGCCTTTGCTGCTCTGTGAAATTTAATTATATGCTGCAAATAAAATTAACATGCTGTTTGATATTTTTATCATACATTGCAAAATACTTTCATCTTTCATTAGAAATCTAAACATACCCATAAATCATGCTCGGCAAAGTCAAATAATAACCAAACTTTGCGGTCATTATGTGAGAGAAAGACACGAATAAGGGTAATGACATTGACATGTTTTAATTCCCTGAGTAACTATAACAGAATATTATAGGATTATAAATCAAACAATTCCTTTTGTCAAATGCAGACAAATGTTATTTAAGAGTAATGAGAAAACTTACAGCAATTTCTCGACATGCAGACATTGAAAGTCCTGTACCCTCGATTTGCTTAAGGCCAAAATCTTTTGTATCAGGCCGAGACTTTAATTCACTGTCCGGTACACTATTTACAAAATTTATATTTTTAATTAAATTTAGAAAATAGAGTATTCTTAACTACAATCATGATACATTTATAATAAAAATAAAAATATTAATTAAATATTCATTTTTAACAAATAATTGTTTAAACAAATTAATTACTTAAAAAAATTAATACCATGTGTAAAAATTAATACAGCTGAGAAATTAAAGCATAAAAAATTTCATCATTTGATACTAATACTACATTCATTATTTATAATTAAATTAAATTCAATGATTATACTAAAACACAATCTTTATATATTAGAATAAATATGGGACTAATTAAATTCAAGATAGCTATTTATATGAAAAAGAACTACAAAAAAAATTTATAGAAATTTCGGAGCAGAGCTAAACAATGAATTATATTATATAATCTGAGAAGATTGAAAATTATTGAACCATCGAATACAATCATTTAAATTCAATGATTATGTTAATCATAAATTTTAAATTATAGAGTCAATTAAATCCAAAATTAAAATGCAAAATTGAATGCAGTGAGCTAGGTACAAGATAAACAATAAATTAATCACTGTTCAAGAAATCTTAAAAAAAAAAAACGATCGATAGAACGAAGATGACAGGTATTTTAATGCAGAAAGAAACTCGACTCCGAAATATATTTATCTAAAAATTTCGGAGCAAATTGCAATTTGCACTATACAATCTGATAGAATTGAAGGTTCAAATTATGTTGAACATAACGTATTTACGAGAATGTTCGAGAAAGAAATAATATTAAGCGAGTTTTGCATTGCACTTTGGAACTAGGTTAGAGATACTAACCCTTCTTTCCTACGAGCTTTGTATACGTGTCCGTAAGTGCCTCTTCCGACCTTACATCCCTCGAACTCGAAGAGATCCTCGACCTTGGTGCGGTCTTTCTGCGTTTTCATCTTAAATTCATAATCCATCATGTTTAGCGTTATCAGTACGATTATCAACTATAAACAAACATCTTTAACATGCGTGTGCACACACACGAGCTCCGAAGCACACTACACACGCCACGATTGTCACGAATCGCGCGCGAGTCCGTCCGATCAAAATGTAACCGCATGATATGACGTTTTTTTTCTCACCCGATATAGGGTAATTAGATTTCTTCAAGTTGCTCGTACTGCTATGATGTACTTTTTAAGCAGAGCGATTTGCTAGCCAGTAAATGGTGAAAATTTACTATTTTGTCACTAAAATTATTAGTGATATATTTCTAGGCATTTACGAATATCTAGTAATTAATATCAGAGAGTTGATATATTGCAAATATTCAATGATAATAACCAATAGTGATGCAACATATGAACGCACAGAGAGACATAGGCTGATGGCAGAGAACTAGATGTCTGTCGTAGTCGTGGACGTAAAGTAAGACAGAGAAAAACGTAAGTCGTACAAGACCATTGTGACAATGGCCTTGTACGACTTACGTTTTTCTCTGTTTTACTTTACGTCCACGACTACGACAGACATCTAGTTCTCTGCCATCAGCCATAGTATAGATGCATGGACGTAAGAAATACTGGACAGAGTGTCCATGCTTCTCATTAAAATGTGTAAAAGTGTACGTCGCACATTTAATACGATTAATATACTACGTAATAAAATGTAATACACTAATGAAATAATTAAATATTATTTTTGAAAGCATGATAAAATCCAGGCAGCATACGCTTGTGTTTACATCGACATCCAAAGCACTGAGAGGTTAGGTTAGGTTAAGTTAGATCGAAAAAATTTATCGTTTAACAGTTGGCAGTCCTACGAGATAGGCTGTGCAGCACTGCGCGTATATAAAATAAATTTGAAATCGCTTCTAGCCTAACCATCTTCACGCGATCGACTTTATTTGAATTGCACGGCATCGCATCGAATTATGATGCGGCGCCGATTTGTTCGAACGTAATTCGGGACATCGCGATACTGTATAAGCGTCGAATGAGCACGAATTGTCACGCAAATATGATAAATCACATCTACTCACCGTTCACCGGCTGTTCCACAGGCCGCTCCACTCGCTCGCCTTGGGACGTCCCATTCCGATCTTAATGCACACGATATCATCAATGCGAACGCGCGACACTTTATTCGGCACTCCCGATATTCGCTCGCATCCGATAATCATCATCAAGGGCGCAAATAATGCGACGCGACTTCGCTCCATCTTCGCGATCGCGCTATCACTGAACTGTGAAAAATAGCTGTCGCGCACTTTCACCGACATATTATGAAAGTCGCGCGATCATCCTTGGACACTTTCGACGCTCTTTCACTCGCGATATTCGTTTAAAAACGGTTAAAAGACGCGAAAAATGCGGACGTACGACGATCCGTGTAACTGCGTATGACTCCGATTCACGTATGACGCGTATGACGTAGCGATCACGCGCCAACATGGCGGCCGAACCAGTGCGCACTGGTTCGGCCGCCATGTTGGCGCGTGACTGCACGTCACTGCTACGTCACAGCTACGTCATACGCGTCATACGCGTCATACGTGACTCGGAGTCATACGCAGTTACACGGATCGTCGTACGTCCGCATTTTTCGTGTCTTTTAACCGTTTTTAAACGAATATCGCGAGTGAACGAGCGTCGAAAGTGTCGAAGGATAATCGCGCGACTTTTATAGTGTGTCGATGGAAACGCGCGACAGCGATTTTTGACGATATTCAGTGATGGCGTCATCGCGAAGATGGAGCGAAGTCGCGTCGCGTTATTTGCGCCCTTGATGATGATTATCGGATGCGAGCGAATATCGGGAGTGCCGAATAAAGTGTCGCGCGTTCGCGTTGATGATATCGTGTGCATCAAGATCGGAATGGGATGTCCCGAGGCGAGCGAGTGGAGCGGCCTGTGGAACAGCCGGTGAACGGTGAGTAGATGTGATTTATCATATTTGCGTGACAATTCGTGCTCATTCGACGCTTATACAGCATCGCGATGTCCCGAATTACGTTCGAACAAATCGGCGCCACATCATAATTCGATGCGATGCCGTGCAATTCAAATAAAGTCGATCGCGTAAAGATGGTTAGGCTAGAAGCGATTTCAAATTTATTTTATATACACGCAGTGCTGCACAGCCTATCTCGTAGGGCTGCCAACTGTTAAGGTGCAATTTCATTGACGCTAAAAAGTAGCGTCAATGAAAAGGCCGCTTTACACACTGAAAAAGTTGAAACTGTGAGGTGCAATTTCATTGACGCTAAAAAGTAGCGTCACCATTGGTTGAACAAAGAAGCAACTACTTACTTCTTTGTCCAACCAATGGTTGACGCTACTTTTTAGCGTCAATGAAATTGCACCTTTGAACTTTATTTTATTGATGCCAAATCTAGAGAAAAGGTGCAATTTCATTGACGCTAAAAAGTAGCGTCAACAATTGGTTGAACAAAGAAGCAACTACTTACTTCTTTGTTCAACCAATGGTTGACGCTACTTTTTAGCGTCAATGAAATTGCACCTAAAGTCTATTTTAATTTGCCGCTGGTTTCTAGCGTCAATGAAATTGCACCTTAATTGATCAATTGCAACGTCAAATGAGACGCTCCCGATGCTGCCATATAAAGGTACCTTTAATGCCTCCAGCCAATCATCTCTCGCTATTTTATTTTGGCCGAAGCAGGAAATTGATTGGCCACCACGTGAGTCGTATATACGAAAAATTCGTAATGTATATACGCATGGAAAAATCAATCAATAATTCGTCTAGTACAAATAATATGGTCGCATTCGAAGGACTCAACCACTGATGTGATTAATTAATATTTTTTTATGGCTGTGTGTTTGTCTCTTTCCAACTTAAGCCCGTTCTACAATGAATCGTAAATCATAAGTCGTAGGCAAATTGACCAATCATGGTTGATTATTTTTGAAATAATCAACCATGATTGGTCAATTTGCCTACGACTTACGACTCATTGTAGAACGGGCCTTACTGTACTAGTGTAGCAGTGCAACTAAAAAGAACAAACCCATTGGAAGTTCTCTCTGACATCGATTAATCCAGTAAATAAATATTGATGTAGGAACAAATGTATTGCTTATATTCTGAGTTTAAACTGGATCGAAATAGAGCATAATATAAAAAATACGAGGAAAAAAATGCTGTAATTTTCGAATTTGTGTGAAGACAAAGATTAAGATATAATTTTAATTGTAATAAAAATTTAATAGAAATTACATACAAAATACGAAGAATAAAAGATGACAGATAAGGTGTGTTAATATGGTTATTATTGAAATATCGTCGATAAAAATTCGATAATCAATTTTTAATTCAGTTGTTTATTAAATGGAATGTTTTGATTGTTGTAATTTGAAGGTACAATTTTCGTGAGTGAAACGAGTGAAAAATTCTATAAAAATTACTAATTTTTTACTTGCTCTTGTCATCAGACAGTATAATAAAAAATTGCTATTAATCGCTATATAATACTTATGTTAATGAATAAAAATATTTAATAAAGATATATTATGACATGGAAATGTGTCATATTGATAAATATATGATATCGCTCAAACTTAAAAATATTATTAGTGAAATCTTTATTAACAATATTATATAACCAATTGTGTTTTCAATTTTTATATTCATATAATACAATTACTAAAAAGTAAAAATCTTGTTTTATTTTGTTTTACAGGAAATAGCTCGTATTCCTTTTTCTCAGGAACAGACCAAGCAAACGCGCCTCAGTATCGAAGATCGTGTTAAAATTGTAAAACGACTTGATAATGGAGAAAAAGGCACTGATCTAGCACGGGAATACAAGATATCCAGGTCAGCAATTACATTTATAAAAAAATCTAAGGAATATCTGATAAAACAAAGAAGTGCACTTATTATGTGCCAGGGACAAACATCTAAGAAAAGATGTACAGGTGTTGAAAATAGTCCCCTTGAGCAAGCTTTGTATGAATGGTTTCTCCAGAAGAAAAGTATAGGAGAATCTGTCACAGGAACAATGTTACAAGAGAAGGCAGTTGAGTTGAATAAAATGCTTAATGGTACCAGTAATTTTAAAGGCACCAATGGTTTTATATCCAAATTTAAAAAAAGGCACAGTATTGGATCTTCAACAGTTCATGGAGAGAAAGCTTCTGCAAGTAAAAATGCAAATACTTTTTGTCGAGAATTTATAAAATATATAATGGACAATAAAATACCATTAGATAAAGTTTATAATGCCAAAGAAACTGTACTCTATTGGAAAACGTTGCCGAGTAAAATTCTTACTAGTAATGAACATGAAGATCCTGATAAAGAATCAGAAAAAGACAAAGTCACATTAATAGTATGCACAAATGCGACAGGAAGTCATAAACTGCCTATGTTAATTGTTGGAGATGCATATAACTGTTTTGAGAATGTAAGATTATCATCAATTATTTATACAAGACAGAATAATGCATGTATGGATAAACAATTAATGTTGACATGGTATCAGGAAATTTTTTTACCAGAAATTGAAGCAGTTCATAACTCCAGTACCGAACAATGTCTTCTTCTACTTGAGAATGCTCCCAGTTATCCTTCATTAGAAGAACTTAACTCAATTAGTGAACAATGTCAAGTAATTTGTCTACCATCTAATGCGACTTCACTTATACCTATGGATCAAGGAGTTATTGAAAAACTGAAAAAGATATATAGAAAATATTTTCTAAGGGTAATACTTACAGCAGAAACTGCAGAAGATGTCCAAAAGTTGTTAAAATCACTTGACATGCTTAAATGCTGTCATTTAATAAGTGATGCTTGGGATGAAGTGGCAGAAGTCGTTATAAAGGATAGCTGGAAGAATATATTTCCTTTATACTTGGAAGAACAGCTCGATTCACGATTATTTTTGAACATGGTAAATAAAATTCCTGAATATGATAATATTACATTAGAAGAGATTAATTTATGGTTAAATAATGATAACAATAAACAAGAATGCCAATTGCTAAATCAAGAAGAATTAGATCAAGAATTAGATCAAGAATTAGATCAAGAATTGGCAGAACTCTCAGAACATCATGAAGATGCAGAAGTTAGTCAAATAGTGAATCAAGAGAATGAAGAAGAGGAAGAAAATCATGAATATTTAAATGATAATGATTCTACAAATGCTGTTACATCAAAAAGTGCTCTCGACGCGATTATTACATTTTTATTCTGGTATCAGACTCAAAATCAATGCTCGCTGGAAGATCGTCAATATATACGAAAATTTTGGAGACGTGCAATGGACGAAATTCCCCCAAAAGATAATTAATAGATATAATATATAAATATAATATATAAAATTGTATAGATTAAAAAATCTATAAAATAGATTAAAATAAATTATTAAAGTTTTTTCTATTGCTGCGATAAATAAAATTTTTATTTATTGAAGTACTGTAAAATTTTATTTTATAACTTTGAATATTTGTAACATTTACAGAAAGAATACATTCGAATATCCGATATGTTTCAGATGAGTTTTTTCAGCAAGAAATATACAAATGCAATATCACATGATTAGCTTGTCAAATAAAAAAATTTTCAGAACTCTGAAAAATTCTCTGTTCAATAGCCATATTATTTTTTGCTAGAAATTGGCGAGAATTTTTAAATTCTTTTACAAATTACTTTTTCATCATGTTCTTTAATTATTCTCTCTAGGATGAAATTCATGTGAAACGCTAGGGAATTATGCTAGGAATTTTCGCGCTAATCTCTCGCTCGGAAAAGCCGTAAATTGATTGGCTGTCGCGACCTGTGTGCGGAGCTTCGTGTTTCCGTGATAAATAAAAGAAAATTCCATCTAGAAATTCACGAACGTTGCGTGTCTCTATAGAATTCATCATTCGTGCAAAATGGTAACGTTGTGATCGCCGTTTTGCGAAAGAAGCGGGATCGAGCGGGATTTCTCTGCGAGTGTTTATTTCCAAGAAACATACGTGCGTCGAGCACACGTATCGACCGGTTGGTTTCACGATCACCAATTCCGGCGACCCTCTCGTGTTTGCCACCTCGTAATCGGCCCTCGTCTAACTGCGGTACCATGTCGGATGAAAAGAAGGTAACGCTTCGTAATCCCTAACCCTAACCGCCGACGATTATTTACAATGTTGGAGCGCGGGTAGCGCGTCTCCCGCGTGTCTCACAATCACTCGTCAATCGTCTTTTGTCCGCGCAGGAAACGAAAGCGGAATCGGAGCACATAAACCTGAAGGTGCTGGGGCAGGACAATGCGGTAGTTCAGTTTAAAATTAAGAAACACACACCTCTTCGTAAATTGATGAACGCGTACTGCGACCGTGTAGTAAGTATCCACCGATAATTTCAACTTTAATGGCCAAAACAGAAGTCTGTCAAACGTTTCGCTGAAAATTTTCAATATATGAACATTTATGTCTTTTATGACAATGCAGTAGAGCAACATTTATGTTTGGATATAATATAAATACACACTGAAGAGCAACAAGCAGTAATATTCTGCGATGTAACTTTTTTCTAATATGCTAATGATGGTTTTAAAATTTTTGAAATACCAGTTTTTTTCATCAGTAATATTATTTTTTAAAGAAATAATGGATAAGCTATTGTGCTTTTGAACAAAATATCGATATTATTATTGCTGATATTGTCTCGCAGGGTTTGGCAATAGCAGCAGTAAGATTTAGATTCGATGGACAGCCCATAAACGAACTAGATACACCTACGACGCTAGAAATGGAAGAGGGGGATACAATAGAGGTATATCAACAACAAACAGGTGGTTCGTGTTGAGACACAATATGTCGCGTTTACAAATGGACTAAATGAAATTTACTGTTCCAACAGTGTTTATTTTTGACAGAAAATATGATTTATTTTTGGTTTATGTTTATTCCGCTCTGCAAGATTGGGGACTTTATCATATCCCATAATATGCAGATTCATTCATATGTTGTAATTTAATTATCTTGTCTTTATTTCTTGATATTTGTTGAATATACTTGCTTGTTATTTAAAATAACAGTAGCCTGATATATTCTTTATCTAAAGACGCACATTATGCATTTATTTGAAGTCTTCAATTGTCAACCATATTTACTGCAAGTTTTTATTGACATGATATATTTTCAAGTACAATTGTCTACAATTTATTGTTAAAAATATGAACTTATGTTATTGTAGGGAGAAAGAATCGTACATTATTTAAAGAATACAGTCATTGTCATTGTAAAATCTATTAAAAATCGGAATTTTTCTTGCATGTTTCTCAATATTATAATAATTTAAGCTGTACTGAATAAATTCTCATTTTTTTTTTATATTTATAAAAGAGAGTGTACAGAAGAACTAATTATAGAATAATATGTGCATTTTTATTGATGAATGAATAAAAATTACATTCGCAGAGTTTCGATTTCCATCTGTGCTTCATGAAACCAAATTTTGTATCTGTAAAAAGACTTGTTATTTATAATTTCTACATGGCCCACGTTACTTTGTATATGAGCGAGAATAAACAGTGTGTTATCTTTTCTAAAAGAAAACCTTCCATTTTAGCGAGTAGTTTTATAATATTTTATAATATTCTTGAGTCATCACATATTTAGCAAAATATAAATACAAAGTAATTTATATTTTCTTTAAGAAAAAGATAAGCAGCATATATATTTTGTCAAGATTAACTATTATGTCAATGTATGCAAAAAAAATGTATCTTCTTTTGATATCTATTATATTTACTAATTGTAAGTTTTACAAAACTGTAAAGTATGGTATTTAAAATATGTTCTTGAAAGTACATTTTAATTAGGCATTAAACTGCTAACTACATATATAAAAATATGGAGTTTAAAATTTATGTATCTCATATGGTATAAAACATCAATTTTTGTAAAGCTATTTCTATGTATATATTTATAGTCTCTTGAAAAAATATATCTATAAATTTAAATTTAAGCAAAAACAATAATATAATATAAACAATAAAAATGTAGATTTAAAAATAATAAATATAAGCAGCATACATATGTTTTCAATGCAATGCCAATTATATTAAAGGAGATTGATCAACTATCGACTATTGTCTGAATAGGCCCATACAGAATTAAAATGTTAAATTTCAATAAGAGGTGAAATGAGCTTAAATAAATTGCTAATTCAAACTTTGAAAAATGAATTTATTACGAGTTTTAATAAATCACCCCTTCTTGTATCAAACTAATGTTATTTGTTTAACAAAAAAACGTGATAAATTAGATTTTTTTTTAACAAAAATATGATTTCATATTTTATTGACAGAAGATAATATATTTTTTTTAATAAAAATGATTTTTTTATATGCAATTCTGTTAATTTTTATTAATATGGATTTTTTTATTTACGGAATAAACAAATAAAAACAATAATAAAAAAGGTTTATTTGGCGATTGGACTTAATCGCTCATGTAAACCGTGCCTGAAGTAATTAACACGATTGATTAATCAGAGAGCTCTGTGTTCAGTTAGCCAATAAACGATGTGTCAAATTGAATAGCATCCATTTACTAGTTTCGCTTTAGGGATAAAGTTTCATAAACAATTCCCAGATGTCGCTTAAGTCAGTTTCTCTTTTCAGTTTCGTTTCTACTATTCGTGTAATCAGCATACCAGATAAATTCATCGAAATTGTAGTTTGGTTATTAGTTCGTTTCCGTTTGTTTCGCGATCGCATCGAATGGTCAGTTGCAATATTATTTATATAAACAAATTGATAGATTACGGGATTCATATGCGATCATTCGATTTCGAGTAGCTGATAAGAGAATCGACAATTTTCTACAAATTGTGACAATGACAGAGATATCTATACATGATAAAAAAAAGGCGCATCACATTAATTAATTTATTTACGTATATGATTACAGTGCATATAACAAAGATATTTCAAATTGATTGTTGAATCTTATTGAAAATAAAATGGGAGACTCCGAAGAGGAGAACGAGAAAGACTTGGTGTCTGACCTCAACATCACTGGTTTTCTCTTTGGCAACATTGATGATAATGGTCAGTTGGAGGATGATATCTTGGATCCCGAAGCAAAACAACACTTAGCTTCGCTCAGTCGCCTCGGTTTAAGCTCATTCATCAGTGAGATGATGTCTAATGACTGTACCACTGAGGAAAAAGAAAACAAAGTAGATAATAAGACAGAGGGTCAAAACACAACTGTAAATGATACCGATGTGGATTATTTCACAAAATCGCCTACTGCACTTGATTTTTCTGATATAAATGAATTAGCGGATGATATAAACGATGACGCCCGTTAGTACTCATGCTTGCATTTTATACAATTTATATATGTAATAGATATTTGTTTATAATGAACTTTTAAACTCATTAATATAATATATAGATTTTTTAATTAAAAAATTTAATTAATATAAGGAAGTAAATTATGAATATAATATTGCAATTTGTTTTTAGTAAAAAGTAATATAATTGATAAGAGATTAGACAAGGAGAATGCAGATTATGATGCTGATGATGAAGAGGTTATCAACAAGTCGGATACACAACTGATGCCACCTCCACCAATACCCGAGGAAAAAGAAGCTTTAACTGCAGAGGAAGCAGAGGCTGCGCGTCAACGTAAATTAGAGACGCCTTTAGCTTCTATGTTGCCTTCCAAGTATGCCAATATCGACGTTACTGAGTTATTTCCGGATTTTCGCACCAATAAGGTTCTCAGATTCTCGAGATTATTTGGTCCGGGCAAGCCGAGCAGTTTGCCACAAATATGGAGAGGTGTAAGAAAGCGACGTAAAAAGAAAAAGCATCATGATATCAAAGATTCCGACTCTGGATCTGATCAGGATGATAAAAAGCCTAAATTTAAGGTATATTTTAAGACATCTTTATGCATCTAATTTTATGCTCAAATAAAATTAAAAAATTTTTTCAGTATGATTAATTTTCCTTCAAGTTATACAAATCTATTTGTCTCAGGGTTGGATAATGCAGTACGGTCCCGAGCCTAGCGCGGAAGCATGTCGCTCAGATGACGAAAACAAGCTTCTATTACCGGTAGAAGACAAAGAACAGACTGGTAAGACAGGTGAAACCGGAGAGAACGGCGATATGGGACCCAAAGTGGCAGACTGGAGATTTGGACCAGCACAGTTGTGGTATGACATGTTGGAGGTTCCAGAAACTGGAGACGGATTCAACTACGGTTTTCAAACGAAGGATAAAGTGTGTGATTATTTTATCACGTTAATATTGGTTGATATTAAAATTAATGTGTGACAACGTATGTTTCTTAATATTGAATTTCCATCAGGCGGAAGACCAAGGGAGCGATAAATTGGAGACCAAGATTGAAGAATTTGCTGATGATGCGTTTTTGATGGTATCACAGTTACACTGGGAGGACGATGTTGTGTGGAATGGAGACGATATAAAGCATAAAGTAATTTTAATAATGAAACAATTGTTATCACGTATGCAATAATGCAGATAACATTTATTTCTTATTCCATAGGTAATGCAAAAATTAAATAGTAAGAATAACGCAGCTGGCTGGGTGCCCTCGAGCGGCAATAGAACTGCTCAAGCCTTTAGTCAACCAGGAAAAGGTGCTCCAGTTACAGTTGCGCCTAATGTCAGATTGGCTACTTCGCAAATCGCAACGCCGTTACACATGCAATCCCAGAAGAATAAAATAAATATGGGCAAGGGAAATCAACAACAACAACGTGAGGAAAATTACGATGATACCTGGTACTCGATATTTCCTGTGGAAAACGAGGAACTAGTTTACGGTTTATGGGAAGAAGAGGTGATCTGGGATCCGGAGAATATGAAGAAGATCCCGAAGCCGAAGATACTCACGTTAGATCCAAATGATGAAAATATAGTTTTAGGCATACCGGACGACATTGATCCTGCTCTTCTTCACAAGGATAACGGTCCGCAGCCTAAGGTAAAAATTCCTCACCCACATGTAAAAAAGAGCAAATTATTACTGGGCAAGGCGGGCGTCATCAATGTCCTCGAAGAAGATACACCTCCGCCGCCGCCCAAATCACCTGACAGGGATCCGTTTAACATATCAAACGACACGTATTACATGCCCAAATCGTCAGAAACTACATTGAGGCTGAAAGTCGGCGGCGGCAATTTAATACAGCATAGTACTCCGGTGGTGGAGTTACGTGTTCCTTTTGTACAAACACACATGGGTCCAATGCGATTGAGAAATTTTCATAGGCCGCCGTTGCGAAGATTCAGCCACGGTCCATTGGCTCATCCAGGTCCGCACAGCGTTCTACCTTTACTAAAGCACATTAAGAAGAAGGCTAAGCAACGAGAGCAAGAAAGAATCGCTTCCGGTGGTGGCGATGTGTTCTTTATGAGAACACCTGAAGACTTAACCGGTCGAGATGGGGAATTGGTGCTTGTCGAGTTCTCGGAAGAGCACCCGCCGCTCATGAACCAAGTCGGTATGTGCTCCAAAATGAAGAATTATTACAAGAGAAGAGCCGGTAAAGATCAAGGTCCGCAAACATATAAATATGGGGAAACGGCATACGCTCATACCAGTCCATTTCTGGGCATTCTTACCCCTGGTCAAAGTATCCAGGCGATCGAGAACAACATGTACAGAGCTCCAATTTACGAGCATAAAATTCCTGATACTGATTTCTTAGTTATAAGAACGAGGTATTGTGTTAATATACATATATACACGATTATATTATTTTTTCTTTTTTATGCTTGTCAAAGTTTTATATTATTTTAAATTATATTATTTTAAACTTTGTATTTTTACTTTTATTTTTATTTTTTGTTAGTCGTACATATTTTTTTTGCTTGTATATACTTATTTATTTGATTAGAGAGAATTATATCTATTTTTAATTAATCTTATAAATTTTTGCAGACAGCAATATTATGTTAGAGAGATGGACGCCTTGTTTGTTGCGGGACAAGAGTGCCCTTTGTACGAAGTACCGGGACCTAATTCAAAGAGAGCGAACAATTTCGTGCGCGATTTCCTGCAAGTGTTCATATATAGATTATTTTGGAAGTCGCGCGATACACCTCGACGGATTAAGATGGATGACATAAAGAAAGCTTTCCCGTCCCATAGCGAGAGCAGTATCAGGAAAAGATTAAAATTATGTGCAGACTTTAAAAGAACTGGTGCGTAACTGATATTGGATTGTGTGTGTGTGTGTGTGTGATTTTTTTATAACATAAATTATTGCATTCAATCAAATTTTTATAGAAGAAATGTTATATACATATTTTGTAGATTTTCTATAAACACACATATTAAAATAATTTATCTGGGAATTTTCTGATATAGGAATGGATTCCAACTGGTGGGTGATAAAACCAGACTTTAGATTGCCAACAGAGGAAGAAATTCGCGCCATGGTGTCGCCAGAGCAATGTTGTTCTTACTTCAGCATGATCGCGGCCGAGCAGCGTTTAAAAGACGCCGGATATGGGGAGAAATTCTTATTTACTCCGCAGGACGATGATGATGAAGATATGCAGCTTAAGATGGACGACGAGGTAAAGGTGGCACCATGGAACACGACGCGCGCTTACATACAGGCTATGAAAGGAAAATGCTTGCTACAATTGGCTGGTCCGGCAGATCCAACTGGTTGCGGTGAAGGCTTCTCTTATGTCAGAGTACCGAATAAACCAACTATTAGCAAGGTTTGTTTGAATAAACTTTGAAAAAATGCTTCACATTGTCATACGAAAGAAAAACGTGTTGAATTCAACAAAACTAAAGATATAATATTAATAGTCGTCAATAATTAACATCAATATCTCTTTAAGTAGTTTTCTTAATTTTATAATATTGCTATTTTTAAAAGAATTAAATAGATTAAAAATCTATTAACCAAAGAAGATGGGAATAAATCATAAAACCTTATTTTAACCAGGAGGAGCAAGAAGCTCAACCAAAGAGAACTGTAACTGGCACAGATGCGGATCTAAGGAGATTGTCTTTGAACAATGCGAAAGCATTGTTACGTAAGTTTGGCGTGCCCGAGGAAGAGATCAAGAAGCTATCGCGTTGGGAAGTAATCGATGTAGTACGAACTTTATCGACAGAGAAAGCGAAAGCCGGCGAAGAGGGTATGACAAAATTTTCTCGAGGCAATCGTTTCTCTATTGCCGAACATCAAGAGCGTTATAAAGAGGAATGCCAACGTATTTTCGATCTGCAAAATCGTGTACTGTCGTCGAACGAGGTACTGAGCACAGATGAAGGCGAGAGCTCGGAAGAAGATAGCTCGGACATCGAGGAAATGGGTAAGAACATTGAGAACATGCTATCGAATAAAAAGACCAGCACGCAGCTATCGTTGGAGCGAGAAGAACAACAGCGACACGAGCTACGAAAAATGCTGATGGGTGAAGCGCAGGAGCAAGAGAACAAGAAGGGCAAGGAAAATAAAAAGAAAGACGAGGAAGAAGACAGTCCGATTAACAATTTTAATGCACAGCAAGGTCGCGTATTGAAAATTTATCGTACGTTCCGCAATCCGGAGGGCAAAGAATACACACGAGTCGAATTGGTAAGGAAACCTGCCGTAATTGATACGTATCTCAAGATCCGCAACTCGAAGGACGAGACATTTATCAAGCAATTTGCCACGTTGGATGAGGCGCAAAAGGAGGAGATGAAGCGAGAGAAGCGTAGGCTGCAGGAACAATTGCGGCGGATCAAACGAAATCAGGAGAGGGAACGTATGTTGGGCGGACCGGCGATCGTGAACGGCAGTGTCAATAATTCGAATAACAACAATAATAGCAATAATAATATATTCGATCGCAGCAGCAACAACACTCCGACTACCACTTCCTCGACCAGTATCCTTCCGTTCTGTAATTTCCCATCTTCTTCCACTACCACTACCACTACACTTAAACATCCAAAACCGGAGGTATCACCTCCCAAGCGTAAAAAACCTAAACTTAAGCCAGATCTAAAACTCAAATGCGGTGCCTGCGGCAACGTCGGCCATATGCGCACCAATAAAGCCTGCCCACTTTACCAGAACAGCATCGCCACTGCACCGGTCAATGTCGCGATGACTGAAGAGCAGGAGGAAGAGATTGAAAAGCAGTTGAACACCGATGATCAGGATTTGGTAAATGTCGATGGTACCAAAGTGAAACTGTCGTCGAAATTGATCAAGGTAAATCAACGTTATTTTCAAATTTAACATTATCCACTAGATCTATATCGACATTTTTTTCTGAATAAGCATGATTCAAGAGAAAAATATAAAGAAGATTGTAAATGAATATTTGACTTATTTCAGCATGCTGAAGAGATGAAGAGACGTACACTGCTACTTAAAGTACCAAAGGAAGCAGTAAACTCGAAGAAACGCAGAAAACCGCCTACTGATGATCACTGTGATTACTTAAAACGCCATCAAAGACCAGTCAACAGGCGTAGGACTGATCCAGTTGTTGTAATGTCAACGATGTTGGAGAGTATTCTAAATGAAATGAGAGATCTGCCGGACGTGCAACCTTTCTTATTCCCAGTCAATGCAAAAGTAAATGTTATTTTAACTTATTACCAATACATTGATTAAAACGTCGAGGATAAACCTAAGAGTCTTGAAAAATTTTCCTCGCAAGATATATAAAATATAAAAAAAAGAATTAAACAAAAATCTTAAATTAAAATTTTTTTAATTATAACTATGAATTTATGTATATGCAAATTTAAATGTGTGACACTTAATTAGAAATATCTTTTTTAAAACTCATGTAAAATATTATCTATATTATTTGTCATCAGGCAGTTCCCGATTATCATAAAATTATACAACGACCTATGGATCTACAGACTATACGTGAGAATTTAAGATTAAAAAAATATCAAAGTAGAGAAGAGTTTTTGGCGGATGTTAATCAGATTGTGGAAAATTCAACTCTTTATAACGGAGCGAAAAGTTCGTTAACCGTGGCCGCTAAAAGAATGCTAGATACGTGCGTTGAGAGGCTCGGAGAAAAAGAGGATCGTTTAATGAGACTAGAGAAAGCCATCAATCCTCTTCTGGACGACGATGACCAAGTTGCCCTCACCTTCATTTTAGATAACGTTATTAACAACAAGTTGAAATCCATGACAGAGGTGTGGCCATTTATGAAACCTGTTAATAAAAAGTTAATAAAAGATTATTATAATATCGTAAAGAGGCCAATGGACCTAGAAACGATATCCAAAAAAGTTTCTGGTAAGAAGAAAATTAAATCTTGATCTATAATTTACATATAAAAAGAGAAGATACTTTGTATAAATTTTTATTTATTTTTTAAAAATTAATCTAAGTATCTACCTTTAAAATTCTTTTATTTTTAGCGCATAAATATCATAGCCGTCACGACTTTCTCAGGGATATTGAGCAGATTTTAGAAAATTGCGTGCTTTATAATGGGAAGGATTCTCATCTCACAAATAAGGCAGAATTACTAGTTAAAGTGTGTAAAGAAACATTAGATGAGGTACAAACATTTTTAAATATTAATTAAATATATAAAAATTATTAACAGTACAATAGAAATAAGAAATTATTGAAGCAAAAAGTTAGATTTCGCAGACGATGATAAACTTATTGTATTTCAGTACGATGAACATCTAACACAATTAGAAAACAATATATTGCTTGTGCAAAAACGTGCGATGGAGCAAGCGGATATAGATTCTTCGTGGCTTGGTCCGGACGATGAAAATTATACTATTGCAGAATCTGAATTCAGAAACGTAATATATATTACATTAATTTTTACATTTATCATTTTTATACTTTATGTTTATATAGCATATATTTTATTTATTTCATTACTAAACTTTTATTATGTGTTAATATGTAATTCTTAATTTGTTTTACTTTTTTTTAACATTGAATTTATCTTCAGAGTCAGACCAGTTCTCCAGAGAATCCATTTGGCAAGTCAAACATGGATGACTTTGATTACGTAGATGTAGAAGGAGACGAAATGGACGTTGATAGAAATTCGAAAAAGAAAGATGTTCTCGAAGAAGGTAAAATAGTATAATCTGAATTTTATTTTCTATCAATTTAGAAAGCTCTTTTTCTCTCTCTCTCTCTCTCTTTTGTTAAATATTTTTTCTTTTTCTTCTGCAGATCTTCAATTCTCTAGTGAAGATGAATTCGATGAAGTACCCTTTGTTACGGACGAACATTCCGGACAAAACGAAATGGAGACACTGGAGTTGAGCGAGGTCAGAGAGGAAGGTGTAGTACTAGCAGACGATGATAGCCAGCAAGCTGCCGAGGCGATGGTTCAATTAGGTAACGTCGGTTTTTATGTGGGCGAGCAACAGCTGCTTCAGCAAGGTAAATGCAAAAGATCGAGAAATAAGATTTCAAGTTCGATAATTGATTCTTTTATTATTTGATTCGCTAATCTATTATTTGAAGAAAATTTAGAATTTTTTTATACAGATGTAGATAATTCTAGAAAGAGGCAAATAATTACAAATATTTTTATATTGAGATTGAGTCTATATATGAGAAACTGTTGGGAAAATAAAACAGTTCTTCTCGGAGAAATAAATTTTTGAATTATTCGCTCGTTTTGAATCACAAGTTGTATTTGATCTTTTGCTAAATAAAATTTTGGTGTTGATGCTTACAGATGAAAGCATGGACGTTGATCCGAATTACGATCCATCGGATTTCTTGCTAGCTGGCTTGCCGGCTAGAGACGATAAAGGCGAAAATAAGATTCAAGATGATCTGGCTGTTTCCGAAAGCGACGATGACGCCGAGAACACCATTCCAAAGCAGGAGTCGCAACAGAACCAACAACAGCAGCAACAATTATCACAACCGGATGAGGATGTTGGCGGCGATTTGTGGTTCTAAATGCGCGTTTTGTTACTTTTTTGAAGCGATACGAGGGCTATATATCTAACAATGGGCAGATACATTCACACACACATGGTTACGGATTCTCGAATCCACAAGTTCATCTTGTATCATTGAAGAGAAGAGTTGTAGGATTTACTCTTCGTACATTATGTGCATATATTGTATAGAATCTTGTAAATATAAAATAAAAAATGTTTTTCTTTTCTATTTCAGTGTATTAACAATCTTGTACAATGTAGCAATATACATACTGCTATTTTATTATATAAGTAAAATCTGTCAAATGATGTTGAATCAACAAATTTTTTAAATTACGTTCTCTCTCTTTCTCTTGTCATGAGGAGAGAAATAATAAATCTTAATTTTATATTTTACTAAATAATGTTACTCGCTAACTCTATAATCAAATGTGAGTATTTAACACAATGAAAGCTGCAATTTCATGTGCAATCTCTATAATCCTACATAAAAAATTGAAAGTTAATTTTAACCTGCATAAAATATGCGCTTTTTAAATTGCACATTTTAATTTTTCATTATCTCTACATATCTTTCATATCATTCTTTTACATATCTTTTATATTCATGTAATTATTCTCGTAATGTTTCCATTTCTAATTTTCCTTATTTTATTTTCCAGGACTCGCCAGCTTTTATCGGCGGTATTTCCTAAGATTTTCTAGCAATTTTTTAATCTTAATTTTACGATGATCACCGATGAAGATCTCGCACGGAGAATGAATGAAATCTACCAGAATCTCTCGACTACTATTTCACCAACGCAGCAAAATAAGGTTCTGGACAAAATCGTAAGAATCGTAAAAAATGCGACGAGAGAACAACTGCAGTCCCATCATCCTGGAATACTCATTACGTGCGCATTGAAGACCCTGCTTCATTACGAGGATCTACTGCATACGGACAGGCTGTGCGAATGGAAACGTCGACGAAGGTTCAAGATTACCCGTGATTGCTATCATGCTCTGCTGAAAAGTTACCTGCCGGAAAGATCGCGGGATATCGTGGAGACAATCTTGGAGGCCGTCCATCGCGACCGGCTCTGGGAATTCGAGACCTTCTGCTTCGAGCTGATGTGCAGTATATTGAACATCAATCGAGCCAGCGGTGGACTGATCATCCACGCGATCTGGGACAAGTTATCGTCACCGGAGATCAGCGTCGAGGATGCTCGCGGCTTCGTCAGGGCACTATACGAGCTGTTAGACGTGTACGAGTGGCCGGCAACGCAAGACACAGTCGTAACAATAGAGAGGATGCTCGGTCTCTTTCACGCCAGTATAATCGCGCGTTTGACGCTAGCATCCGGCTTCTCCATCTCGGCGCCACACGCGAATCTCAAGAAGGGTCTGGAGGTTTGCCTGAGAAACACGATAAAGCATCTGCCGAACGACCAGCTACTGGTGATCGTGCAGCACATGTGCTCGTGGACAGTAGCCGCTGGTGCAACCGACGACTTTGTCCTCGAGTTCGGCAGTACTTTGGAATACGCTGCTTACACGCATCGGACGGGCCTTTACGAGCAAACTCTTACACCGACGATATTTCCGCTGCTGATGCGAATGGTAGGATCCGCCAGTCGGCTGACCAGTCTGCTGGGCAACCGGGTGTTGCAGTATCTGTTAGATCGCAAAGAGAACCGAGCGGTCTTCGACACGCCCAGGATCTTCTTTGAGCACACGCGTCTTAATCTGCGTGTCGCAGCCTACCGCGAGGAGGACCGATCGTTCTTCAAGCTGCATCGCGAATTACTGCACGACAGTCTGCTGAAGAGTCTGGCGAATCACTCGGATATACGGATGAATCTGGAGATGACGTATTGTACCATGTGTCTAATCGCCGTCGAGGTGCCATGTGGCTTCACGGCCGCCGCCTTGGTCTGCCTTGCCATGAATCTGCAAGAGATCGCCCTGCAGCGACACAGCGATCACCTGGAGAGAGCCTGCCACATGCACGCTACGGTTATCTCCATTATGTCGTTCATTTGTTGGATACACAAGGCTAAAGTTTTTTACAATTACGTAAACAGGATTGTAATGGAGAGAGCGCAATGGGCACCGCATCTAAATCCTCCTATCCAATCTCAGTATAACTTTGCTATTCATCACATTCTCTGGAACAAGCCGGAACTGTTCTTCGTTGACTGGGAAGCACGCTACGGCCTGTGGAAATGTTTCCGTCTAGATCATTCTGACATTAGCCATGACGTTACTCGTTTGACATGAACTACATCCATAAATATTGAATAAAGTAAAGGTTTTATAAATGAAAGAGGAGATTCATGGAACTGAAGATTCATAGATTTAATTATATACAATTGAATTTCACATTTAAAACATCTAATATAAATCTAAAGAATGTCATAAAGTCATCTAAGTTGAGGTTTGAATAAGGATGAAGATTTTCTAGTAATTTTTTAATTCAATATAAATAAACAAATGATTTGTTGCAATAATAGGATTATTTTTTTATGTTATGTATAATAGGAAGATTATTTTTTATATATTTTATTAAATATTAAAAAATAATAAATAATAAAAATTAAAAAATATAAAAAGTAAAAAAAATAATCTATTATTGAATGTGAGAAAAATTATCTTTCTATTATTGATGCTGATAAAAAAAGAAATGATCCTTCTATTATAAGTAATATATAAAAGAATGGTCTTTCTATTATTACGATAATCTGTTATATATGTATATATATATAGTCTTGTATTTTATTTTGTATCGAGGTATTAAAAAGTAGCGACGCCATTGCACGGGATCGCGCGCCGCCATCTCAGGGCGCGCCAGAGATCGCATGATTTATGGCGCACTGGGGTTTTGTAATTTCGCAAATAACAAAGTGACTCAGATCTGTCGCATATACGTGAAGCCGCTGTCGACGACTTTGCACCTCGCTGATGCCATTCGCGAGAGAATGCGAACGACGTTCCGACATTTTATGCTAATCAACGAGCAAGAATCATTTTATCCTGATTGCGATACAAAGAGAGTTTGACGGATCCTGAGATCGTGTTACGGAACCCCTCGTCGTCGCGATACAACGAAACTGATCGTTAAAAGTTAATTTCTTTGATTCGACGCACTTTCGAAAATTTCGCAAAATAGAAGGTAAATAAGTATTAGTTTGGCCGGTAACAACAATATTCTTTGTCAAACTATTCAAAATAAAAAAATAGTTATCTGTTAAAAAACATTTTATATTAAAGAATGGACTGGAATTTAACATATATATTTATGTGGAATATTTAGCATTATAATTTAACCGTGATTTAAAATTTATATTTATGTAACGATGATGGCTATATTATTAACGTAAGAATTAAATTAAAATGGTATCTGCCTAGTTAATTATAATAATCAACAATTATATTTGTAAGTCTAATGTCTCCAACTTCTAATTATATCAAATCTTTTTTATATAGAAACAATGTCTGATGAACAGTTCTCCTTGGTTTGGAACAGCTTTCCGAGAAACCTATCCTCAGGCTTGTACACTTTGTTGACAGATGAGCAACTTGTAGATGTTACACTAGCAGCTGAAGGCCAAATCTTACGAGCACACAAATTGATATTGTCAGTTTGTAGTACATATTTTAGAGATCTCTTCAAGGTACTGATTTGATAGCAACAGTTGTAATATCTTGACATGTCATCGTAGCTTCTTATTGATGTTTTGTATATACAGGTAAATTCTTGCAAACATCCTATTGTCATACTGAAAGATGTCAATTACCGAGACTTGTCAGCTATGCTACATTTTATGTATCAAGGAGAAGTTAATATAAAGCAAGAAGATATTGCCAGCTTTCTTAAGGTTGCAGAGACCCTCCAAATAAAAGGATTGACTACAGAATCGGATGAAGTATGTGTTATTATGTGGTTGAAATTATTTTGAAAATACAGATTATCTTATAAAAAATAGTAGCTTAAAAATAAAGATGAGAAGACATCTTTTTTTTCAAGCATTTTGTGTAAATTCTATCAAAACATTGAAAACATGCTCATGTTTTCATGAAATTGATTGCATTGTAGAAACTCGAAGATACTCTGGAAAGAAATGTTGAAGACTTTGAGGATCGTTTCTTTGATGTGGAAAAGGACAAAAGTGATCTCGGTAGCACAGACGAAACAAATGTTTCTGCTATCAGTAGACTAACACATCACATCACAGAGAAGGAGCAATCGACGGCAACGAGGCAGAATACTACAACAGAAAATTCGACAGGAGGAACTAGACAATTCACAGAACAGACGTCAAATGTCACTTGCCATCAGTATAATTGTATGGAAGGCGACTATAATCTCCCGGACACATTGACAACATTCAGTGAAACATGCAAAATCACGGGCGTACCGAGCAGAATGGAAGAGTCGCCGTTGGATTGCACGTCTGACGTGAATCAGCCTCAGGAAGCGAAACCCGAACCATTGGATTATAGGATGGATACGGACACGGAAGCCAGATACAAATCATATACGACAGAGAAAATACTCCATGGAGACTCCGAGGAAAATGCGCAACAGAAACAAGGTAGTGATCCCCCTTCTCCTCGTTCTGTCGACATCTCGTACTTTAAAGACGACGCTATCGGTAGATGACGTCGTCAAAACGTCAGCGAGCGTCCGGAGCTGAAACGCCCTTCGACAAAGAGAAAAGTTTGCTGTACCAGCGGTACCGGCGCCTCAAAGGTTTGATGCTCTCAAATGTTGCCACAGATGGATGTATACTTTGTTATTGGAAATCATTATCACGTGTTTGATTGTGATGCAAGTTCCTTAAGCACTTTTATACATATTTTTTAATTAACCCCCGGTATCCAGCCAATATCGACGGCTCTCAGATTTTATTATCATTCCTCCAACAAGTGATAATCTCTCCTTACAAATTTCTAACCATCTAACAAGAAATATTTGTGATGATGTGTTTATATCTTTTCATTGTACATTGAAATGTGATATAAATTGATTTGCTCGTTAAATTGCAACGCCGGGGGTTAAAATCAATCTACATAGTTTCTACGATCAATGCAATATCATGTTTTGCATGTTCACGCGAATGGGTGTTTCAAATCCGAGCAAGCGTTGTATCACGAATTCTATATATTCCGCATTCACCAGGCATCTCATTAGCCATGAATGTTTAGAGAAAGCAATGTTATCTTACAGATTATGCGCCAGACATGCAGTTAATTCCCTACAATCAGAATTCACAAAATCAGCCGTTCGGTACGTTTTACATCTTTACCGCATTATTCGCTTATTCACAATTTTAACTTATTCAGCTGCATGTTTGAGAAGAAAATTAATTAAGATCCATTTTTTTAATCCATTTCTTGGATGGAAAAATAATGCGTATAATTAGTTTTATATTTCATTGCTTGCAAATTGATTTCTTATCAAAAGATGTTTCACTTTTTTACTATTACATTTAACATAATATTGTGTGCACATAAAATAAACACGTTATCGTTTTGAATCAATTTCTTGAATGGGGAATAAAAGTACAAATTGTCATCGACTTTCTTTTTATCGATATTTTATCAACTTTTAATTTACGCAAAGGTATCTCATTCATATTGCATTTTTTCAGTGTCTCAAAAGAGTCGCATTTTATCGTGCACACTGCTTATATACACGATAATTCTTTTGTCGCTCTTTCTTCCCATTTCTCTTCGTACATTTACACACACACACACACACATATATATATACACATACTATCAAAAACATACATGGTTTCTCGCATTTTCTATATCTTTCAATAGCTTCATCGAGCAAAGGCTGCGCAGCATCTTCTTACATTCTTTAATTTTCAACAGATTTCAACAACGTGACGACGTTTCGAGGCGATTTCGCATACGACACGACGAATGCCAGCAGCAAAGGTCGACGTACCGTCAAGGGTATCCCAGGCAGCAGTCTGCCATTGGAGACGACGTTGCGCGTCGTCTCGGAGCTGGGTCCTACGCTGCGCATGGAGCGCGGCAAGGTAATACGCATGTACGCGTGCCCGTGGTGCCTACGTCACTTCACGCGCAAGGAGAATCTTAAACTCCATGTCCGTTATATACATGGTCCGCTTGAAAGTCTCACGTGTAAGCTTTGTGGCAATAAATATAAGAACAGTAATAGTCTGCGTGTACACTCCTACCTCTATCACAACGCCAAGCGTGATAAGCAGCACGGCAAGTCATTGACGGCCGGTGGTGACGACGGTGGCGGGGACGCGTAAAGAAACAGTCCTTTTCCGAGGAGAAGCTTTTGAGAAGAAGTTTCTTTTTTCTCTTTGTTTTTTTTTTTCTACGAACTCCCGCGTCGAGGGTATTGAATATTCGCGCATTGAGATGAGACGAGTATGAAATTAGCGAGCGCTGCGAAGAGTGGAATTTGTTATATTTATACCTATCTACCTACGCATTAATCCGGCACACAATCTTCTAGATACAGTACTAATAAGTACCGAGTATTTCTATACGTTGCTAGATAAGCGGAAGGTTTATAGAAATAAAGAACGCCTTATTGTGTATACACGTGCTTACAGACCTGTCTACTTGTCTTTCCATCCATTGTCCAGACCTCATCATGGAAACTTCTTTAGTTCACCAATTCTTTTTCATATGCTGAATGTATATATGATGAATATATGTAATGAGTACTTTATCTCTCCATTTTTATCGCCGTGTTACATAATTAAACAGAGAGCGATAATAATTCGCAACATGATTCGAGGTCCTTATCACACAGAGCTTCTGAGATTCAGAAGACTAAAAATTTAATTCTACAGTTTATGCAAATTGATAATTTCTTTTTCAGAGGAGATAATCTTTTTGAATTTAGAAATAAAATTGCAAATTAATAAAAAAATGTGCTAATTTCTAAAAAACATGTATCTGTGTATGTTATAATTAATCGATTAATGGTTTTAAAATTGCAATATATTATTTTTTACTGCAGAATTTTGCGATCTTATATCATCATATATATAATTGATAAAGATTTTTAAAAGAAGCACTCTAAGCAACATCAAAGTGGCAGTGAATATTGAAACGCTAATATCGATCATATGATAAATGACATTTGCGCATGTATAAACTTTTGTGAGATTTCTCCGAACAGATCTTTTATAAATAAAAGCTAAAAACGAGGTTCTATCTGTAAATTTTTTTGAATGATTTGTTTATATCTTTTGGACGTCTTCCCATTTTTTTACGAATATTACAAAAAGAATCTTTCTAGAGTCGACTAGAATGTTTTTTCGATGTTTACACGTTTCTACAATAATACATTCGCAGAATGAGAAATTACTCACTCATAAGAAAGAAATATCTGTTACAAAAAAGAAAAAAAGATGTGTGGAAAAATTGTCGAAATAAAACAAATAATTTGCACTTAAATAATATCAGATAAGTTTGTCAGAAAATTAGAAAAATGTTACTAGAAATGAATCCAAGTTGAAATTTTATATTATGAAAAAAGAAAGCAACAGAAGAAACAAGATATGTTATTTTATTTGATTGTTTTTACTTTTGCTCATTTTTATATGCTTTATCTCAGAACAGGAACGTTTGCATCAAGAGAAAGAATGTAAGCAGGTTCTGATAAAATTGAATGAATTAAAAGAAAGAATTTCCACTTTGAAAAAGGAACTTTCCAATTATGAGGAAAGAAGAAAGATCAAAGTTAACGAATTTCAATTGCTGTAAACAAAATTTCATCAGAGATTATGATAGCTAAACTAAAAAATATGACTACTACTAACAGGTTTATATCTCGATTAAAATGTAAGAGCAGAATTATAAAGTTGCAATGAGAGAAATGGTCTTTTTAATATTTTGTTTTAGAGACAGTAATAAAAAAAAATCTGACAGTGAAAAATGAAAAATGCCTCACAAGTCATAAAGAGGCATTACAAAATAAAATTACTTATCAATTATATTCATCTGTATTTCAAAGAGTGAGTAGAATATTTTCTTTATTTTAATCTTAAATTTTAATCTTAAATTTGATGTATGTTTAATAATATGTCTTATAATATAGTATACATATATGTATATATATGACAACTTGTATTATCAAATGTGTTTTGCTTTTTAGGAGCCATTGAGTACAAACAATATGCCACCTGCAATATTTTCAAATAGGGTGCATATCAATAAAAAGTTACCATCTATGTTAAATTGCACAGCGCAACATATTAGTAAGTATACTAATGTTCAACACATTAAGTAAACTTAATGTTCAAAAGCTTATGTACATAACTGCTTGCAGAATATAAAAATGTATGTGCATATGTTATGTATATTATAATTTATATGTTTAACTAATAGAAATAATATTAATTAATATGAATATTTTGCCACATTATATATAATTTAGAAAACTTAGAGAGCATAATGATTGCCAAGATGAGTTTGATGATTTGGGGGATAAATGAATATTTTGATTGTTTTTTTTTCATTAGAAAAGTGAGAAGAATGATGTATATTCTCTCATACAATCGTTAAGTAAAATAAAATTTTCTTTTAATAGGAAAATTTCTTCTTTAAGTACAATAATTTTTTGATAAATTGTAATGAATCTTTAAAAATATACGGGTATATTACTAATTGCATATGTAGTAAAATTAAATTATGATACAGAAACTTAATTTGCGGTGGCATTGATAATACATGGCGGCGTGAAACGCACGTAACGTATGGTATTCCAGATATTGACGTATGTGGAAGATAATGTGATTGCTATGCCAATCGTCACTATAAAACAGCCGAGATAATTAATCACCCTCTCGAGAACCCATAACTTTTTCTTCTTCGGAGTCGTTTCCGCAATCTCTTGTTGCAGATCATTTGTAGATTTTGTAGTTCGACTTGTAGTTGGCTCCGCTGCATCAATGAGAAGCGGCTGATCCTCTCGATGAGTAGTCATCATCGGAATAGTATCTTTTTTCTTTCCTTTGTGTTCGTAGCAATCGACACATTCGCTCGAGCATGAATTCATTTCGTCGTCCAAGTCATCAAAATAGAGATACGTGTAGCTGTTGTTAAAAATTTAATATCAAAATATTGAAGTATGAATTACATATGTATGAATTTAAAAGAGAGTTTAGAAAAATGAATTTTTTTCAAATTATATATTAAAACTATATCTAAATAAATATGCATTTATTTTTGTTTTTAATTTTAATTTTTTAATTTAAATATAGTTCTGTCTGCAACTTTATACGTACCTGCGAGGATTATTAGTGGCACTCAGGAAACCGTAATAAATCGAACGCGAATGAGCTCTGGAATCCGTCGAGCATTGCTCTTCGTTGTCAAGCCTTTTGCGAGAACCCAAATAAATCTTTTCTTCGCTGGTTAATGTTTGAGTCGACCTGTCTTTTAAAATCAAGATTCGGCTGTATATGAGAGGAGGTAACACGAAGACCAACGATCCAGTTAATGATCCACCGATGAGAGTCATAACGATATCGAATCGTGATACCGATTCACCCACGGCTACACTAAGTAAAACCACCGCTGATCTCATGACGCATCGTTTCCATCCAAACGCTACAAGAATACAATGTTGGAATTATTCAATCAATTAATTAATTGTAAATTATTAATTCATTCTTCAATACAAATTAATCTTGTCTATTACTTCTCCGCACATTCCAGTGATCTTCCAGATGCTGGAAGAGCGCCGAGTAACCGATTACGCTGGAGAAACATAATTGAAGAGCAGCTAGGAGAACAGCGATGTCGGCAACTGATCCTGATGGCACAACTTCGAGAATATTGGCCGTTGTATTACTACCGTACTTCCAGATAGCAAGGCAAACGGTAACGGCGAATAAAGATGCGCTTGCTGAAAAGAAAGAGTTAATGTAAAAAAGAATAGCAGACAGATTTTGCGAAAATTGGATGTATACTGTGGGTAAGAAAAATTATTTAGATATTGGAAAATCAATAGTCTTGAATAGTGATTCGATATGTCAAATTATATTGAAAAAGTAAATATCTTTGAGAAAAATAATATTTTCTTTCCCCATATACGATTTTCTTAATAATTACAAAGATAAAATTCGAAAAAATAATATTCTCTTTTTTCATCTTTTACTTAAGAAAGAGAAAAATATGGCTCTATCGATGTCTCGCGGCTGACGCATATCAACTTGTATCGTCATTAATGTTGGATGCACGTCGAATTGAAAGGCCAGCATGCCGTATCTGAAAGTTCATTTGAATTGTTAATTTTTTTAAATTAATCAATTGAATTCAATTTCATGCGAAAACAAAAGTAGACATTTATATAATCTAAATACGCATTATTTTATATAATTATATTTAAGACAGAACGTGCGTATACCCGGAAATAAATTTATCCCACGTCGGTGAAGTGACTACTGGTGCAAAAGATGATGTTCGATCGTCAGTTATAATACTCCACCAAATTAATATTGCTGTTAAAATAACCGTAATACTGGAGCACGTTGCCACCCATCTATAAAATGATTTAAAAATAGTATTATTTACAATAATTATTATGATATAGGAAAAAGTTTATCTCACTTCATGTCTCGTGGACTGCCCAGCCACATCAATGGGCAAAGTAAAACACCGACTATTAGCAGCCAATAACAGAAAGAGAGATCGAAATGCTGTCCTGATATTTTGAAACCGAATAGATGCAGATTTTGCGAAGCTGAAGGGCAAATTGCGTTTAATAAAACATATATTTTATATTAACAGGATATATACGTGATTATATATTTTATACTAACAGGATATATACATTATTAAAAGAAGCATGATACTAAAAAAAATGCTATTTTTATTCTGCATAAAGCATAAAGGATATACTGAAGATGATGTAAATGGCGCAAAATAAATTTTAAAACGAGACAAAAAAATTTTGCTTCTTCTGTTAGCGTAATGCAAGATATTTACTATTTACCTACCAACTAGCAAATTCGGAATTCCACAACCGAAAACTGTCAAATCTAAAAGCAGAGTGACGATGGATCGTGCGCGTGGTCCCATTGTCAATTCCGTCACAGCTGCGAGAGGGTAGCTGTAATTTTATCGAGATGTGATATCTACATTTTGTAATGTATTCTCGTTAGAGAATGTCTGAAAAATCTAAAATTTGTGATGTTCATTAGACATATTTTAAACGTATTTCACAATTTTAGAAATACCGATTTTTTCGTGAAATTTGTGGATCCAAAGTACTCGCGATGATCCATGATTTTCCCAGAAGAATAGCCGTATAAATTTGCAAACTGAAGACAATGAGCACCAGAGGAATTCCATACAGTCCTAATATACATCATACATTTTTTATTAACATATACATTGTTGAAATTTTACAATATTTTTTACATATAAAAATTGTAGCAATCTATCGATCTGTATAATCAGAATATATAAGATACAGAGAATATTAATAAAATATGTGCTGGCGTTTCTTTATTAATTTTTTTATTTTTTTTATAATTTTATTTTTTTTATAATTTTTTTATAATTTTATTTTATAATTTTATATTTTTTTTATAATTTTATTATTTTTTTACTAGCATATGCATAGAAATTAATAATTATATAATTCGATATTTTTTATTATTTAATTTCTTCATGTATAATAACACTGCAAATGTATACACAATCTATATAAATGTTTATTCTCTTTATAAGCATATATTTTTTTATATTTAACTCTTAACTTAATAGATATCTGTAATTTTTAACTAGAATCGCTCGATGTGTTTTTCCTTTCTCGTAAAATATCTTGTAGTCGTCTTTTTTTCGATGAATTTAATTACAATTTCAACGCAATCTTTTTTTATGAAAAGTAGCTCACCACATTGGACGATTGAGCGCGGTAACGCGATTATCGGGAACACGCCGAAAATGTCGACAATGCACAGAGTGGCGAAGAATAGCGATAATCCCGAATTCGCATCCCTATAGCACAACGGAATATTCTCGCGGGTCATACTGCGGAGCCTCTCACTGCGATACGTTCATCGTGATGAGAATTACCAGGCCGCAGTGCGCAACACTATGGTAACTCGATATGCCAAATCGAGTACGGATCGGCTTACCACCAGGTGCGAGAGCCGCTAGGAAGACCTACAATATATGTAACTTTCGAGTTGAGCAAGCTGTTGCAAAGTAAATGATAGTTCACTTAAAACACAAAGTTTCGCGAGCGCCTTAGTTAACATCTTCCAATATCTGTCAATATATTATATATGTGACTTATAAATTTTTATTGTAAAAATAAATCGTCAATATATAATTTTAAGATTATATCAAGAATTATAATAATAAAATGAGATATAAATCGATTCTCTTTAAATATATATAATAGTTGTTTATATTTTCAACTTTGTGATAAATATTTTTAATTTGCAATTTAAAATATCATTTTTTGCAATTTAAAATATCATTTAAAATATTAGTTTTTCTTTTAGAAAATTATTACGAAGTATTTTGCGAGAAAGAAGAAAAAAATTTGACTAGTTTTTAATTACAAATAAAAATATGTTGCAAAGTTGAGAATATAAAGAAAATATCTGCTAATATATATTTAAAAAGGATTAATTGATCGCGGCAAATATTTGTACAATTGTATACATTTATGGTGTTATCATTATACGCGATGAATTAATAAAATTTTTTTTTATTTGCTAATAATTATTAATTTTTTAAAATTATAATCTGCCAATATGATCTAATAAAGATACCAATGAATTTTTTTTTATATACGTATATTTCATTTTATTTATTTAATAAAGAGATTTCTCTTTATAGACAAATGATTTACGTTTATCATTTTAATAATGCGCGTATTGCGTTTCTTTTTATGGATTTCCAAATACACATAATCAATATGTTAAGATATTGTAAAATCGTAATGATTCTATTAATTTTTTTGTTTTATATATCTTTGGATTCTTACGAGGAACATATTAATATTAGAAAAATAAAACTGATATTCTGCAATTGACCATTATCAGTTTTATCAGATATTACATAATGAAATATATAAAACATTAATATCTATAATACAATAATATAATTGTAAGAATATATGTTCAATTGACAGATGTTTGCTTTGCGTTTTTAACGAAACTGTGAATTTTGATATTTGTTAGAGACATATTGATATCAAAAACATACCTAAATGTAAAAAGTCAAATGCGATTGAATGTATACTGCGCGACAATGATCCTGTCTTACGCGGGACAAGGGGAGCGTAGGACAGGATTATTGTCGCGCAGTGTACAATATTGCATAGCTCGCTTATCATGGAAGTTAGATACATTGTATTTCTATCAAAGAATGTAAAATAGCAAATTCACATATATTAAATATCTTTGATTTCTTATGTTATCATATTTCTTGCATCAATATAGCTTCCATTCATTATCTCATTAACTTATCAGTTATTGATTTATAAAATTCTCTGGTCCCTAAAACGCATTCGCTTGCACATAACACACGAATTAATAATTCTAAAACTAAAAAGACTAAAATTCTCAACATAATTCACATCTTTCGTAATATCTTAATTTTGTCTAACAAGAGCGAGGAATTATACATAACTTGCGCACGTATAATAATCAACAAGCAAAAAATTATCGACCATATTTTTTTAATCAGTAGATATTCCTCTTCGTTCTTAATTATTTTATTTTTATAATTAACGATTGATACAATAATATAATAATTAGTATTATTCATCTGTTTCGTAAGCGGGCGATGCCGGTGAGTACGTAGGACTCGTAGGCGAATATCCTGGTACCGGCGGCGAATATGTCGGACTCGTCGGTGAATAACTTGGACTTGTAGGTGTGTAGGTAGGACTTGTAGGTGAATACTTAGTGCTTGACGGTGAATATTGTGGGCTTGTGGGAGAATATGTCGGGCTACTAGGTGAGTAATTTGGACTGCTGGGTGAATACCGGGTGCTGCCAGACGCGGTGTGTTGTGGCGAGCTCGGCGAGTATGACGGACTCGTGGGAGAATAAGTCGGACTGGTTGGCGAGTATGTAGGACTCGCCGGTGTGTACTGCGGCGATGTACCAGCGAACGACGGTGAGGTAGGTGAATAACTCGGGCTCGTTGGCGAGTACTTGGGACTGCTGGGCGAGTAACTTGGACTCGCTGGTGAATACTGTGGCGAGCTCGGTGAATAACTCGGTGAGGTGGGTGAATATGAAGGTGAAGCAGGTGTGTAATTAGGTGAGCTAGGTGAATAACTCGGCGAAGTCGGGGAGTAACTCGGACTTGTGGGTGAATAGCTAGGACTTGTAGGCGAGTAACTTGGACTCGTTGGTGAATAACTTGGACTCGTAGGCGAATAGCTCGGGCTCGTGGGTGAGTAACTTGGTGAGGTCGGTGAATAACTAGGCGATGTGGGTGAATAACTGGGGCTTGTTGGTGAATAGCTTGGCGACGTGGGCGAATAACTCGGGCTTGTCGGCGAATAACTTGGTGAAGTGGGTGAATAACTTGGACTTGTCGGTGAATAACTTGGCGATGTTGGAGAATAGCTCGGACTCGTCGGCGAGTAACTTGGTGATGTCGGTGAATAGTTCGGACTAGTCGGTGAATATGTTGGGCTTGTGGGCGAGTAATTCGGACTCGATGGTGTCATGCTGGGAGACGTGGGCAGATACGCTGGTGACGTGGGAGAGTAACTAGGCGAAGCTGCACCCGCTGGTGACATCGGGAACGGACTCATGCTCGGTCCCGGACTGCCAGGACTTCCTGGTTGCGGTGAATAAGCAGAATATGCGGGTGACAATCCCGACGCATCTGATGCGCCCGATGGTGAGAAGCAAGCACCTCCTGGCGTCATACCACTGCTCAAGGCTATGAAAAAGAAATAATTAATTAATATTATTCGATACATATATTTTAAAAGTTGATAAATTATCGACAAATTCTTCTTGTCTTTCATATGTATACTTGAAAATTTATTTGTCTTTTGAAATTCGCAACTTTCGGTTGTTTAGAAATAAAATTAATATTAATAATAAATATTGATTTTTCCTGAAAATAAACGTAATATATCATAAATAAATAAAGATATTCATTTATCTTTACTGTTACTTGATAATTCTAACGTATTTTTTTCTATTTTTTTTTCTTTTTTATCTTATTTTTCAAGTACAATTAATTTATCTATTATTATCTAAATTTTCTGTTTTTTTCTCTAATTCCTTTCTAAAGATATCGTCTTTATAAGTAGAAACTTTGAAGTCGATTATTCATTCGTTCACTTCTTCAATATTTTTCATAATTCAATTTATTTTTGCAATTTATGATATTAAAATCTCTACTCATTCTTTTTATTTATTTTACTATAAATATATTTTCTAATAAAATCTTTATTATTATTTTCGTTTACCTTAATCTATGGGATTAAGTATTCAATATTTTAAAAATAAATGTTGCACTTTATAACATATAAAATGTCTTTAAAAATAATATAAAAATTATACTTACCCGGAGACATACTTGATGCTCCGTAACCAGGAGTAGCTCCCATCCAAGGAGTCATCTGGGGACTCATACTATTGGATATACCGGTTACACTGCCGAAAAACATTCCCGCTGTTCCCATACCTGCGCCAACTGCCATCGGAATTTCGATGCCAGATTTGCATTTCTCAGCATCCAATAATAAGTCAAAGCATCCTAATAAAACGCATAAGACCACGATAAATATCATAATATCGCTATTATATGGAAAATATAGTAAATAATTATTAACATAGAGGCATTATATCTTGAATTTACATTACAATTACAAGCATAATATTATATTTTTTTATATCTCACTATTTTTCTTTTTATCATTGAAAAAGATTCGGGTTTTATCACATTTTTCATACAAGAAGGATTGATGAATACAGATTAATGATAAAAGTTGCACTTCTTCGTACTAATGTTTCGTATTACCTGTTCCAATGCGCGGAAGTTGTCCCATTATAATATTTTCGGATACTCCTCGCATTGGATCTACCTCCGCATGAGATGCGGCGTCTAATAATACGTCAACAGTTTCTTCAAAGGAGCATCTGAAATAATTAATTATTTTCTTATTAATCTTTCACCTATCCTTGAAGAAAAAACACTTTACACATAAGAATTTTTCAAAGTTTCGGAATGTGAAATGCACTGACCTCATAAGAGCGCCGGTATCTTGTCTATTGATTCCGTGACGTGTTATCGCCATAAGATGACCCTTCGCCGTCATAACATCACAAAGTAAAGCGAGATGTCGATAGTTGACATAAAGACCATAGAACTGTAACACTGCATTCATCTCCTTTTCCACCGATTTTCGTACGGCCTCGATACCAAGAACTTGAAAGATTTCGCAGATATCGTTGCTGAACGTTCGTACCGGATCTACATCTCTTTCACTCAATACTTTCATCAAACTCGTTCCGTCAGTTTCCAAGAGCCATTCCGCGATAGCCTTGAATTCGCCTGTTTCCGTAATAACGATACGTTTCTTAGAGTCCGTTTGCGGTAAATGCATATAAACCTTGCCAATAGCTTCGATACCCTGGAATATTAAATACTTATGAAATCCTGTGTTTTCTTATCTAACTAGTTAATCAAATGGCGATTAAACACAAGGATGCTAAATAATCTATAACATTTAGCGTATCAAATTGATTACAAATGTACCTGTAAAGTCATGTCGCTAAGCATGTTAGCCTCAATGCATCGCAGGAACATATCATCTTCCATCTTGTCCACAGTTTCTTCCTCCGTATCTTGGAATTTGTTGTCGTCGCTGTTCATTATTCGGATCCGCAGCACCAGCTTCTCAGCATTATCGTCGTTGAAAATGCAGTTCAAATCGTCACCAAAGCCGGCATTGATTTTCTCCGCGATTTGTTCCATTGTCAACTTCTTGTCGGTCATTCGCTTCCTGTCTAATTCGATACGCAGCAACCATGGCGATATTTTAGTAGGATCGAAGTCGGGCATTTCATAGTATACATTGACGAATTCTTGATCCTCCGCGATCACTGTGTTTTGCGGATCTGGATCGTAGTATATCGCTGTGTTGGCTGTCACTTTCTTCAGCGTCGTGTGTTCCAATCGGCAGAGCACATTTTTCGCCTTCTCGGCGTCTCGTGCGGCCGCGCCCGTCAAGAACACAGTGAGAGACGGCGCTTTCGGTTTTTTACTGATGTTGATGATCTCCTTCAATCTCGGCACACCGAGGGTGACGTTTTTTGATGATACACCAGCGAAGTGGAAGGTATTCAGTGTCATCTTAGAAATACAAGTAATTTTCCAATATAAATATATTAACTCATCATAGCATATACAAGCTAATAAAACTTGTATTACAATAATTATTGAACATATCACATTAATTAAAATTATAATAAAAAAATGAATCAATAAATTTAAATAAAATAATTCTAATAATCTCAAAAAAATAATTATCTCATTTTCTGCTAAAAAATTATTAAGTATAAATCTTCTAGAATAGAATAAAGTCTTCTAGAATATTTAATAAAATCAAAAACTAATTCTGATTTAATGATCTATCAGACTTTGGTAAATTTAAAATTCTAAAATAAAGTAAAAATAAAGAGTATATGTATACATAAAACCAATTTATATATATATTTCAAAATTTATAAATTATTAATAAATATCTCTATTATTGAATAAAAAAGAACTTTTATGATTAAAATTAAAATAATCAAAATAAATCTAACTTTATAAAAAATAAATATAATTTCATAAATATTTGTGATGATTTGTGGCATTGATTTTATTACTAAATAAATTAAATTAGCAGATCTTATTAAAACTTTTATATTCTTGAACATAATCTAATATTTTACATTTAAATAAAATTAGAAAAGTCATCGCAATAAAAAATAATTAATAAAATTATTAAATTTAATTTTATATATTGATAATAAAAATATTTTTAATTATTACCTGAGTGGCAGGTTCGCCGAGAGACTGCGCCGCTAACGCGCCCACCATTTCACCCGGCGATACTTGAGCCTGTTGGAATCTAGTTTCAATTTCTCCAATCAGCCACTCGAAGGCTTCGCTGGACAGCCTGAATTCCTCAGAGACGCATTTCGTACATAGAGTAGACCTCACCAAGCATTGAAATAGTAACGTCGCGTTTTCGTTTGCTTGTTTGCTAAGTCTGTCATCCCCGGCGACAATGATACATTTATCCAGAAGATCCTTTACACCTTGAATCACCCTCATGGGACTAAGATCGGTCGGTGCTCGCTTATTGATGTGGAATATTTTTTGCACATTCCAAATCATTCTCTGTAGATTGCAAGGCAATACAACCTTGGATTCGCCGCTTGGGAAGATCTCCCGTAGCACAGCGCGGTCCTTGTTCAGTTGCTCCCACTCTCTTTCTAGCTCGGAGATTACCTCACCAGAGCCCATCATCTCTCGTACAATGTCCTCGTTGAATATACGTCGTAAGTATCGCTCGTTGGTCGGATCGAATTTGAATTTCTTCTCGAAGGCTTTGTTGCTCACCTTGATGGTGGGCAGATTTTGGAACTCGACGGTCTCACCACAGAGACCGTCCTCTCCGTAACGCAATTGGATCAATTGACCGACCGAATTACGCACGGTACCGTCGTAATGCACCATTACCGACTCCATAGCCTTTATCAAACGACGCTGGATGTAACCGGTCTCGGCCGTTTTCACGGCGGTATCGATAAGACCCTCACGACCACCCATAGCATGGAAATAGAATTCTGACGGCGTGAGTCCGGCAAGATACGAGTTCTCGACAAAACCTCGAGACTCGGGTCCGTAGTCGTCCTTGATGAAATGTGGGAGCGTTCGTTTGCGGAAACCGAAGGGTATTCGTTTACCCTCAACGTTTTGCTGACCTACACAAGCGATAACCTGAGAAATGTTGATGTTGGAACCCTTCGAGCCAGATACTACCATAGCCTTCAAGTTGTTATATTCCGTTAGAGATTTCTTGGCGGAACCTCCAGTCTTGTCTCGAGCGTCGTTTAAAATTCTGTTTACCTGATTCTCGAAAGTCTGACGTAACGTGTTGCCGGGTGTGGGTTCCAATTCCATATTGTGTGCTTTCTGAATTACTTCTATCACGTCCTCTTTGGCCTTTTTAATTGCCTTCTGAATCTCCAAATATGTCTGCGGATCGGCAATAGTATCGCCGATACCAATCGAGTGACCCTCCAGCAACAACCAGTTATTGATGACGGTCTGAATATTGCCGTAGAAACGTCCGCATACGTCGTGGCCCAGCTCAAGCATACAGATGTGAAGCAAAGAACCGGCGGACGTACCCAGAGTCTTTTTACAGAGGATACCCATTACCAGCTCCCCATGTTCCACCATTACTTTTGTATCACCCGGTGATATCCATTTGTACGGACCATCGTCTTCCTCGTCGGGATGTGTGCTGTGTGTTCGTATCATATTAACGTTTCCCGGAATGATGAGGGAGAACAATTGCTTGCCGGTCCACAATGGTTTCGGTTTCAGGATACACGGTTGCGGCATTTTGCCATCCCAGCTAGGCAGAAACATGAGCAGATTCATCATTTGCTCCTTCTCGATGAACACGTCGCGCTTCGTCATCTTTCTAACTGCCGTCAAGGTATCCTGCACGATACCCATGACTGGCTTGTTCGCCTGCGGCGTAATGATTTGTCGCGGCGTTACATGAATGTTTTCAACCTCCGCGCGAGTTTCCATCGATTGTGGCACGTGCAAATTCATCTCATCACCGTCAAAATCCGCGTTGTACGGCGATGTGCAGCTCAGATTCATGCGGAACGTACTCCACGGCAGCACTTTGACGCGATGACCCATCATTGACATTTTATGCAAAGTCGGTTGACGATTAAAGATAACGAGATCACCGTCGCGGATATGTCGCTCTACTCGATAGCCACATTGCAGGTGCAAATCTGAAGATTTGGGGTGAAAACGCAGATCGATTCTTTCTCCATTGTCGCGAACTATGTACTTCGCGCCGGGATACTGCGAATTGCCACGTCTAACTAACACTTGCATCTTATCGATATTGAATGGCGTTACAATTTCGGGGAACGTCAAATTTTGCGCTATACTGCGCGGCACGCCAACTTGGTCGATGCGCAAGTTGGGATCGGGTGTGATGACGGTACGTGCGGAAAAATCCACACGCTTGCCCATCAAGTTTCCTCGAATTCTGCCCTCTTTTCCCTTCAGACGAGCTTTAATTGCCTTGAGCGGTTTGCCTGACTTTTGCATCGCTCGAGGCATACCAGGCATGTCGTTGTCAACAAGTGTCGCCACGTGAAATTGTAGCATCTTTATGTTCTCTAGGATCACGTGTGCCGCTGCGCCCGACTGTTCATTTCGCAATAGCTCGTTGTTCGATTTAATGATATCCGCCAGTTTGTGCGTCAGATCGTCCTGATTTTTAGCGGAACCGTACATAATAACCGCAGGTCTGACGGATAAAGGTGGTACTGGTAGTACCGTAACTATCATCCAGTCTGGTCGAGCAAATTTCGGATCCATACCTAAGATGAAAGACTCTTCGTCTTTGATGTGTTTCAAAATTTCCCACGCTCTCTCAGCTGAGAGTATCATCTTCTTTTCTTGCGAATCTTCATTTACGTGCTTCCATTCCGCGGTGACATCTAAACCGGATCGTCTGAGATTAGGCTGATATCTACCGCAACCACCGTGACCAGGTTTTCTATCCATTTGTGGTTGATTTTCCGCGTTCTCTTTGTTAATATCCATTTCGTCTCCGCCTTCGCAAATGCTCTTGCTTTTACATAAATCGTAAACAAAAGCAAGTCGTTTCCGTGGTTGTCCCTTGGTTTTCATGACAATTTCTTTGATTTTTGGATTATGCTGCAAATAAGAAAGAGAAAGTAGCATCAATAAAAAAAACAAAGATTTTTTTTATCATTTAAAGATCGTAGCTTAAGATACGACAATCTTATTTCTATTTATTATCGATTTTTTCCAGGAAATATTAGATATTATTTATTATTATATAAAAAAAGTATCGAATAAAAAACTCAAAAGTTATATGTTGTTAAGGAAAGAAATAAATCAATTTAATAAAATTAATATCTAGATTTTATAACTCAAAGTAAGGTAAAGTATATATTACTCAAAGATATCTTATATTAATTACTTACAGGACTGACAAGTAGTTTGGAACAGTAGAAACACACGCATCTCAATATCTTTATAGTCTTTGTAATAAATCCTACATGAAATACTGGTTTTGCGAGATCTATATGACCAAAATGACCAGGACACTCTGTCATATTACCGGCACATGTCTGACATCTAGAATTTCTGTCAATGACGCCTTGTCTAGGATCCATGAGACCACCCAATTTAGGGCGGCCGCCTTCCATAGTTTCTGGAAATCGTATGCCGCCATCTGTGACTGACATACGACGCTGTACAATACAAAAACATAATGTTTTAATGATAGCATTTAAATTTAAACTAAAAATATCTAAATTTGACTTGATTGCACAGTATGGGATGATTTACTGCAATGTTTTTGTTTTTAATAGCTACACACATAAAAGATGTTTAAATATAAGTTGATAAATGTTTATTAAAAAGTGATTTTTAATAATTTAAACAATTCAACATACATTTCACATAATGCAAATAATAAATTTAATATTCTTTTTCTTCTTTCATTTTCTTGCATATTTTTTTATTTAAAGGTAAGTCAATTACGTATAAAGTTAAATTGTTTTGTCAAATGGAATCACCTTGGATATATGTATTTATATTACAAATTGCATGTTTACATAGAGTACTGGATGGTTTGAGGAAATTTTATCTTATTTTAAAAGATATACATCTTTTATTATTTCAATCGTTAATCTATCACAAAACTGACAATAGAATAAATGTAGCAATAATAAATAGGATATACATCTTTTATTATTATTTCAATCGTTAATCTATCACAAAGCTGACAGTAGAATAAATGTAGCAATAACATATTGCCTGAATCAATTTATTTTCAATATTTACACATCCTTCTCCTTCCCCACTATTTTTTCAACAATTTTATAATTTCTTTTATTATATCCTTCAATATGCTATATTTGTTATAATACTTCAAAAATAATAGTTAATATACAGACAGAATGATATCAGTTTCGTATTTATACTTTAATCCTGCAAAAAACAGTGACAACCGTATAATAATTTGCATTGCATAAGGTTGCAGAGAAGGGGAATTTTGGATTGTCACGATAAAGATATGTCCGTCCTTCATAAAAATTCGCATTTCCACGAGTGCCACGAGTCGCGTATAATCCACTTACTATCTCATCCGGTGAAAGAATGCCAAATTGCACGCGTTTCACTGTCCGCAAAGGAGCTTTGGAATCGGACGTAGCCATTTTGCCACAATAATTTGCAGCAGCTTCTCCGGACGCCTTCTGCGGAGTTCTGCGTCGCGACTCCAACGTTTCCTACCGTTGGAGACAGACGTCATCCCTCTCTATCGCTCGGTCATGAGCTAACCGACTCTTGAGGGAGCGTCCCGTTTGCCACGTCCCGATTGACCACAGCCAATCATATCGACCTGTGCCTAGGGTAACCAGCAACGATTAACCAATCAGAAAGTTCTATTTTGAATTGGCCAATTGGCGACGTGGGCAATCGAATCTCGTCCGATTCTTGATTGGTCGCTTTCAGCGGACTCAACCGCTAAGTAACATTCGAACGTGATTGGTTTCTACTTTCAGATCCGATCACCTATGGACCAATCATGGAATCGTGGAATTACATCGGTAAATCTAATGTTGCCCAACTGTTGAGGCCGCTGAATGCGCTATTGGCTACCGATGACACGTTATTTCCTAGCATATCGCATCTTACGACCTGATGTCCCTAGGATCATTTTGATTGGTGTATTCTTATTCCCTTCCGGAAATAACAACATGGCATATCCAATCACGATATATTCGTTCTTTTCGTTTTCCCTCGCAATTTCTTGATAAAAATTTCTGACCTTGTCGCTGATTATCTATCGCGTATTCCACGATCTTACTGGACATCAGATGTTAACTCGCGGAGCCACCAGGAGCCACTCGGTGGGTCGGCCATCTGCTTCAGCCGCAGCCGGAGCCACGTCATATTTGTGTGCCGCTTGGAAGCGAGCTAAACGAGCTGGCTTCCGTGTTTTCACGTTAAAATTCCGTTCCCGCAAACGCAGACATGAATATATTCAGGTTGCTGGGCGATCTATCGCATCTCCTGGCCATTATCATACTTCTCCTTAAGATATGGAAGACGCGGAGTTGTGCCGGTGAGTCGCGATGTTGCTCCTTTATTAGGGAGACGCGAGTGATTTGGTCAAATGATGCGTTACGATTGTACGCGATAATCCTCTCAGCTGACTGCGATCATCGACGCTTTTTCGCAGGTATCAGTGGCAAGTCGCAGATTCTCTTCGCAATTGTTTACACCACCCGGTACCTAGACCTGTTCACCACATTCATATCTGCATATAATACATTCATGAAGATAATTTTCATCGTCGCGTCCTTCGCCACGGTTTTCTTGATGTATGTCAAGTTCAAAGCAACGTATGATCACAATCACGATACGTTCAGGTAAGTCACTCTTCTATCGATATCATAGTTATTTTGTCTATGTGTATATACATGATATGTGCGCATAGAGATGATGTTTTTGTTGTAGGATCGAATTCTTGGTTTTACCCGCGCTTGTACTAGCGTTGCTGATCAATCACGAGCTGTCTTTCGTAGAGGTCCTGTGGACATTCAGCATTTATCTAGAATCAGTGGCGATATTACCGCAATTGTTTCTGGTGTCGAAAACAGGCGAAGCTGAAAGCATCACCAGTCATTATTTATTCGCATTGGGATCTTATAGAGGCTTGTATCTATTCAACTGGGTCTACCGTTACTACGCCGAGGATCATTACGACTTGATCGCCATAGTCGCAGGATTGGTACAGACAGTTCTGTATTGTGACTTTTTCTACCTCTACATTACCAAAGTACTGAAGGGCAAGAAGCTACAACTACCTGCTTAGCTTCAGTTAAGAGTATTATCCTCTTGCATCGGAGAAAAGTTTGACTGCCTGTCTTCGGTATCGCCAATCCGAAATAAATCCGGGCAATCCTGGGAGGCTCGTGGAACGCACACACAGTGCATGTTTCCGCCAATTGTGGAATATCACTTCGCAGCATCTTCCCTCTTATCAAACATTCTCTTCCTTCCCTCATCTATCATCCTGTCGTGTAGCGCCGCTTGCTGTATTTCCTTTCCAGGACAAGATCTAAATTGCCTCTACTATTCTTTCGTACTTTATTTCAAGCAGCATACACATAATTATAGAATCAGAATAATTGTTTATTTTATGAATTTAGGAATTTGACGAGATAATTGGGGATAAAAAAATTGTATAAAATGAGAACTTTCATCAATATTTACAGTTTATATTGTTGTGTAATTTTCATTAATAAATATAGTTAATAATTAAATATAATTATACATGACAATACATAATACATGTCTCGTAAATTTTGATTGGAAAACCTAGGATTGTGCCATTTCGGCGATTCAAGAAGAACGTAGAGTAATATACTTTACCAAGTCGGAAATGTGAATCGCTTCTTTAAGAGTCGTAGAGCAATTTTTTACATAAACAATGCCATTCTTAAGACTAGTCCTATCCACTGATACGACGAACGGTACTAGGCACATTTCCACGATTCGTTCTGTATTAGTTAATATAGTAGATATCCCCTTCGCCCTAAGCATATTGTTTAAGTATAGCACAAAGCGATTTAAGTCTTCTACATCAGTTTCATTGTCTTGTTTTGCTATGTGGAACGTAGTTTTATACGGAGATAACTTAGGATGAATATACGCGCTAGTTGATTGATCCAACATGTGACTATCACAGAGTAATGCCAGACAACCCCAATCCAAGGAAGCTACATGCTCAATCATATGCACATCTGCAGCATTATCCTTACTATTTTCAGTCTGTAAATAAATATTCATTTAAACAATTATTTTCTCTCTCTCTCCTTCAAGACATCTCATTAAAACTTTACCTGAGGAAATAACTTTCGTATGCCAGGATAATAAGTAATTGTTTCTACAGTGATATTGCCAAAGGGGAACTGTGCTTCTATCTCCGTCACATCAAGATTCCTCGTTTTTCTCGACTCAGCCAGGACGAATCTCGAGGGGTACTGGGCCAGCTTGCGCCACCAAACCTTTCGCTCACGTTGCTTCTTGTGCAGCAGACTCTTCGAGTCGGACGCGTCGACGATCATGTTGATCTTGGCAATCCTGTGGCTTGATATCTTAGTCGACAATAGGGACTCGTTCCACGTGTTCTTCGACATCGTGACAAGCGTGGCAAGCGCGAACGGCAGCGAGTCGTCCATCGAATTGCTCCGCAACAGCTGCAACGTATCCGCAATCGAATCGCAGGGGAACACGTTGTGACGCGACATCGTGACGCATTGAGCGAACCAGTGCTCCTCGAGGTTCCTGAACAGCAGCTTGCCCTGAGGACCATACGCGAAGACCCGCTCCGACAGATTGAGAAAATGCGGGCTGACGGCCCTCAATACAGCTTCCAGGCTCATCATTCGGACTCGGATCTCTTCGTCACCAGAGGTGCGACGAAGTACTCCTCCTCCAGCACCGCGGCGTTCCTCAGTATCTCGCGCCGATCAACGTTGTCTCTCACCACGTCGTCCCGCAGATGAATATGATAGTTCTCCAGGGTGCTGTACATCGGACTCACCGTCTCGTCGATGTGCGCTGTTCGCAGCGGCTCGGTGAAGGCTATCGCCTCCTCCAGGATCCGTTTACTCTGCTCGTACTCCAAGCCGACCAGCGCCAGCCTCTCGAGCCTCCTGATGGTCGCCTCGTCGATTGGTTTCCTGTCACCGCGCGATTGGTCGCTGATGTTTTCCACCGCTTGTTTTTGTTGTTGTTGCTGTCTCGCTTGTACTATTGAAGTGTGGCACGTCCTGGATGATACACTCGGATGCAGAGGAATTATAATTCTTTTGTCAAAAAATCTGCACGCCCGTCGTAACGCGTCCATGTCAGCTGATCGGATTTGATCTCTCTCTGCCCAGGGTTTTTATTTATCTTTCCACAGACGCTTGGAGAATTGATTCTTTTGGCTACACTTTATAATCGTAACCTTTTCTTTCAGACGTATATTGATATGAGATCCTATCTATTTTATTTTAGCGCACTGCACGGAAAAGTGCAGTTGTAAGTGTAGTCCTGAAGTTTTCGAATCGTCAGATTGTGTTCGAGCGTTTGGGGTTTGTCGCAATTTTTATTTATTCTTTATTGCGATAAGTTTAGTCTTTTTAACTCACTTTTTGCACTTCTCATTTCTCCTTTTTCTTCTTTAGGTTTTTTAGATATACATCTATCATTCTATTCCAATTTAGTTGAAAAGGACAATTCTAATATATTTTAATCATGTTAAAATATTCTTTTTTGAGGAAAATTTTATTTGATTCGAACCCAATCGAAAATGTTCGAAAAAATTTCGAAATTGCCGTCGAATAAAATTTCCTCAGAGACGACATTTCGGAGTGTAATCTAATATTATTTATCAAGCGATTTTGATTGGTACGATTTGAGGGATTTTGATTGGTACGATTTGAGGGATACCAGAAACTTTCTATCCGGCATCCAATCAGTGCGTCTGAAATGTCATATTGTAAATAGCACTTTAGGAAGATTTACACTGCATTCGCGGTGAAACTATAGTTTATATTTTATCTGCTATTATTTATTATTATTATTGATAATGAGCATACACAGATAAAGTAAAGAATAAATAGATGAATTTTTAGGAAGGTATTCATTTGTGACATTTTCGAGTCGAACACATATACAGGGTGTCCCAGTTATCTTTCGTCATCTTTCAAAGACAGATTCCTGGGATTTCAAACCAGTTGTTGGCCTGAATATACTGATCGCTCCCAGATCAGAAGTGGTCATTAAATTCCAAAGAAGAAGAAGATTCCTGGGATCATCTGAAGACGATTTTTCCTCAACGAAAATGTCGTGGCACTAATAATTTTCGAATTACAAGTGATTGGAAATAAGGGGTTTCTCGTAAACTAAGCTTTGTAGAAATAAAATATTAACATAACCACATTCTTCGATTAATTTTAAATAAAGTTTACTTCAGTTGAGTTTTAATTTAAGACTTAATTGCAAAGATATACGATGACAAAAATCGAGAACACGCAAAAAATGATAGCCTTCACTGACATTTTCGCTGAGGAAAAATCGTCTTCAAATGATCCCACGAATCTGTCTTTGAAAGATGACGGAGATAACTGGAACACCCTGTATATCACATGACTGATTCGAATGGACAGTTTTATGAGTAATTTGACGACTGTCGATTCATTAAGATGAGATACAAAATTAAAAAAGCCGTAGATAATCTCCTTTCACCTCGCCAATTTTTTTCCAGAGCCAACAGTCATTATATATAAATAACATCTAGACACGATACGTCCAACTCGAACCCGGAAATGAAGAAATTTCCGACGTAGCCTTCTACGTTCTATGTACGATTCACGCTACGTTTATGCCATTCTGCACCAATCGGAGTCTCATTGTGTTGCACATCGTTGTCTTATCTCTCTCTCTCTCCCCCTCCCTCTTCTTCCTCTCCCCCTCCCTCTCTCTTTCCTTTCCCCCCTTTTCCCTTTCCCTCTCACTTTTCCCTTCGGGATAACGATTAGACGCATACTGAATAACATCGATCCCGATTTCTAGAACGAGGTCACCACGCAGGGGCAACGATCCGCGCGCGGAGCGAACTCGATCACTATCGCGCGTACAACGTCCGCCCGTCGTCGTCGTGTTGTGTTTACGTGCGTGTGTACACATAAGATACGCTCGGGCCGCGCGTTGTTCACAGTCGCAGTCGCGTCAACGACGTCGTCGACGCGGTTCATTCGCCTCCTCGCGCTCCGAGGTCCCGCTGGTAAAGTCTACTCTAGCGACGAGCCCGCGTCGCCTCGCCGTTGTTTTTCGTGGACGCGTCCGCCTCTCTTCGCAGCCGTCCTCTTCGCCCTTTTTCCCCCCTCTCGACCTAACCGAGAGATGACAAGTTACATCGTCCGTCCTCGCTGGCGGCGGTGCATCGTTTCCGCCAACGTCCGCGTCGATGACGCAAAGTGAACTCGTCGCGCTTGCTGCGAGATCATTCGCCCCGGGAGGCGTCCGCTCACCGATTTAGGCCAGTCCAAACAATACAAAAAAGATGGACGCGACGATAGAGAGAGAGTGCAGCGCGTTGGGCAGTTTGTTCCAGCAGATCGTCACCGACATGAAGGTAAGGGGATAAGCGTTCCGCTTGTTGGGCCCGGCCGATTATTTCGAGTTTCACGTACCGTCAATGTTTGTCTCTCTCGAATACCTGCCCCCCTTCACAGTCGGACTTTTTGCGTTATCCTGCGACTTTTTTCGACTCTCCTCTCTCTCTCTCTCTCAGAGTTTTTTGAATATTTTTTTCAATATCCTTTTACGTTGTTACGTTTGTGGAATTTTCTATTGCATTTTTTTATTGGAGATTTCTTTCCTCACCCTCTCTTTTGTAGTTTATATTAGCTATGTATCGTGTACAAGATCCTTTATATCTGGAAAAAATGATATCTAACATTTGGAATCAATTGGCATATCAACAATTTAACACTGCAAAAATATTTGTTTGATTTTATTATAAATAATTCATGTGTGTCTGCTTTTTTTTTATGGACTGCAGATATGTTGATGTTGCAGACATACATGGATTATTTATAATAAAATCAAACACATTTTTTTAAATAGGGGATTAAAAATGTTTTTTTTTAATTACAAACATAAGAAGAAGTAACATTGCCTTGAATAATTAATTTTATCAAGTGCATTTTTTGTAATCTTTAATTGCTTTTGCTTATAAATATCATTGTTGTCAAGATAGACAATAATAATCCAATCTACAATTGAAAATTTTTATTCTTTATATTTTTACAGTTTTTTTTCACAGTTTCTTCTATAGTTTTTTGTGGAAGCAAAAGCTTTAATTTTATGCACTATATATGTATCTTTCTTATCTTATATTTCCTATATCTCTTTATCTCTATATAGCTATCTTTGTAATTCCATATATATCTTTTTTATCCTATAATATATTTATTTTGTAATGAATAAGAGAAAAAGTATTTGCTATATTTTATGTCTACGAATTATTTTATATATATTAATAAAATTTTATAAACTAGTACTGATATAACATATGGGCGTATATGATTATATTATCTATTACTAATATAGTTTAAATTACTCTGACTAAGCCTGTATAAACTAATGTTGAAATAATATCAATGTTTCATCCATGGAATTTTTAACTTTCCAATAAAATATGTCATATTTTTTTCTTTTTTTTATAGAATGGAGCACCACTTTGGGAAGACTTGATTTCAAAAGCTACAAAGTTACATGCAAGTTTGAGGTGAATATATTTGTAATATGTTTAACAAACAACTTATGTAATTTTCTTATCTTATACTTCCTGTATAAGATGTCCTGTATCTCTATATCTCTATATTGCTATATCTTTGTAACTAATATATATCTTTTTTATCTTATTTACTTTAATTTTTGAAAATATATAAAAGATCTTTGTGTATTGAAGATTTTTTATAAGTGACATTTTATTATAAATGTTGCAATATTAATGTAAAAAATTGAATTTGATGATTTTACACTTTTATCTATCTCATATTTAGTCTGTTGCATGGTTTTAATCAAATAGAGGTTTATATGAATAATATTATACATATATTTTAAATGTCTTTGAGATTTTAATATATGATACATATTATTACAGAGCTGCTCTTTTGGCTATTTCTGCATATCTTGAGACTTTTCAGAAGATAGCAGATGCTGCGACTAATGCCAGAGGTATGTTTTCATTAAATTGTAATAGAAGGATTATATTGTGTATTAAAGTCGTTTGCGTTAAGTTAACAAATTAAAATTAAAAAATTAAAACATTGTCTCTGTTTTAATTAAGGTGCAACTAAGGAAATTGGAACAGCACTGACAAGAATATGTTTAAGACACAAGGCGGTAGAAACCCGTATGAAGTCATTTACTAGGTATGTTAAAATCTTTTTAATTGTGCCTCCACAAGCATATATTTATTTTAGTTTTTTAGCATTATTCGTTACAGTACTCATATATAAATAACTTTTTTTAAGCGCTATTATGGACTGCTTGGTGCTGCCTTTACAAGAGAAATTGGAAGATTGGAAAAAATCTTTGATCAATTTAGACAAAGAACATGCCAAAGGTTAACATCATTACAATATCATAATAAGTTATGTTTTCATAAAAAAGTATAGTTTTTCTCTTACGATCCATACTTTTGCTATTTTTAGAATTCAAAAAAGCAAGAGCGGAGTTAAAGAAACGTTCTACCGATACTCTACGTCTGCAAAAGAAAAAAGCACGAAAAGGTCAAGTTCACCTACACATTCAAGGACAACCTCAAAGTCACGGGACGTGTTCCAGCGATGTAGAACTCAATAGGATGCTGGAATCGTCGGCGGCGGTTGTCCAGGAGAAAAGACTGAGTTTAGAAGAAACGGAACGAAAAGCCGTCCGTGCTGCCCTTCTCGAGGAGAGAGGCAGATTTTGTCTCCTTGCTCGATTCCTGAAACCTGTACTGGTTAGTAGATAGCTACATGCATTTATGTTCATATTGACATATGTTGATAATACATAATATACATACATGCATAATCATTTTAGGATGAGGAGATAGCGATGTTAATGGAATTGACGCATTTGCAAGAGGTGTCCGATCAATTGCAAAGACATGCCGCATCACCGCATCATTTACCGCCTGCATCCGAGCAGGTAATAACGGACATAAAAGGTTGCGACGTTACTCAATGGTCGTTGGCTACGCCGCCGTCGAGTCCGTCGTTATCTCTCGGATCGAGGAAGAGCTCTATGTGTTCGATCAGTTCTCTAACTAGTAGCAGTAGTGGATCTTGTAAAAGTCATCCGAGCCCGTCCGGACATCCATGGCACAGATCGCTTTCTCAGGTAATTACGCGTTGGTAATTAGTTCTTCTTTTCAATATTTCTTTCTCTTTCTCCACTTCATTATTCCGTGGATTGATTTATTAGGTGTCTTTTTATATATTGCATGACATGGTAACACTATTAATGCAATGCAGAGCTGCAATGCACCTAGTAGTATCTTTCACATAGATTCTACAGCACGATTCGATCGCTCTGTTTGTCCGCTGAGCGACAGCTTATTGTACGTCGTAGTCGATGTTGTACTCGTTGTAGCCAATCGGTGTCAGGCCCGCCAGCATCAGCGGTATCGCGGCACTGCGCCATTTGACGAGTGGCAGTTCCCGTGACTCTGGCTTCACGTCTCAGGATACATTGTATAACCAACCGATTTCCGAAGATCAGGTAAAGTTAGCGATGTTTGCGAAGTCTGCGATATTCTACGATGGGTCTTCTTATAGAGCAATGAACCGAAAATTAGTTGTAATTAAAACGGAGTTTAAAAGAAAACTGAAAATTCAATTTTCTCGAAACAATTAGTTATTAAATGTCAACACAGTAGCTCAAAAAAAAAATTAATCTTCGTCAAAGTACTGGCGGAAGGCCCAACGTACAAGATCTCACAAACTTCCGTCACCTAGAAATTAGTTTTTTGCTGCTAGATCGGCTTATCTCCCTTACACCAGTTTTATGCAATCTTTTTAACTTAACTTTAGAGAATGCATTCGTATATCTTGTTGCTTTGTATATTGTCAATACCTAAAGACACGTATTTCGTGCTTTTTAGGTATCGAATGTGTCTTCTCTAAGTAATCAAAGTACCGGTTGCACTGTAACAAGACCCGTGACAACTTCAACTTGGCCTGATTTGCAGGAAACATCCGTTCAATACAACCGGCAAAATCCGGGTGCAGTGAACGAACGGCCACATACCATTTCCTCTGGTAAGTAATATTTAAATATACGATTCGTCATACATATGGACGAGCATGAATGATTTTGATTTGTCATTCACTCTTATCTTTTTTTACTGATTGTAGCATATGAAAAGGGCCATCAGAGACCTGCGCTCAGCGTTTATACATTCCAAGCGCCGGATCGTGATGGTAACAGTTGCTGCCACAGTCAGCCTGCCTCTCCGGTTTCCTCTTCCTCGTCTTGTTCTTCCTCGAATCAGCAATTGTCTAGGGTACAACTTCGTAGAAATAACGGCGGCACTCGTCCGCCTATACCGAATAGATGTTCTAGTCTGGAACGACCGACGATTCCAATGAAGAATGAACCACCCGGAAGTCCACGAGGGAAGCCCAAATTACCTCTTCCGGCTCATTTGGCGAAAGGTTCGCATTTCATATATTGCTACATAATATGTGATGTTAAGATAGATCTAACAATTTCACTATAATGTAGAATTGGCGACCCATCAGCTCCAACAGCCAATGTATGTAAATATGCATGAGTTGGCGAACCTAGCTGCTAGTCGTGCTCAGGAAATGCAGCTTCCGCTGCCTCCTCCTCCAGCATCCTTAACGACACCAAGTACTGATAAGGTATTAAAACAAGAACGACAAGAAAATAAATAAAACATTTAAAAACAAATATTTTAAAAGAAATAAACTTTTTTTTACATTTATTTATATAATTCATTACTCGATCGAATCGCAGACCGAAGCTCCGGAAAAAGATGCTGGTAGTCAAACATCCGAATCCAGTTTGGAGTCTAGCAGCGGATATGGAAGCCAAAATACTTTGCCGCATTCGCATTCGCTTCATAATCAAAACGAAAATACGTGGAACATGCCTGGCATGGCTGCGACTATGTTAATGACACGTAGAGGATCGGCGCAGCAGATAATCAGGCCACCGCCACCGACGAGACGCACATCCACCGTCATCATCGCACCTCCCACGTCGTCCGTTAATGAGGATCGCAGTGAAAATGTTTGCGACGAAGTGGAGAATCTTCCTCCACCACCTGCATTCCTTTTAGAAGGCTCTTCACCCACAGCCAGTCCTACGCCTCAAAGGTAAAAGAACCGATATAATTCTTTCTTACATCAATTTCTCGATTTGAAAGTATTTAGTATTATGTATTTTAATGATTCAAGTTAATCCTTTTCTATTTTTAAATTTAAATTATAAAAATTAACTACAGATAATAAGAAAATGTCTAGATTCTTGAAACCGCGGCTCTTTTTAACTTGTTTTTTTTTTTTTTTAGATCCATTTCAGTTTCTGAAACAGTAAGGACTTTGACCGAGTTACGTCATACTCCAGCCAGTCCATCACTCTTACGGAAGGCTACTTTGCAGCAACAAGCGCACAATAATCCAAATGTTGTCCAACATAATACCATGCTACAGATAACTCGTTCATCGGTGGAACGTTCCTGCTCCACTATTCGTTCAACGTCCCAAGAACGCGGATCTGTTGGCGCGCAAACAACCAGTGCAGCTGGTGGAGGTCCAACTCAGATCGCTCAACAGGCAAATCAAACCCAAGGACAGGGACCTGGCGGCGTAGGTCAGGGTTTTATGGCGGTGCTCAATGCTAAACTTATTGGTACGATGAGCGGCAGCAATACCGCTGCAGCCGTAAATGCTAGCGGTAGTCCTAAATCTCTCAGGAAGCAGTCAATTACGGAACAGCAGCAGCAACAGCAGCAATCTAACAAAAACGTCAAAACAGCGGCTCCCGGTTTCCTCGAGACGCTTAACGCTAAACTGGCTCAGCAACAACAGGTTCTGCAACAAGGAAATAACGGGACGAGTAGATCAGCGAGCGTTAGGCGTATCATGGGTAATCGTGTACCCATCATGGACCCAGTGCAAATGAGGGATTCTCTTATGGATCAAATCAGACGGGGCACTTCACTGAGGAAAACCAGCGGCCCGATCAACGATCGTTCGGCGCCCAAAATCTATTAAATACTACAGCACTGCGTAAGTTTGTAATGTGTTTTATGAATTCCATGAGCAACATTATTCTTTTCTTCGGATATAATTGACTCGCAAGATATGATAAAAATCACAATAATCATCGGAAATCAGTATTTTCCGATTCTTCGTCTACATTTCCGTGCATGTTTCGAATTACATGCATTAAAATAACAGTTATATTTATTCTTTCATTCCTTCTGATAACACGCAGGCTCCATATTAAATCGTCATATGATTTCTTGTACAATAAAGCGTATCGAAATATTGCGCGCAATTGAAGAATAATTTAAACGGATAGATTTTAATAACGTTATATATACGATTATATTATAGCATACAACATATGAAAAAGATGCGCAGAAAGAGATTTTTATAATATATCAATATTTATAAAAAGAGGAAACTGATTTGATTAGGGAATTGTGTCTCGTAAGATCCATATCGATACAACGACAATACTCCAGTACAACTTGTGTCTCATAGTTGTCTATTTTTTCTGCTTGACACGAACGACTCTCTTGTTGCTCCATTAACGTAATTATTAGTCTGTAATTTAATATGCAATTAGGATCTTTACGCGATCTCGCGAAAATCATACATAATTTAATATCGAGCTTGTGTATTCGAGACGCGAGACTCGTCAATGCATATCAGTTTATAATATCTTACTCTCTTTTTTTTTCTTATATCACATATCTTTTTTCACTTTTATACAAGAGAAATGCGAGTTTATTTTATTATAGTTTTCATGTTTTCTCGAATCCATGAGGTTACTGCGACGTGCGTTTAATAGTCGAGATCGATGGCCGTTTCTCCAGTAATATATTCTTCGCCATCGAGATCTTTTTCTCGGTTTCGAGAGAGAAACGGGTGTAGTATATATATATATATACATACTAATAATATACACTGTACAACATCTCTCTCTCTCAGTGTCGATAAATGTTAATATGCGTATGTGTCGCGCCTTCGCGAAGATTACACTTACACAATCGTCGTTGCTTGCAAGCTACATTTTTGACGACGAGAAAAATGTCTCTCTAATTAATTCTGAGTGAACGCTCCGAAATGTTATCGAATATTAGACATCGTCAAGTTGTTAGAAAAATTTTTTTTTTGTATACGTATATCTCTTTGCATTACGTTACATCGTCGTATTGTCGCTAATGTACACTGCCTGGACAAGCAAATCGAAATCATACATTCATCACTCATCTAGCGCGTGATATACGGCGAATACCGATTATTACTGCCAATTACATTCATCTCCTTTCATTCCTCGCATAGTGTTAAGTTTTCAATGGTATTGTAGCGAACCAGCGCGATGAATAGTGTATAGCGAGCAATAGTTTATTATTATATATATATATATATATATATATATATATATGTATATATAGATATACACATATACACATATATATGTGTACATATATATATATATATATGTATATATATATATATATATATATATACATATATGTTTATTTATTTCAAGAAGCATTTAACTGTATACACAGCGTGAATAAATAATAATACTTCCAGAGAAAATCTATCCATTTGATATTTAATAATATTTATCCTTTTTGCAAGAATTTTTTCGAATGGAGAGTGGACTGAATATTAAAATATCGTTTCGCTTCACTAATAAAGATCAACGATTTTATCAACGTTAAATGTCAAATGGACAATATATCGACACATTATAGTCTCATATTAAATAAAAAATATACATACACTGTAATGAAGCACTATTTAATTAATATAATGCAGCGAGAACTCGATCGAGGTGATTGTTAATTTCCAATAATTTAATTACAATACGAATTACAAACGTAGAAAAACAAATAAAGATGCAACGCATTCGTCCGAAATTCGAGATATTTTCACCTCTCTTTTGTGTGTGTGTATGTGTGTGTATTTATTTCTTTATTTTTATCTTGAAATGTTTAAATCAGATCGAAAGCGGTGAAATTGGGTATGAGATTAGATGTATGCGAGTTTAATATTTTGTAGACATATTAAATTACCCAATTATTATGTCATTAATCGCTGTACTTTATTTACAGTTTATTTAACTCATTAATTATTTATAATTATGAATTACGATAATGACTCGCTGTAAAAATTGGCTGTATAAAAACGCTTTCAAATACTCTTAATTTAACTTATCGTATATTCCACATCTTAACATAAAGTTAGCAATGTAGAGATATTCTAGAATATCCCGTGTAAAAAGAAATTGCCGTTGGGTTAGGTATATACAACGTGTCCTAGAATAAACGGGTATCAAATTGTAAAATTGAAAGATTTTTTATCAAATTCGCTTAATGTAAATTCCTTTGAATTTTAATATAAATATGCATGCATTTTTAATTTTCATATGTCTTGAAACGATTAAATTTTTTCGTGGTAATTTTTAGCATGCGATGCATTTAATATTAATTTTGCTTTTAAATTTTCGGCAAAATACTGGCAAAGATTAACCAGTTGTAGGAAGATTAAGAGATGTCTTATCTCGAGTAGCGCATATTTTTCGAGCGTTTATTAGCTCGTCTGGCACTCCACTGTGTGATTGTAATCCGTATATAGAAGTTCGCTCATCTAAAGCGACCACGCGAATATGTTGACTATTATGCGAGCGTATAGCAAATTCGCTGTCCCCGGAGTGCATCAACAGTGCTAGAGTTCCAGCTAAAATACAATTAGAATTATTAATAAATACGATAATATTTTAATAATAATAGTGTATATAATAATTTCAATGGTATAGTCTCATTTGTAATTGTATTACTTATTTATTCTTAATTACTTACGATTGTCTAAAGGCGAACAGGAACATTTGGGATTCAAAATAAATTCAACCGTTGAACGCAAGCGTTTAATCTCGTGCAACGGTTGTATATCTAATAGAAGTCTCACTTTTCGTAATCGTCTGATTGCCGCTTTCACGACGCTACTAGACGAACAATAAATCTCATTGATGTTCAATGGCAATTCATCAGCGCATATGGGACAAGATTCGTTCGAAGCAAGAGGCGCTAAAATTAAAAAAAATACATATATTTGATTTTCTTATCTATCTATCTATGGTATTTTATTCTATGTATTTGCTCGTATAAATCGATGATTAAGAAGATTGAAATAATTTTCCAGAGTGAAAACACTTTAAAAAGTGGACTGACACAATGAGTTATAATGTAGCTATGAATCTTCTTCTGTTTCTTAGAAAAGATTAATCGAAATATTCATCGTTTCGGTTTTAGTTTTCAATTTCATCAATTTCCTCATATTGAATTAATGTTTTAGATTTACGTACGCGATGTTTGCAATTGCGTGTTGCTCGAATCCGTGTCTATTCTCTCAGCGGATTGATTAGTTACATTTGACAGTTGGTCGCCGTCAAAATTTATATCGGGTTTCACGGAAACTGATACGGGTCCTTCGACACCATCAGGAGTCGCTAATTCGTGATCGACCACGACGAAGAGCGGGTTTCCATCGAAATTTGCCGGAAAGGGATCTTGGTTCTGTCCATTGAAAACCGAAAATGACGCCTCCATATCTTCGAGATCTACATTAGGAGGTCCAAGTCTATCGAACACGGGATTCAAATTAATATCCGGTTCATCCGGTGTTTGACCGCTTCCAATTTCCGCTCGCGGTACTGTAAGACAGAATCATGGGAATAATTTATCTAAAAAATTGTATTATATTATTTTTGTTATTATTATATTATTCGGATACAAATTACCTATTTGTTCTACAGTTCCATTTTGAGCATCCGGAATTTCGGCTGCTTTTTCGATTCTCTCGTCTTTTTTCGCGATCTTCGTGGCATCCTTGTCCAGTTGCTCCACCTCTACTGGCACCGGATCAGGTATCTCTGTTTCTTCATTCGGAGTGGCACTACTGCAGGTCGGTGCAAAGCTGTAGCTCTAAAGAGAATAATATGAAATTTTCCAATCTGTTATATATATCTGTTATATATAATCTGTTATATATATTTAACAATTATTACATTTAACAATTTGTATATAAATTCTTACGCTAGATATCGTTAATTCCTGTTGATAGTAATCATAAAGTTTCACATTTGCCGGCTCGAGTCGGTCGACAACATTTTCTCTAGTCACCATAAACGATATACAAGTTTTCTGATTGATTAACTTATCGAAGTAAATAGTAACGACGTCACGATCCTCCTCGAAACGTTTCACTTCTGCAAATATTCGTGTGTTGGCGATAAATCGATAAGTCGATAATAAGCTTCATTTTAATATCATAGTGTATCAATGATTGTGATATAGTAATTGTATGATTGTGATTCTATAAATATTTTTTTTTATGAAATCAATCGTACATTATAAAACGAAACTAAAAGTGATGACTTATTTAATATAAAAAAAAAGTTCTATATTTAATAAAAAAAAGCCACTTTTTCATAGATTCTTGGGTCAGTTTGGGTCAGGTTTGTGATAGGTTTTTTCTCGGAAAAGATTGCAATGTTCAATTTATGTCGCAATTATCTTGAGATTATTTGAGATTTTAATATATTTAATTGTTGTTTACTTGTAGCTGGATCCTCCAAGAGAGAATGAAGACTCGTACGATCCGGGATGTACCCGCTTATCATGCCGACCTCTAATACTGCCATGTTGCTTTCTCCATCTGCCATTTTATATCGTGTGCAGATTGTAATCTTTTGCATCGAGCATTCATCTACCCACGTCGAGGAAGCGGCATTGACTGAGAGGTCAAAAGCTTCGGAGCCAGTCGCATGCGCAACGTTATATTTTATATTACTCTAAAACAAGGTTTAACATTGTTAATATTTATACATTTTAAAGAAACTATTATTCCCTCGTTTATATATAGTTTCGATATAATGCGTGACAAACATTTGATGATAAAAGTAGAAAGCTATACCTGCACTAAGACGCAACCTTCACCTTCAGCGAAGATCTCGATTATCGTAGGTATCACGGGCAGCCGAATTTGGGTGAGAACCATGCGATTGTCATTGTGCATTCTATATAATTGGTCCACTTCGTTACCGGTCACCAGCACCGAGAGATCAGTGTTATCATTTGACATTGCGGCAGCGTATTTTGTGAGCGCTTCCAAACCGAGCACGGTATCCTGTGTGGATGTGAAACCGCCTTCTGCGTTTCGCTGCTTCGACATCCAACGAACCGCCTTCAGCGCCTCGACCATATTCGCCTCGCCGCCTAATTTTACCAATGATAGCACAGCGTATGCCGTCATTTCGATGCTCAGTCCTAGGGAGGGTTTATCTTCCCACCAAAGGAGATCCTAACAAAATGAGATTTCATTATGCGATTACGCGATTTGAATTTTGTATAGAATTTTCTGTAAAGCTATCTTTCATACATTGTTCCGAGTCGCACGTTCCATCAATAGCTTCATGCTGTTATTTGCTTTCGGATGCTCCAACAACGATAAAGCATAGGTAGATATAGCTGCGGTGTATGTCGTGCCGCCGCCATTCTCCATTCCTTTCTCAAGACAATGTAGCGCATTGTTGATGAGCGTGGCTGTTAACGGTACGCCTGATTCCAAGAGTGATATCAGTATGTAGGCTGTTAACGCCGAGGAAGAACTGTCGTCGTCTTGCAGACCACCCTAAGAATTAAGAGCTTTTGCATTTAAGAACTTATATCTATTTTTTGAACGTGAAAAAATCGAACATTGTCTCGTACCTTCATATCTTTGTGAAATACCCTGCCGATCATGGGGAAGCACCCATTCTCCAATTGCTTCTTTAGCATCCATTTTACGGAAATTTTCAGATCTCGCTCGTCGATGTGAATTATATTCTTTGCCTGAGCGAAGGATTTTATCACGAACGCAGTGAGCCAAATAGAGCTACCGTCTTCCGTGACGTTTGGACCAAACGCCGAGTACGAACCATCTGGGTGCCTATATATCAACTCGCGCTGATATCCTGCATTGCAAAAATCAAAACTTATTTAATGTAATAATCACGCATATTTTATACAATAAAAATGGAGCGAATTTACTTGTAGTCATTACCTTTTTCCATATTTCTGACTGCTTTCGCTCTTAGCTCTGGATTCTCAACTCCAGTTGTATCCAAATAGCCAATCACGTGTATGTTGGGAACAAAAAGGATCATGTTTTGCTCACCGCAGCCCATCGGTAAACGAACGAGATTATCTAAATTTTCAAGGGCTGGACCCAAAATATCTCCTATCATAGACACATATCCTCTTGCACTTTCGGGCACTAAATCATCGGGTAAATCGAGATGCCAAGTAATAGTGGAATCGTCGCTAAAATCTTTCGGACAGATAAATGCCGATTTGGTCGCCTCTACGGGAAAGCCTTCTGGTAACACGAGTATGGACTTTACAATTACGTCCCTAAAAAATGTATAATTGCCAGATATATGATGATTTGACTGAAGGTCAAGAAATATGTTGTCAAAATTATGTTTATTTCTCTTCCTTGTTTCAAATAAAATATTACAAATATTTTTAATATTTAAGTAACTTTCAAAGTTTTACTTTGTCATGTTGAGTAAAATATTAGAAATTATATAAATATTTTTCTTCTATACTTGCAGCCATTCATCTGCATATTTATATATATTTGTAGAATCATTAAATATTAATAAATGCAGACAGAGGAACTTTTTTCGAAATGACTCACCGTGTATACAGAAGTACTTCTGGACCACATGGTTCGCCATACTCCGAGTCAACTGAAGCGGAAACCGTAATATTAACGTCGCCAAGAACTCTCGGCCTGAGAATATATTCGTGCACCACACTATCTCGCGGTTTCACGCAAAACGAAGCGACTGCATGTGATAGATGCAAGTCGAGCCCCGTTGCATCTTCCAATTTAATCTTCACCTGCAAAATTCAATCGTCCGTTCGATCAGTTATAATATATCAATCGATTATTATGTGACGTATATTTGGCATTTTTATTATATATGTTAAAATCCATATGTAAAAATATTTTTTTTTCTATTATTTCATGTCACCACAGTTGTTATCAATATATTTTAGTAATAATTATATAAAGATTTTGTATCAACACCATACGTGCTAAGATAATGCGAAGGAAAATAGCTTAAAAACTTACCGGTAAGCTATGTTGCATGTAATTAAACAAAGACACTTTCATATGCAACATTTCTCCACGTTTCACGCTATATGGTAAGCTATAATCGAGGAAGAACGGTTGAAATCCCGTGATAGTCGTCGGCGGTGCTATTCCGAGACCGTGCGTAGATGAGATACACGTAGTGTATCCGACCCAATCAGTGATGGTATGAGGCAAAGTACGTTCTATAGCCACTTTGCCTTCTTTTCTGTAAAAACAACAAGCATGTTTAGTGGACGTTGCATATCCAGATATAAAATTGAAGCTTTTATACACACCCAGTCGGCACCAATTCCCATAACCACGTTTCAGGAAAGTAAGACCTAAGAGTTGCAGGTTGATCGGGTACTTGATCTACATATGCCTGTTCGGGGCCTTCGTTCAATAATGGGTATGCCATGGGCAACGTCTTCGCAGCCATTTTAAACATTCCTATTGAGATAATAGTAGAGTAGTATATTAAATATAATTTAATAAGGGATCGAGAAAATCTCGGTCGATTAGTTTCATAATGAAGTTTGTAATGAAATTAATGAAGTTTATCAACAAGTCGTAAGGAGTTCTATTTCTTCTCTATTTCACTCTGTAATGTGGTTTTAAAAAACATACCAGCTTCCGATTCCAGAACCGAAGTTGATCGAAGGAAAAAAGTTTGAATCGTGGAACTCCTGAATCTGTCCATCCTGTGAAGTTGAGGGCAAGGCCGTGTCTCAAGTATTAAATCGCTCATCACAACAGCTCCGAAATCCTGAAAAATCAAGAAAGATCCAATGAATATGTAATTATCTTTCTCGAAAAATCTTAAAGTAATTTATATAAGCTTACATCAAACGCTTGTATAGCGTCGACATAATTCGTGAGTCCACTGTACGGTCCTGGCGATATCACAGTCCTTTTCTTTCTACGTCCCCACAGAGGTATCGGTAAATGATCGATTTCCTCGGTATTCGTTTCTTGCTGCGTTGTCACTGTGAAGAATTTACACGAATTAATAGTTCAAATCATTCTACGTTACGCGGTAACTTTACATTAATCGAAGTCGAATAATCCAGGTTTTTACTGTTGTAAAATAAAAGATTCTTGTATTATAAAATCTTCATCAGATTCGAATATTATATCGAGAGAATAACGAATACATCGACTTCAATCATCGAATAGCAACTTTGAACAATACACAAAAAAACCGATAGAAAAAATAGACAATAAAGAATTGATGTACCGTTATATTTGATTACCCAAATAATTTGTGTACCTTTGCATTGAGTCCAGATGGGACGCAATTCTGGCTCAATATAGAATCTCTTTAGTTGCTCGAATGTCTGATCAGCATCGATCAAATTTGCTTTGGATCCTAAGAAGCGAGTCGACTTGTCAACTGCCGAAATGCCACAAAGAGACCAGGGGGCAGCCTCCACGTGATACTGAGTGACCGTTCCCGGGGTTTGGGCATCGGTGTGCCAAGCTGATTTTACTTTATTCTCGAAACAATGTCCTACTTTGATAGAGTATGTGGTAGCGACAATCTCGCCATCCGGACGAACATAGTAGAGCAATAATTCAGAGACCGGCGCCATGGACGGGGTGATCTTGACGCTGAGAGGGAATCTTGAAAGATACGAAATCCGCTGTGATATCTATGTATGATCTTAATTTATACATGTAAAATATATTTATAAAATTTAGCATTTTAAAAGAGTATACAATTCCATTTACAAGACAGTTTAATGCATTGAAAAATTTTTAAAATACATTCGCAAAGATATTTATACAGAATATCTTTGGAATAATATTTCATACCGTGTGATGTATTACCTGTGAACGATGGTGTCCTGATTGGTCTTATTTCCCGATGTCTCGACAGCGCCGAATAGGTTCCGAAATTCCGAGTAATTCAGGACCATGTCTCTGGTCGGCTTGTGCTTTACGTGGCCGTATATCAACAAGTCACCTTTGGAATTGATGGAATAATGGAAGGAAATGGACTCGTTAGTTTTACTTTTCGCCGGTACGGTGTACATAACATTGAACGAATACTTTTCGCCGCAGATGATTGGTTGATAACCTCGAGCTACCGCCAAGTAACTGTCTGATGGTGAATACCACGGATTCACCACAATGTGAGCAGATGGTTGATCCATGAAAACCTAATACAACAGATCATAAGCGTGCACGTCTTCTCATGCGTATTAAATTATTTGAAAATTACGTATGTTACTATCGGAATAAATCTTTTACAAATTAACCAAATGTTATTGAAAAATAATGTAATAAAAATTAGACATTCTATATCAAAGGATCTGAAAAGTTTGTGATTCGAAATGTGCATCAACTCGACATACTCGCCAACGCGTATCCGGCGAATAGTATTTCGTGGGATAATCGACACCAGTCGCGATGAAATTTAACAGGACGATATTCCTGTGTGGCGGTGGCACAACAAAGTCGACGAAGCCATCGGATGAAGATGTAAAGTTGCGGCATTCGACTACGACGCGGAGCCAATCGTCTTCACCGCGCACTCGCACGCAGAGTTGGATCTTTTCGTGTGGCGCCGGAGTATCATCATGCCGAGAGACACGAAGCTATACAGATAATAGACGTTTATTATGTATGAGGAACATTTGGATTCATAAATTAAGAATCAAACATTAAGATTAATCTTTGTGTATCGATTCCGTACGTTGTGTTATTACAAGATACAAAACTATCTAAAATTTGTGTGCAAGTTCTCTCACACAAGTTAAAAGACGAGCTACAATTATTGATTACTTTTGGGAGATTTACCTTTCCGTGATATGGTAAACCCAGTTTGAAGTATTTGGGCGTGTACGGCAGAAATTCCAATTTTAAGGCCTGATGCACTACCACGGTTCGACTGATTGTCGTCTCCACTATCCCGGTACCGGCTTCGGTGAAATTGGCTATGAGAACGATATTATTCGGCGCTACTTTCCATTGAGCCAATCCAAGCACTGCGCCTGATAGTACAAATTCAGTGCAACCGTCCGACGAATCCAACTATAACGATTAACTAGTTGTAAACTTGCCGAGAAATATCAAAACTATATAATATAAAATATTTTTGTTTAATCTCTATAAATATGACTGTGTGTGTGGAGTCGTTATCTCGCTATAGAAAAAAAATCATTAACATTAGTCGACCAACAACTACTGACCTCTGTTTCGTAATGTATTTCTGGGAGATTAGGTTTTCGTCTCCATATTGGTATTTGAGGCGTTGATTTTAAAAGTAATCTACCCTTGACCGGTTTACCATAGCTGTATCTGTAATATCGTAACAAAGAAAGATGATTTCGTGTTGCAAATACAGCCCAAAATATCGCAATGTTTTATTATAACGAGCACTCACTTTGCGCATATGTTCCAGGTAACGTTTTCCGCATCTGCGAGGATGTATCCCGGTGAGGTCACAGTCACCTGGAATCTCGGGAGAACGTATTTCTTCACTTCAAATACTGTTGTGTGAATTAGCTGCGGTTGCGATCTTGTCTTTTCTACTTTAATTTTCCAGGCGCCCTGTAATACGAGAAGTATCTTTAAAATCTATCCTTGCTCTTTCGCTTGTTTAATTCTCGCCTTACCGGGCTTGGTTCCGGAGAGAGAGCAAACTTTAATTGAGTCATTCCGTTCTCGGTACTAACGTTGGTCCATTGCGCTACTCGCACCTCGGATGGATTTTCAATCCATACTTTTGGTATCTGGAAATATGAACATGTTAAAATTAAAAGACAGAATTTTTCTAACTTGTTATCTCGCATCAATCATTACATGTGTACATCATACTTATTAAGTATGATTAAAGTAGATTAAATTTTCAATTATCTTACTATTATATAATCAATTACTATTATTTTAATATTATTTCCTATATATTTTATATAATAATATTATTTCCTATATATTTTTATATTATTTCCTATTCATGAATAACAAGCGACTAACCGTTTTCTTCCATGGCTTCAAATCGTGTTTAAGCATGAGAATTCTAATGTTTACATCTTGTCCGGGTTTGTAGACTGGCTTGTCCGTCTCTACAAACGTGATGATGGAATCGTGCTCGATGTAGATCTTCTTCTCCGTTTCCACGATGTAATCGGGATGTTTGTCGAATTTTATCTTCAATCGTAATCGTCCGTTGAAGTATCTTGTAAAAGGTACCGCAAGCTCCAGACATGTTTCCAATCCTATAAATGAATGAGCACTCAATAAGATATGTATCTCGAAAACAATGCATTTTCGGAACTTGTGCCGAAGGAAAAAGATTCTTATTTTTTGACAAGGAATACCGATCTGTATCTGTCTAAGATATTGCTTGAGGTCATATATTACTTGTATCGTGTTTTTATTTTATAATTTATTTTTCCAAACTTATTACTCATATTTTTAGAGATTCATCGAGAAATATACTCATATTTTTAGAGATTCAGCGGTAAATCTTTTCGCGCGATTGCAGTGAAAATAAATAAATAAATTCTAAACTCTCTCGATCAAGATGTATATACTTGTTGTTCATCCCATGCATAACAATACAGATTTCCCATGTGTGATTCCGGGCGATTAGTTATTTCCCCTTCGGAGAGAGAGACTCTCATTTAGCTCCCCCGCAGGAAGCGGCGACAATTTCAATTTACGATTTGTTTAAAGCGTCCGATCTCTCGAGCTGCGAGGGAAGAAGGAGGAAAGACCGGGACCCGATGGTCCAGAAGCGTAGCTGGGATCCTCGGAGAGAACAAAATCTCCGATAAAACTCCTGATGTGAATTTATCTCTCCATCTTCTTTACAAATCTTCCTCGGACTTTTAATAATATATAACGCTTCCTCTTTCTATCTCATTTTACCACATCTCTGAATCGAATGCATGGATCCGCGAGGTACTTTTAACAATTATACGCTATCATGTCGCGTGCGCGATAACACGCTCCAATACGCTAAAGTCTTGTGTTAAACATCGAGAAAAAAAAATAGGAGAATATATAAGTCCGAAAATATCGTAAAGTCAAATAAAAGTATAAAAAAATTATAAGAAGCGATCCTCTCGATTTTATCCTTCCTGAAAAAAAGAATCTTCCAGTCTTGAAACAAGAAACGATGATTGAAATCTGCTCGGGGAAGAGAAATTTTTGCGCTTGCCTGTTTCGACGACGCCGCTCGTTCGGGCCAACACCTCGTCTTCCGCACCCGACGACGACGGAGACAGCAGCTCCAGGAGAACGTGCGCTGGCGGCTCGAGATTGTGCAGCGACAAACAGCCGCTCTCGGTCTCGCCGGCCAGGAATCTTTTCGGCGCGGTAAACACGTATCCTCTGAAGAAAAAAAGAGAGCTCTCGATTAGAAGTGAAACGAGAGCATAATAAAACACTACAGTTCCGAGGGAAAAAAAATTTTGAATGCGGGGAAATTAATTTTTTCGCAATTCGCGGAAACTTCCTCATTTAATTCAACGCATCTCTGTCAATTGAAGTTCCTTTCTGAAAGACCACTGTCTTTAAGCGAGTCTTTACTCGAGTTTATCGCGGAGAAAAATAGACGCGGCTGTTATTGAACTAGCGAGGATTGTAAGCGCTTCTTTTCAGCCGTACGCGATAAACAGAGAGAGAGAGAGAGAACGTTTCTTCTACCGTGAACTGATAATCGAGAAAAGAGCATTTCTCGATTTCCGTTCGCGAAAAATAAAATACCAATGATGTTTATCTTTACCGATTAGCATTCGTGCCACCTTGGCAGAATTGGAGGCACACGCAGAACAAGCACGAGAGTACAATTAGCTTATTCATTGTCTCGCAGATGATTAACACGTGCTCTCGTGATTTCGACAGGGATCTCAACTGATCGCCGCGAGCATATTAACAAGCTCCTTTTCTTCGCTTTTCTCGCTTATCGCGCGGCACTGGAGGAACAACAGCTGACAGAGAGGCCGCGGGCCGACTGAAAGCGCGATATTCGTACCGGCTACTCTTATTTATTAACCCCTTGGATCGCGCAAGGAGGAAGGAGAGGCTTACGCGGATTTAATCGCGAGAACTGCGTCACGTCGACCGTACAGTTGACGTTGGCAGTATCCTTTTCTACATCGTCGACTCGAATTGACTTCCTGGAATTGTTTATCGATACGCATCATCATCATCGATGGATTTATTTGACATTTCTCGTAATTTTTTCCCATTTGGATTTTCCTTTTTCCGCTTTCCGCAAGCCGTAGATGCCGCAAGCCAGGCGAAATGGATCTGGATATGGCTCCCTTCCGGAAATTGTTCCTTTGAACACGGTCCTCGAAACAAACACCTAAGAAATAAACATAAATACATCTCTTAAAAGGAATCACCTAAAGATACACGCGTATATTAATATCTCAAAAGTATCCCACCATGATCTGGAACGTTCAATCGGTGGATAATCAGCCATTCTTGTAATTAATCGTCGATCCGATGATAATACATAAGGATAGGCCTACGCATCCTTAAGAAAAATTCTTGAGAATATATATGAACGTTAAAGGAAAGGATGTATATTCATCTTGGGATCGTATTTCGTTACGTGTGTATCTCGGATTTTCCTGTAAATATTATTCTAAATTTTCCAGTATGATTCAAGCTCTCATAATTGCGATAACCCTCGCGTATCTTGTATCACGAGGCGAATGCCGCGGGTTATCGTCCGCGTGTTTGCGTCCGATCTCTGTTCCTGGATTCGATATCGCTTCGTCGAGAGGCAAAGACGGAAGTCGTAAAGGCGGCAGACGAGCGTAATGCGAATTTTTACAAACGGAAAAATCAATTCCAAATAATCTATCTCGTTAAGAAAATCATTGATTAATGATACGACTTCAGAGAAATATATATTCTAGAAAAATAGAGAAATTATTAAAATTGCGAAATACGTATACATACGTCAATCAGCATTCAATTAAAGTTTATTTACATCGTCAGTGGAATTTTTTAAAGGACTACTTTATCGATCGTCGATTTACATCATTGATCAAATCAATCTTATCGATCATCGCTTGTGTAGGGACCGATTTATCCGACTCGGATAGTCTTCAAAAAAAATCGCGTTATAGAAATACATCCTAACCTTACCTAATCCAAAGTAACCTAATTAATCAGAATCGGTCCGTTGGTTCGGTCACGCTTTCTAAACTGTTTCAGTTTTTCTTTCTCCTTCGACATCGAATCCGATATATCTGTCTCCCTTCAAAAGGAGAATGTGAGGCGAAATAGCTCAATAGACACCGGACAAGAGATTGATTAAATTTTTATGATGAAAGAAACATATCTTTCATCCTTGAAGAAGGAGAAAAGAAATCGTGATTATACACTTGTAGAGAGTACAGTTAAAGACATACATCTTGTCAGAGTGGAATAAAATTTTATAAAATATAAAATATAAACACTCTCGGTTTATTATTGTTATTATTATCTTTTTTAATTTTTCCGATGCTACGAAGATACGGAGAGGCGAATTTGACGTTATCAGTACGATAAAAAAAGTGCGAATAACAGTCTGCCGCATCCCGGATGATGTCATCAAGTGTGTATATAGGAGATTGATCGAGCTGTCAGATATCAAGATAGCGAACAGATAGTGAGAGCTGTTTGTCGATGTCAAGAAAAGGCACACGGACGACATGTCCTTCCTTCGTGGCTCCGCCAACTACGTTTGGTGCACCACCAGCGTGCTTGGCAAGGGCGCGACTGGCGCGGTGTTCCAGGGTGTCAACAAGAACAATGGGGAACCCGTCGCGGTCAAGACTTTTAATCAGCTCAGTCATATGCGCCCTCACGACGTACAGGTGAGGGAGTTCGAGGTCCTCAAAAAGGTCAAACACGAGAACATCGTCAAATTGTTGGCGATCGAGGAGGAGCAGGATGGCAGGGGTAAGGTGATTGTCATGGAGCTCTGCACCGGCGGTAGTCTTTTCAACATCCTGGACGATCCCGAGAATACGTATGGTCTTGCGGAGAGCGAGTTTCTCCTGGTGTTGGAACATCTGTCGGCTGGTATGAAGCATCTACGTGACAATAATCTGGTTCACAGGGACCTGAAGCCAGGTGAGAGAAGGCGAGACGCATATTAAATTTATGTATCAATTTATTTATGTATCAATTGCTTCACGTTTGAATTTTTATTCCTTCCCACGCAGGTAATATAATGAAATTCATCGCCGACGATGGTAGTACGATATATAAGCTCACAGACTTCGGGGCCGCTCGAGAATTGCAAGAGGATCAGCAGTTTGTTTCCTTGTACGGCACCGAAGAATATTTGCATCCGGATATGTATGAACGTGCGGTCCTGCGGAAGCCCGTTGGCAAAACGTTCGGAGCGACTGTCGATTTATGGTCCATAGGGGTGACCCTCTATCATGTCGCGACGGGAAATTTGCCGTTCAGACCATTCGGCGGGCGTAGGAACAAGGAGACTATGTTCTACATCACGACGAAGAAGGCATCAGGCGTAATATCCGGACTGCAAACTTCGGAAAACGGGCCGATCGAGTGGAGCAGGGAACTGCCACAGACTTGTCAATTGAGCGCAGGCCTGAAGAGGATTGTGACTCCATTACTGGCCGGCTTACTCGAAGTGGATCAACAAAGAATCTGGAGCTTCGATCGATTTTTCAGCGAAGTCACGGATACGCTTTGCCGAAAACCCGTTCACATATTCAATGTTCATCGAGCCAGCCTGATCAAGGTCTTCTTACATCCGGAAGAGAAGCTGGTCGCTCTACAGATACATATTCAGGATCAGACCGAAATTATACCCCACGCGCAAATCCTTCTTCTCGGGGAGGTGCCTCTCACGAATTTCATTGAGGAATCTACGCCGGGTAAAGGATATCCCAACACCAGTAATGATAAACCGTTAATGCTTTTCTCGCGAGAAAATAATAATGTCGTGTTGCCAACGGAGACCGAGCTGCCCAAGTTCCCCGTCTTCGCAAATCTCGTTTCCGTAGAGAATGATGCGAGTCAGGCCAAGGTCGCATGCTCTGTAGGCCACGTTTGTAAACGTAGAATCGACAAATTAGCATTGTGCAGTAAACTGTCGCGAGATGCCATAGAGGCATTCGGTGGACTCTTATCTACCGAACTCACCCGAGTATTGGGAAAGTGTCATCATTCGAAGGAATTTACAAAAGCAATGGAGGATACTATATTAGCAATTGAAAGGAACGAGACTTTTGCTAGACATGTCTTTCGGAAATTCGGAAGTGGCAGTCAAACTGCGATAGAATTGAAAAATTGGCGAAAAGAGTTGGATGCAAAGAACAAAGAGCTTACCAGTGAATTGACTCCAGCAATAGTGCAGCTTCATCAAAGGTAAATTGTCTCAAATGACAATGTAAAATATATCTGTTACATCCACCATATTTGTATATATCCAAGAAACTTGATCTAATAGAAGAAAAATAATTTTTTGTATTTAATTTCATTGGAAAAATTGTTCATTCCTGTTTACAAATATTTACGTCTTTTATTTCGATATTTCAATGATTTGTAGATTAAATGTGCCTAAGTTTAATATAAAGAGTACAATGGAAAAGAAAAAAAATATAATTAAATATTATATAAAATTGCAGATATGTGAAGGAGGGTAATTTACGTGGAGAATGGGACAATAGTACTCGTGGCTTGTGCTGTCCGTGGGCGACGAAAGCGAGCCAAAGGGCAGCGACGTTAGTCGATCGTTTGAGAGATGGATGGCAACACTTGCTGAGAGACAGAGCCACTCGTAGTCTCACTTACAACGACGAACAATTTCACGTTCTTGAACGCATAAAGGTATACAAATTTATGTTAAATTTCCTGATCCATTAAATACGACAATATTAGATGATAAAGAGTTAAAAAGGGGAGAAGAGGAGAGAAATCGCGCAAATAATTTCTTGCAATTGTCGATTGATTGAAACACTAATCTCCCTCGGTTACAGGTCACGGAAACAGGACGTCGATTGAAAGCGCTTCTCGAGACGGAATGTGTACCAGCTATGACGCAGCGGTCCGAGTGCGTCGCTGATTGGTATAAAATGGCACAAACGGTGTTCCTGCAAACTCAGATATTAGACAAGGACATAGATGGTTATGAACACGCGTTGGAATCGTTTTCCTATCGTTTATCACAGGAAAGCAAGGAGCGTAACGAGAATCTTTTGCACTCGTTGGACAGGTTACCCGGAAAATTAAAAACAGTCGAAAAAACGAACGTGCCGGCACAGGAGAGCACCAAGAAATGGCGCAATATTTGCGATACGCAGGAACAAATTGCACTGGTTCTTTATGAAAATAGTCTGCTCATAGATCAACTTGACAATTTGTCAGTGATTGATAGAGTGGAAGATATAGACGATTCGCAATATGAACTTTAATATGAGCAATTTTGTCATTTTCTCTATCAATCATCCGACTATACTTATGAGATGAAGACTGAAAATTAGAGTGTATATATTAACAGAAAATCCGAGATGTATGTACGGGATTGGTGCTGTATAGATTTGCTAAACTAAGTAAAGACATGGTACGCATTTTTTATTTCTTCGAACGAATAAATGACTATTTTACTTTAAGATCAACATATTGTTTATTTTCAATGAGTCCAACGATCGCATCTTAATAAATAATAATTATATCTTTATAACAAAGCCAAACATAGGCAAGTATGTAGTAATTTTAATTTTACGTCGTTATATAGTAAAAAATTAGTATCTTAAATTTATTTATTTATATGCTATACGTACGAATATTTACGTGTCTATATGACTAGTATTTCTCTCGACTAAAGAATTCAGTCTTTGTTTGCGCTTTTGCTCCTTGTGTTGTTCTTGAACTATATGGAAATGTTTCAATAGTTCGCTGAAATCGAACGGACAATAAGCAGTTTTCTCATGCGAGTTTTCACTTTTATTGGATATCGGTTTCGTAGCTGGAGGTATCGCCGCTAAGCGACGTTGTAAAGTAGCGTAAGCTTCACTCTGCGGTAGAATCATGAGCAAACCATACAATGCATATATTAGAGCATCATTTTTCTCCCATTCCAATAATTGCAATCTCAAATCTTAAATGAGAAAAAAATATATAAAATACACATTTTATAACAATATCAGATTATACTTACAGATCAGATATAGATTATCAGATATACTTACAAGTAAATATCGGTGATTCTATTAGCTGCACTAATTTGTCTATTTCGGTCAGAAACTCCACTGTAACTTCTATATTTTCGCTGAAAATATGTGTTAAGGTTTTAAAGAAAAATTATTGAAATAGCAAAAAAATTGATTGATTGAAAGGCAATAGAGTAAAGGATACAAAGATCGAATAATGTTGCAAGCATGTCGATAATGTTGAGACAGAAGACATAAAGCCACTGTCGCGACCGGATTGTGACACCAGGATAAGTACAAACATTCGAATAATGCACAACTGTCCTAAAAATATTAATATTTCAGAAAATTTCGAAGTATTTTATTTATATACAAGAAGATATCGATATAAAATTGAAAATTCATATTTAATAGTTCAATAAAGTCTTGCAAAAAGTGAAATTGAATATGGGAAACTTACTGGAGAATCTAAATGTCTAAGTTTGTTGCGCAAATCGAATAATTCGGAACTGGTTAACAGAATAACGTTCAAGGTTTGTATCATTGTACAGGCAAAGTTTAAATTTTGTTCCTCCAATAGAATCTTTGCCAGTGTTTTGTATATATCTTCTGCACTCAAAAGGATACATAACTCTCTTATAATAAAAGCACCTCGTTCTTCCAATAAATGTCTATCAGTCGAGAAGAGCCTCAATAAATTGACTATAAATTTGGTGAAATACTTATTCTGTACTTTTGCATCGGGATCGGTCGTTACTGCCTCCGGAGATTTCGAACTGATAATCTCGGCCATTACCACTAAAGTCTGTTGCACCACCTCGTCCGAAGGATCACTTAAGGATTTCATTAATATCGGAAACAAGTCTTCGATATGATTAAACATTTTATGCGGAATGTTTATGAACAAGTGATGTATCCATTTTAAAACTGCGACTTTGGTTTGAACCGACAGATATAATAAATGTTTTGTAAGTACTTCTACAACACTGGCCAGATCCAAACTTTCAGCCAAAGAACAATTTTGCATTGTATCTAAAAATAGAAAACAGAGAGAATTCTATTATAATCATATATAACATACTCTAAGATTGTTGAGGACATTTAATTCTTTTTATTTTAAATTTTCTGAAGTAATTTAAATTACTTCTAATTTTAAATAATATTTGCAGCAATTCAAAACATTTGCCAATAATTTGGAATACATTGTTTAGTCTATTTATATTAATATTATATTCAAATTGATAGAATTAATTTGTAATTTACCGTTTTTCCCATTTGTAGAATGTACATTATCATTCTCCTTCTTACTTGTAATCTCTGTATTTTCCATAATTATTAACTTCATTAAATTTGCATTTACTTGCGTCGCTGTTTCTTTAGTACTCTTCCGTGTATCACCATCATAGGCCAAGCATGGCAAAACCGCCACGAGAATGCCGGACATGTACGGGAGCATAAGAGGCCCGGACAAATGTACGAACTCCTTTATCCATGTGATGGCGGTTAATTGAAGTAGTTCGTCATTACTCTGAGCGTGTGTAATCAGTATATTTATCATGGCTGGAAAATCCACCCGTGCGGGATTGGCTTTTATGCTACGTAAGAATTCACCGAGAACTGTATCTGTAACCTTTTTGATCTCCGGCGTTGGATCCTCCAATATTCTGAACAGTCCATCGAGTATCTCTGGCAGAAATATAATAAAGTCCATATTGGGTACTGCATCCAGCACAGATACCCACGATATTACAAACTGTCTGCCGAATGGATTTTTCGTGTAAATACGTTCGCGCAACAGAGGCATGAATCCAACTAAATCAAAGAGGCCGCTCTCCGTCACGATATCCTAAAAGCAATGTAAAAGATGTAGAAACCTATTTGCGCTGTTAACAATGACAGGTTGATGGTCAGTTACCTTCATCAGTCTATCTAGTAGCTCGGTAGCGTTCTTTATAGTCTGCTCAGAATCGCAGGCCAATTTACTAAGAGCAGCAAAGATATCTGTAAACTGAGGCAGCACCGCACCTCTTGCCACTTTAACCACGTTGTACAGGCTTTCGCAAGCATAGTACCTGACTCTCAGGTCGGCGTCACAGAAGCATGCTAGTATCGGATGGATCAGATCCTCTATATACTGACCCGTATCCTTCCCAAGACCAACGGCGATGGCCGCGAGACCGATCAAGCCACCCTTGCGAGTATGTGGGTTCTGCGAAGTGGCGAAGTCTTGTCCGAGAACCTTCAATAATCTCTTGATCAGCATAGTGTTGTTGTGAGCGGCAAATTCCTTCACCATTCTATAAAGGAATTTATCAAATTCAATAATATGATAATTTAGCGCATGTTAATAACCTTACTTCTCTATCTCCACAGCAGCTGGTTTCCGTTTCTCGTACAACTTGTCATTGAGAGAACGAACGCACGCCGCGCTTAAAGGCGCGTAATCCCTCTCGGACATCATCTTCGACGATCTATTCCAATGTCCCAGAAGTTTATTGATAAAATCTCAAGTAATGTCAAAATTGTCAAAACATGTCAAAATATGAAGGCTCGAAGGCGCGTGCAAGATTACGTTCGAAAATCTACTTGTAGAGAGAGTGAGGTTTGATTGACCAATCAGGATAAAAGAAGCAAAAGTTTCTTTATTCCGATTGGTCGATCAAACGCTACTCTACTTTGACGAGTAAATTTTCGAACGCAATTATAGTAACAAGTGGCAGAGGTTGATTTAGACACTCGATGAACATTAAACGTGGATTATCGATTGATTTCGTATTAAAATTGAATTTTTAATAGTTCTCTTTACAAGTATTTTAAGTAAAATGTTTTACCTATATATTTATTTTTTTTAATGTACATTTTTTAATTTCATTTTGAATTATTTTTGCAAGCTTTATAAAAGTCTACAGATCTGTCTGTAAATAGATTGTCGATATCGACAGTATTAAGATATTCCTCGAGTTTAGAACTCATGACATGATGTATCGATGCTTTTTTTACGGTAATCTTCTCTGGAATAGGTATGGTAGGCTTGAACGCTACACCACTAGGATCATACTCTATGTAAAGCTCTTCTGGTGTTCTAAAATTAATAAAACAATCAAATGCTAGAATTAAACAATGCAAAAAAAATGCTAGAATTAAACAATGCAAAAAAAAACTAACTTAATTCACTTCTTCATGATTAGTATACAATAAAATCGTTCATAATTTTCTACATCTATTTACAAATTCTATATCTATATATAAATTGTTAGGCAAAATTGATACTCACAATTTTGCAATTTCAACAGGTAAACTGCCTTCACCACTTGTAGGCACTACATGTGCTATATTTTTAGCGAGCTGTCGTACTATACTATGATAGTGACGCTGTAATAATATATTATATTGTATGTTTCATTTAATTTTCTTAACATAAAGAGTATCATATCAAAAATGCATGTACCTGTAAAGCAACAAGTTCGTATAATGCAGTACTATGCGCGTTGCAATAGTCAGGTTCTTCGATTTCAATTTGATAATGACTGTCTCCACTGCAGTCGGTATCCAATAAAATATGTGCCGCTTTTCCAAATTGCATGACTTGTTTTATAATACCGAGAGTCGCCAGCGTTGCATTATGTTGTAACTGCAAAGCCTGTATGCTTATTTTCTTGACGAACGCTATCAGACGCGTCTGCGAAATCCTTTTCCGCTGATGAATGAGAATCTGTGTCAACGTCTTCAGTACAATCTCAGTTTCCGCGTGCGTCCTCCCACAATGAACTTTTAATATATTTTTGTACAAATGTACATAAAACCTACATAAATATATATGTATGTAGAGACTATAATTTTTTCTTATAAAGTAGGCGTTTATCCTACAAAAAACATAAAGTTATATATTGAGTTATATTACAAACCTATATGGATCGATATTTAATGCTGCACCTTGGCCAGATAATATTGTAAATATACATTGGATACAGTGTAATTGTTGTCTCAACCCTAAGTGATCTTCTTCTATTAATTTATCTATAACACTTACTAAGTCCTGATAAAAATCTATATTAATACAATGTGCGAATCTGAAATGTACAGGTAAAATAAAATATAGGTAAAGATAAAAATAAACAAAATATAGGTAAAGATAAAATATAGGTAAAATATAGGTAAAGATAAAAATAAACAATACAAATTGATATAATAGATAAAATGTCTTACTTAGCTAATCCTTCCAAACACACAGACAATACTTTACTATTGGGAGCTTGTTTTAGAACTCTGAAGTATATAGTAAATATCACGCTTGTAATTTCAGTGAGAATTTTAGATTTTGTCTGTTTATTTTCTTCAGCCTTTGTCTCAAGTAATTCTTTCTCTACTTGTTCCAGTTTTTTGTTTTTTTTTCTCTCTCGTCTGCTTAACGCGAGAATTCTTTGCTTATGAGACATGAGTTTTCTTTGCTTTGTTTCCTCTTCTTTTTCTTTGTCCAGATTGACATCTTTTATACGAAGAGATAATAACACTGTTATGACTTCAGGATGCACAGAATGTTTTCTTGATTTGATATATTGATTTAATTTTCGAACTATCTGAAATTTTATTAATATAAATAAATATCACATTTAATGTTTTCATTAGCACCTTGAGATATAAAATTTTTATTTGCATACATACACACACACACACACACATTATTTTTTATTATTGTAATATACTTACTGTGAGAGATAATTGACCACGTTTATCGTCTTTGAATATTTGAGAAATGCATTGAGCTACTCTCTCTCTTATATTTCTCTGTTTGTTATCCAAGAAAGGAAGAATATAATTAGCTATATTAACAGAGAAATTGAAATATGGATGAGTGGTGAGAAGCTCGCACATGCACGATAGGGCTATTTCACCTAATCGCATTTCTCGTTCGTTTACTGATCGTGTATCTCCTTTCTTTTTTCTCAAAATCTTGGATATCTTTTCGAGTCTCTTTAAATAGTTTTTGTAACTGCTTAACAATGTAGCTTCATAGTTTTGCAGTGCAAGGGTCTCCTTTTTTACTAAAATCACAAATAAAATTTAAATTAAAAATTATTAAATGATATGTACATTATGCAATTGTATATTATAATTTTGTTACATAAATGTTATATGTATAAATACATACACTTTATTCCTTCTTGAGAAACTTGCAGAAGGCTATAAGATGGTAGCAAATCTTTAAAGACTTCAAGAAGAGATACCATTGCCAGTTTTCTGACAGTGATATAAACTTCTGAAGCTCTCTCATCCATCATATCTAACAATATCTTAAAATTTCCAGATTTGAGTTGTGGATTTTCTAGAATACCACTTGAAAGTATACCTATCTTAAACCGTTTAGACTTCAATAATTCTTCGCGACATGCCAAAAGTTCAACAGTAGATACTGGTTTATCAGTTTCTTGTAAATTATTCTGCAAATTTTTAATAAAGATAATATATTTTAAGATTTTTAAATATATATTCTTTTAATTGAATTTCTTTTTAATTCTTACACATGTATCTATGTCCATTTCTATGTCACTATTTTCTTGATTATTTTCTTCATTTTCTTTTTGATTATTATCTGTAATTTGGTCTTCTTCCTCATTTACAACTTCATTATCTTCTTCAATGACACGTTTCTCCACAAGACCATTCTGTGTTTTTATGGGAAGCATCATGCGAACTGATTTCTTAGATGTTTCTTCCATGATTTTAGAAACATTATTTTCGTATAATTCCTCTAATGCATGATCATCTTCTGTTTTTCTTTTTTTTCTTTTACTTTGATTTTTGTCTGATCTACAAAATCCAAAACAATTAATAATATGTTTTACATGCAAAAAATTGTATTTTGTTTGAGAGAAATTATATATAATCATACTCAGTTAAACGAATTTGTTTCAGCAAGTTATAAGATCTATTAGATATAGCTTTTTCCAAGAATTTTAAGTCATCTTCTTCAACCATATTCATCAAATCCTCTCCATGATCACTCTCTTCTTCTTCTACTACTTCTGGACATGGTGGTGCCGGCTTCTGAAATTGCTTCTTTGGTGGTTTATGCCGTCGAGTCTTCAGTTTTCCTTGCTTTGAAAGCTTTGTCTTTATCTGATAGTTCCTTTTAATTTTACTAATTTTTAGCTTTTTTAGTTTCTATAAAATAAATAATTGCATAAATACTGTACTTATATATATTATTTTATTATAAATTTCAGTAAAAGTAATTACAAATCAGTTCGTTAAAAGTTAAAAATAAATAAGAATAAAAATTTGTAAAAAATATATAGCTTAGAGAATTAAAAATTGACAATTATTATTAATAATGATGTAATTTTCCTACAAATAATATTATGTACTTAATTTTTGAGAGATTATTAACAATTATCTCTTAAAAGATATTTAGAAATTATTAATTCTTACCCCCATATTTATTGTAAATTAACAATAACCTAAAATATCATCTGATACCGTAAACTAAACTGAAATAAACGTGCTCACGTGCGTTCGATCATGTGTATATAGGTTTTTTTAATCTAGAATGAGAGAGAAGCAATCCTGCTTAGAGATAACTAGAAATATAATCGATAATCGTTGTCATGTAGTGTCGCATGTCGCAGCCTTGCAAAACACTTGATATATGTAATCTGTGATATTTATTCTTCAACATGTCTGCTACGACTATGCATAAATTTATAACTTTTATAGGAACTATGTCTATATTACATGCGGCTTATTCCGCCGCCCAACGTGAGTATTTGCTTTCTGTTTCTTCTATTTTTTTCCTCAACGTGTTTGATATTTCTTTTTAGGTTAAATTGATGTTAACTTACAGAGGAATTATAGATTTGCTTTTTTTGTATTTATAATGAGATTAATATGTAACTTTTGAGAAAGAAGAACAAAAAAGTTAAAATACAATTAAAACGAATAAGATAAAATTTTGTTTGCAGATCGATCCTATTTGCGAATCACCGAACAGGAATTTACTACTTTACCAATTGATGTAAGTTAATAATAATTAATTATTGTTTCTTACTGAAAAATTATTAATTGCTGTACATGGACTAAATTTGATAAATCTAATAAAAGTGTTTTTGTGTCGAATAATGTATATTATTAGCGTATAATGTTATTTTACTATTGTTACAGATTTTAATTCAAGGTATAATTAGTTTATTTATCGTCATGTATGGTGTTATGTACATTGCTGGTGATTTTAAAGAAATTCGAGCGGTTGTTGATTTGGAGAATAAATCTTGGGAAACACTGCGAAATTTACCATCCTTTCAAGTATTTAATCATCGTGGGAGATCTCTTTCACCAGAGTACATTCCAGAATAAAAGTTTTTTTTATATTAAATTATTGAAAAATATAATAAATGTATAGATTTAGTTGTTTTGTTTGTTGAATCTTTTAATTTTTTCAGCTGAAATTTATAGAAATTTATCAATACTAAAAATTCTATTCACACAATGATGTATTAAAATATATCTTTTAAAAAAAGACAATCTATAAGAAGTAAACAAAAGAACATTTGTAATAATTATTATAACAATATTAATACTTTGTATACAGATGCGTGAAATTTAATTTATTGCTGAAAACAATTTATAAAACACTATGATCATTCTCTTTATAATGTAATGTAATTAAAATTTATTGTAATTTAAATTTTGAAACTTGGCGTTTTATATGTACATTTCACATAGTTTTGTGACAGTAAATATAAATATAAATTATAAGGAAATCACGATTTTATCACGTTTCATTTTCCATCAGTTTTTTCCTATTTCCAGTATGTTTATTTTATAAGAAAAATTAATGATACAATAGAAGTGCAAAATGGGCAAAAGCATCACTTTTTCTGCTTTTTCTTTTCTGCTTCTGCTTCTTTCTCTTTTTCGATTTCTGTTACATATTCACCTATGGTGTCCGTATCCAACATCTAAAAAATTATTGTAATATTGTCGAATAATACCTTATAAAAGAGATATTTATATTTTTGTTCAAAACATATTTGCATAATTTAGCAAAAATTGCAGATGTACCTGTAGTGGCTGTCCGCGTCGCATTACCGCTATTTCCAAATTTTTTTGTCCAGATTGAACTACTTCAAGCAATGCCCTAATCGCCAGTTTTATACAACCTCTTTCTGTCGACACTTCCTCTGTAGTATAATATTTTTCCAAGAATTCATGTACAGTCTTGGCGCTGCGTCCTGTAGCGTTTGCCTTTATGAGAAAGAAACATTTGATATAAATTTAACTATTAAAATAATTATTTTTTTATTAAAAAGAAATATAATAAAAGAAAAATTTTTTAAAAATATTTTATAATAAAAGAAATATTTTTTATTAAAAAGAAACTAATTTTATCTTGATGTACCTTCCACTCATAATATATCCCTGATGGCTCTGTTTGATAGAGATGTGGTACACCATCATAATCAAATCCAGTTAGCAAACAAGATATTCCAAAAGGTCTACGGCCATTACTCTGTGTATATTTTTGTTTTAAGCCTGCAAATAATCATAATTCTGACAAATGATAATTAATAATATTTATAAATAATTATGAAAATAATGATAATTATAATAAAGTAATAATTATTTTAAATAATTTTAATTTTCTGTTAAACATTATATAAATTCTAATCATACCTGCGATATACCTCGTAATATATTCCAAGGTAACAGGATCTTCTACGGTCAACTTATGGCTCTGACATTCAACTTGTGCACGATTGATTAATACTCTTGCATCAGCAGTTAAACCTATTAAGAAGAATAGTAACTATTCTATATATTTCTATATACTATTTTATATATTTTATATAGATACGGAAAATCAATATTTATATCAATGATGTATACAGTACCTGCAAAGGCCATAATTACATGATCATCCAAGAGACATATTTTGCGCACTGTACGTTCTTCTTGTAATTTAGCGACAGATTTCTTCTCGACGCCTAAAACTACTACATCGGCGCCACGTACACCGACCTTACAAAAAAATTTTCACACATATGAATAAAATAAAAAATAAGAAAATATTAAAAAATTTTAATATTAACAATGTTATATAGAGCTGAAATTTATATCATTTATTAAGTATTTTGCAATTTTTCACGATTTGAAAATGACATGGATATTTATCTTACATATAATAATAGATATATATGATATGATAGAAATGTAATATTATAGTGACAATAATATATTGACAAAGCTGGTTATCCTAACCTAACTCAGAAAATACGCAAAGTCATACGCGAGTTAAATCGAAATTAAATGGTTTAATTGGAAATAAAATTTGTTTGTACAATAATAAGATGATTCTAGGCAGATAAATAAAAGAGAGCCAAGTAGAATCATGGAAAGTGATCTCTCAAGATAGGAGGGAGGTTATGTTGAACTTAGCGTACCGCTGTCGACCCCTTTTTGACAGCTTCCTGAGCGTATTCCACCTGGAGCAGATGGCCGTCCGGTGAAAATACTGTGATCGCTCTGTCGTATCTTGCCGACATTGTCTCAGCCGTTCGAAACAAGCACCGTTTTGTAAGAAGCTTGAAATGACTCCGCCGTTTTCCTTTTCAGTCACCAAACTTCACCACTTTTTCGTTCCAATGCGCAGACACGAACATGACAACGCATTTCCCTAGCAATGGTTAGAAAGACTCACTCCTTCACGCATGCGCGATATAACTGTGGGGATATAAACGTGTCAGAAATACCTTTCTACTTTCGACCGGAAGCCAAGTTCGACATTTTCAAGTCGAATTTTTATGTAATGTCTAGATATTCATGTATCATGATTGTTAATTTCGAAAAGAATTAGCAATGTTTTTATTGAACAGGAGATAAAAAATGATGTCATCATTTTTTTGTGTCTTAATTAGTCAAACAGCTGTCAAATTATTAAAATTGTCAATTTGTCAGTAATCATGATGCGTGAATATTTAGATACGATGCGTTTGAAAATATCTAAATTGGAAGTAAAACATTTCTGATGTATTCTGTATAAATTACATATTAAATTATGTATATATCACACACAAGTTGTATTAAATTATATAAATTACTCTGATTTTAATAATTAATCAGACGACATGCATACATTGTATAACTTTCTTCCCATTTTATTTCTTTAAGTTTCTAAAAATTTCTAAATAAATAATAATTTTTAGAAGTTATACAGGATCTTTTCATACTTGCATTAAACATATATATAAAAAATAAAGATTGTCTCCCCGTTTTCTTCATTTAATACTAAATACGCAGTTAATCTCTTAAATAAATGTTCTAGATTTGATTTTTTTCTTAAATATTTAAATTTAACATTCTACTATTTTAATTTTTATATTGTATTTATTTCTATGTTTTTATATATTATATATTTTATATATTTTTTTTAAATTTGTGCATTTATTTTGCTTTACATTATTATCACTGCTATATGTATTGTTTACCTCGTTACAATGTGTATTATTCTTGGAACAATATTGCAAGCAATATACAGCATTTATAATTATATAATATACAATATATTCATAATTAAATAGAAATTATGATAATATATGCAATATAAAAATATGAAAAATATACTTTTTAAGAAAAAAAATTGTTATTACTGGAATAATTGAAATTATCAGAGAACGTTCCTGTACTTCCTTGATTTATATAACGCATGTATGACGATCCTTGATTTATATAACGCATGTATGATAATCTCTCGACATTCTTTTGTTTGAAGAAAAATCCTATACAAGTTTAAGAGACTGGAAAATATAATACATAAATTGTAGTTAAATATATACACAAATATTGCTTTATAAAATAAAATATATTTTGTATTATCATATTATATTTTATATAAATCAACAATTAAACTGTAAAATTATTTGATTTAAAATATTATTCATTATATATTGGATACTGTAAATAGATCCCTATTCTAATATTGCTTAATTTTGATTCATAATGATGATATATAAAAACAAATAGTTTACTTCATTTATTATGTTGGAAGTTAATTTATTTCACTAACATGAAAATTTAATATAAAATATAAAAGTAAGATGAAAATAGTCATATTTATAGTATTGTACATTTTCTCAAATCGTAATATGCAACTGTAAAATGTCATATTTCGTTTCTAAGTTGATTGACATTAATTAAAAAGGAAAAAATATCTCAGTTTTTAATAAACTATATTATACATAAGAGAGAAAAACTTTTTCAAAAATTTAGAACATGTATAAATCATAAATTAAATTGATTGTACGCAAAAATTTTGAAATACCAATAAATATTAATTATATTATCTGTTCAATCAAACTTTCAATCAAACAATTAACATTGATTGTGTTGTTATCTTAATATATTTTATTAATCATTTATACTTATCTCTATTATATTTGTCTTATCACATTGCAATATGTTCACTCTTAATTAATTAACGTTTCGACTTTTAGAATTTTAAACGAATAAGTGGGGATGAATAGGCAGAAATGGTATCATTATAAGAGAAACGTTCGGCTTAGAGAAACGTTTAGTCAAGGCTGGTCGCTCGCGCTGCGTTACATTCGCTATACAACATGATCGGGTCGGTATACTTTCTTTTCATTATCATTCTGCAAAGGTGCATGTAGTAAGCAAAATACCTCGCTGAAGTCGTCAATTTTGCGCAATTCGATATTACCTAAATCCTATTAGCTTATAAAAAAAGAAATATAAATTTGTGCAACGTGTCATCTGTGTGAAAGCATAGCTATGTAAAAAATGTTTTGATATATGGGATAATTAAAATTAACATTATCAGAAAATTTTAGTTTGTAAATGTGTGATGCTTAAACAGTGTTATCGATCTACCGATATAAAAATATTTGTGATTTACTTAAAAATGTGTTTGATGAGTTTATCATTTTTAACATAATTTATTTGTTCTCTTCTAATATACACATTTACCAAATTCATAATTATACTATATTTAATTTGTCAATTGATTTGTTGATTGAATATTTCTTAGATATATGTAACATGTAAAATAATATTAAACTTATACACTAAACATGCAAAAGACAATGCTAAATTGGCGTGATAATATTAATGACGAAATGGAAATTCTAAAAATAGTTTTCCACATCAAATATTTACATAAAGTTGCGAGGAGTTTCTTAAAGGAGTAAAAATTTGTACGTTTTTTTTGTAAATATGAGTTGTAATTTGTACGTTTTTTTTGTAAATATGAGTTGTAATTATGAGTGAAGCTATCATAATGCTTAATAAATTTCGACGATTAGTCACACAATTAAATATATTCTACTTTATCTTTTTTCGTAATGTTTATCTTTTTTATCTTGATAACAACGAAATATCTTTAGACGAATATTCGTTATAAATAAAATTCCAATGAATAAATTAATTTATTCATCTGTACATGAAATTTTTAATTTACTCTTCTTTAAATATCTTGGATTTATCATTTATTACATAGAAATTTAATTTTGATAATAAAAGTGATTTTCTTATATAATGTTCCATTTAAAAAAAAAACAATTTTCATTATGATATTTAATTTTCTCAAAAAATTAAAAAAATAATTATTAATTTTCAAGAGAAAAATTGTGATAACAGAAAATGATACAGTGTATGCACTAATTCCTCGAGTAATTGGCAAAAATGTAATCGTGTGCAATTAAGACGCTGGGTCGCAATCGCACGTAAAACGTCATCATATGCGCGTAAATACGAACGAGTTATTTATCGCAATCTTAAATCAGATAGAATGAAAGAGAGAAATATTCAGATAGAATGAAAGAGAGAAATATTAAAAAAATATTTTCATTGAAGGCGCCATTTAATTTCACATCTTTTCAGAAGTATTGTATTTTCTACAGTAATACTTATTTATTGCGTCGCTTGCATAATAAAGATAACTAACTGTAACTTTATGTTAATTATATAGATAAAGAATAGATAAAAAATAGATAATTATATAGATAAAGAAAGATTTAAAATTTATTTGCATATAGTTATTATTAATATATTTTTAATTTATTTGCATATAGCTATTATTAATATATTTTTGTTCAGAATGTCAAGAATGAATTCACTGACAAAGTTCAGCAAAGAAGATTTTATTTCCAAGAAAATCCTTAAATTTTCTTTAATTTATCGATCCATTAACAGTCCTTTAACAATTATTGTTTCAATTTATCGCGGTTAACGAATCATTAATACTCATCTTAAAAAAATATTTTTTAATATATTTAATCAAAATAAAAAGTTTCTTAAATTTTTTAAATAATATATTTATTTTAATTATGTTTTAATAATTTAAATAAAATTATATTATTAAAAAATTATTAAAAACGTGTTAAAAATATATTATTACAAATATATCTTATTAATTTAAATTAAATTATTGTATAATTAATTTCATTTTATAATAAATTATATATAAATATTACAAAAATAAATATTAGTATAAAAATAAGTATTATAACAGTAATATTTATAATTAATTTTACTTTTTTATAATCTTCTTATCTATAATATCAGTTAAAATATCATAACTGAATGAATGTCTGGATGAAATGAATGTCTCATATTATGATATACGAAATAAAAATCTTACACTTGTAATTAACCAAATATTTATAATTACGTAAAACATTCTATTCAAAATCACATGAACGTAATAAAAATGTTTGAGTTGTAGAAAAACACGGTATATTTCTTTATTAAAAATTTCATTATATAATACATCCAGGTACAATAATAATTTGCCATCTCTGATATTATCAAATAGTACTTCTAAAATAAATATATTCTATAAATCATACTTATTTAAAAAAATAATTCTGCTTCAGAAGATTAGCATTGTTCAATAACATTGATTAAAGATATTTAATTCACATTTACGAGATCGTTATATTGATAAAAATTTTTCTTTATCTACATGAAACACGTCTGTTGCATTAATTCCCCTATGTAATATCTTTTTATTGCACATTTATATGATAGAAATCGACGGGTAGAGATAAAGTGCTTTTAACAATATATTTATGTGTTATCGCGTGTATGTGTATCTGTGTGCGATAATCAATTATTCAGTAAAGAAAACGTGTAAATTAGATATTGTATACAAATATATATATGTGTATAAATTTAATCAAATTTCGCAAATTAATTAAATTATTAAATGTGAAACTTGATTGACAAAAATATGTTTTTCTTTTGTATTTTTCATAATTGGAATTCATATTTTTAAATCATATACATCATGAAATTAATAAAAGTACAACTTTTAAAGACATAGTTCGATGTTGCTTGTAAGCTATGAATTTATTGAATGAAGTATACATGTGTTACGCAATCTCTCAGCGAATCGCATAGTAAATCGCATGTCTTATACGTATATATATCTGCGATTATATGAATGATGATAACTAGACTATGTTCTTGAATCAACATAATAAAAGTGACAGTAATATGATGCATGATCGCACTAATATCTTTCACGCGATATACATATTCACTTGTATAAACCGAGTTAATTTTAATTTTTATCCATCATAAATTATGTTAATCGTGCTTATAAAATGGTTATAAAATAATTTTTAATCTACATTTGCAATCTGTTGCCAATTATAATGTATTCTTAGCGATTATTAACTTTATCATGATTTATTTCGATGTATGATCACATTTTCCGTTCAAATTTTAATTATTAACAAAATTAACACTATATACATATTATGTGCGAAATTATTTTATATTGTAAAAAAGAATTACAAAATTTATAGGACACAATGTAAAACTATTTCCATTATGTCATCTTATTATAATTATATTTTATTGCGACTAATAGAGATAACAGTGACGCAAATATAAACGCGGTCACGGCAAACCATCAGAGCGTAATCACGGTCACGAGATCTGTACCGGCAGAAGCTTCAAGCATCACTGATTTTTGTTTTACGATTACTACTACATATTATGCAGTTAATCTTTTTTATCAATCGATAATAATTCGATATGCATTGCGATGATATATCCCTGCCAAAAGAAGAAAATGCATCTGATAATAAATATTAGCGTACATAACATAATTTATTAACATATGTTGACCAGGTTTTTTATTGTTTAGCGGGATATTAATTTACGCATGTATGGCCGTTGATAGAAGCAACGTCAAATAAAAATTTTTAATATTGAATATCAGCACATACATATATACACACACATATGCGTGTGCGCGAGGTTCGATTAAGTTTGCAATATCTACAATTAAAGAATGCATGTGTAGTCGGTTCTGCTGGTGATTGTCGCAATATTCAATCGTGAATTTCCATGAAACAGCCGCAACAATTCCGATTAATTTTCTATCGTCGAAAGAATAAATTGTTTAAAACAATTATAAAAAAATCTAATTTTTAACGTTTATATTTTTACATGGTTTGTGCAGAATCAAAAGGAAAAAGTTGGTTATATTTGGCGTGACTGCGGTCGTAGTTGTGGCTATTTTTGTAGCAATAATAGCAATTTTGCTGACGCGCAAAACTCTTGCTGACGACTCAAATGCCAAATTTGTCAAATGCGGCTCAAAGTTCATTAGTGACTCCAAGATGGGTAAATATAAGAAGGTAATATTTATTCATCAATTATTTATAATCAATTATTTTATGTTATAATCTGATTAAAAAATTGATAACATTTGAACAAAAGAAAAAAATGTATTTTTAGATATAGTTATTTTATTTTTCTGAAATTTGATGTCGCGAAAAGAAGAAGACTTTCTCTAAAATAACATTTCTACATATCATCAATAATATGAAATGAATTACATTTAGAATTTAATTTTATATGAGATAATAATGAAGAATAAGCGTAATGTGTATCTAAAAAATATATGTATATATTTAAAAAAAATATATATTATTATTAGATATTTTATAAAGATATTAAAATTATTATGAATTTTTAATAGCTTATTTAATTTATTATTTTCTCACAAATATTCGACTAGCTGGAGAAAAATGCAAAATAAGGAGTGATGACGAATTTTTGAATCTTTTTTATATTTATTGAAGCTTTTTCTATAAACAGGGTGCCGTGACGACAAACGGTCAGGAATGCGCACAAATTGGTGCCAATATCTTAGATAAGAATGGTTCGGCAGTGGATGCGGCGATAGCAGCGCTTCTTTGCGAAGGTGTTGCGTCCTTGCATAGGTATTGTACAATTTTCTTTACTTTTATTGTCTCCATTTCATATACTTATCTACATTAATACAATTTTATTAATTCTATATAATTCTTTTGCAAATAAAAAATATATTTAAACATATCTATATATATTGTTTTGATTTAAAGTATGGGATTGGGTGGTGGATTTCTTATGACGATATGGGATGCGAAAAATAAAACGGCAGATTATCTGGATGCGAGAGAAACCGCTCCAATGGCTGCAACGGAGGATATGTACGATGGCAATGCTCATCTAGCTATGTATGGTAAAAGATTCTATTCATATTAAAGTCGTTATCAATATTTATATGTTTACATTAAAGCTTGTAAAAATTATTGTCAATTATAAGTTAATTATAAAATTTTTCATTATTTTTTGTGCTTAACAATAAATAAATTGCGCGTTATCAAACAGGTGGACTAGCAGTTGCTGTCCCAGGTGAACTTATGGGCTATTGGGAAGCACATCAAAAATATGGAAGATTACTATGGTCTGAATTATTTGCGCCTACAATTAAATTGTGCGAGACTGGATCTCGCATCAATGATTATCTTGCTGCGTATTTAGTAGAAAAGGAGCCTATGATAAAGAATGAGAGCAGTTTGGCGAAAATACTCATAAATCCTGATACCAATAAAGTGTGGGTTGTGAGTAGAATCTATTTTATAACTTTTCATTATAACTTTTTATCTTGTATTTTTATCTTGTGCGTGACTCAAAATTCTTCCTCTGATTTTTCTGTTATCTATATTTTGTGCAGGAAAAGCTAAAACAATTTAAATATAAAAAATTTATTTTGTATTTTTAAAAAATTTATCTTGTATTTTTATCTTGTATAGAATTCAAATCTTTTCCTCTAATTCTCTTCTGATATGTTTTGTAAAGGAAAAGCTATAAAAAATAACATCTAAATTTTATATCTGTTTGTAGGCAGGTGATAGAATAAAAAGACCACAACTTGCAAAGACTCTGAAACTAATTTCGGAGTATGGTGCTGATATATTTTACAAAGGTAATATTACTGATAATTTAGTCGAGGAGATTAAAGCGTTTAACGGGATAATCACGAAACAGGATTTTGCAGCATACAGGTGAGCGTTTCTTTTAATGAGATTTCGAATATTTTCGGTTTTCAAAAATATTCAGCAAAAAATTTGCCTGCTATATCAAAAAAGATAAAAAATAATTACAAATTTATGATCATTTCTATGGAATTAAAATTTTACAAAAGAATGTAAAAAATGTGCGATAGTAGATAAACATACCGCAACGATAATAATAATGGAAATCGTGTACTTCATAAATAAAATTGCCAAAATAATTATTCGCGAGCGAAATATCTTAACTAAAATGATGAGTCCCATATATTGTAACTCAATATTAACAAATTGATTAATTAAGCATATATAAACATGCGTTAGTTAATTGAAATAATATCAAATATCATTATCTATATAGAATTAAAGCCGATAAAATTATAGAAAAACAGATGATATTGTCGATATCATAAGAATAAAAATAAATTAAATAAATTATTGCAAATGCTGAAGTTCTTCTCTCATTGATTACTTTTATTACATTCTCGCATTATTAATAAATCTGTCGACGATAGTAAATATACATGTAATTATGATTCAAGACTTTAGACGAGCATACGAGAAGGATGTTAACAGCAAAAGCGTATCGATAATAAAAATTTTTTATAGAGCCGTATGGAGAGAACCGGTCGCATTAAAAATGGGAAATCTGACAATCTATAGCGCTCCACCGCCAGGTTCTGGTGCAATCTTGATGTTTATAATGAACATCCTTCGTCGATTGCTACCGGTCAATAATGAAAATATAATGTGGCAACGTATAATAGAAACTTTCAAGTGGGCTTATGCAAGAAGAACCGAATTGGGAGATCCTGCTTTCGTCGATGGCTTAGGTGAGATTGCATAAATATGTGTATGATTATGTTGATAAATAATATTAAAATCCATCAGAGAAAAAAGGGGGAGAGAAAGAAATTAAAAAATAAAAATTATTATTATATTAATTTATTTTAAGAAATGTTAATTTATTTATAAGAAAATGTGAAAAATTATTATTATATCAATTTATTTTAATTATTGGATTGATGGATTTTAATATTATTTATCATGTTTGATAAATAATATTAAAATCTACCAGAGAGAGAGAGAGAGAGAGAGAGAGAGGGGGGGGGGGAGGGAAGAGATTAAAAATAAAAATTATTATTAATTTATTATTATAAATAGAGATAATTAGTTATTTTAGAGTAAATGTGAATGTGATCATTTCAATTAATAGAAATAGATAATTTATTTATCTCTATTAATGGAAATTACTGCATTTATATTTACTCCAAATATATTTTCATAAAAATTCAGGTATTTTATAGATAAAAACAGTTTTCTTATATAACTTTATATGTATGTTATGGAACTTAGTCGAGAATTAAAAAGGCAAATAATTTTTTGTACGTTCACGTTACTTTATACGTATTGAGTCAGCACATTTTTTTTCTCGGAAAATTGTTGCGTCAAATTATTACACTTAATAAATACTAATAAAGACTTAAATATTAGACTTGAAATAATTGCTAGATAACTATCAATAATATGTTTCGTCACGTAATATGTATTTAACAGAGTCCAGCGTTTGAAATATATTTGAATTTTTCTGCGATCTTTTTGAACTTGAACTCTATTAATCGAATAAGCGCTCAAATTGCGATGGAATTTTTATTTTGTAGACACGTTGCTCACCAATTTAACATCCGACGATTATGCGGAAATAATAAAAAAAAGGATAAAGGATGACCGTACGTCTCAAGATCCTGAGGAATATGGTGCTGTTACTGAGACAGCCGTGGATTCAGGAACTGCGCACGTTTCCGTTCTTGCTCCTGACGGCTCCGCTGTCTCCGTTACATCGACCATTAATCAGGTGTAAGTAAATTAGTTAAGCTGTATAATACTTGCAAATTAATTCATAATTAAAATGAAATATTTACATTAAATTATTTGTGCAACTGATATCATATTATTTTAATAATATTGTTTTAGATTTATAATGAAATAGAAAAATGAACAATATATTTTTATTTTAATTCTAAAAGAAAATCAGTTACTCAGTTTTTAGTATCTTTTTAATAGTAGTAAAGATGAGTGCGCAAAATGCACTTTTTTTACGCTATGGATTATAAAGATTTAACACAAAGACGTGTTAAAATTGAAAAAAAAATCGGTTAAATCGGTTCGCTTTCATATACATATACATATACGTGTACGTATATGTATACATGTACATATATATTTCTGTGTTTTCATTTTTGTCTTTCATACATTTCTGTGTCAGTTTATATCCATCTTAAAAATAGAACGATTCAGAGAGAAAATCAACAATAATCTTGCGGAATAATGCATAATATTTTATTAATTTATAAACATCTTTATTTAATAGGCTCGGTGCAATGATACGCTCAGAATCCACCGGTATAATATTTAACGACGAGATGGACGATTTTAGTTCACCCAATATAACCAACGGCTTTGGACTCCCGCCGTCACCGGCGAATTTTATCCGACCAGGCAAACGGCCGTTGAGTTCGATGTGCCCGACTATAGTGGTAAGCCATTTAGTGGCAAACGCGAGCGTTTAACAAATTTATCAAGAGCTTGAAACTCGAGAAAAAACTCATGGAAAAATGGATGCTTTTAATGCGCGTCTTTTTTTCGCACCAAGATTTATTGTAATAGTTACAATTAACAATCGTGACCATCGATTCTGAGAATCGCTCAGCTCAATGATATAATTGCAATTCGCAATGCACGCGATCATCAAGATTATTCTCCGACAGCTGTCGCTGCTCGAAATCTCGCTAATGTTCCCTCGCGCAACTTGATGGATTAAATAGAAACTCAAGTAGATTTCCTGTTTATAAGAGCTTTTCTTAAGATTTACAAGGAATAGGAATGTGTAAGAGTTATTTTAGACGTCTAACTTAAACTATTTATATAAATTATGCAATTTTTTTTAGGTCGATCAAAATAACAACGTCAGATTAGTGATAGGTGCAGCCGGTGGCACGAAAATTACAAGCAGCGTAGCGATTGGTATGGCTCTAAACCTTTGGTTTAATTACGATATAAAAGAGGCAATTGATGCACGTAGACTTCATCATCAAGTAAGTTGGACTAGTATAAGTACTTCAACGAAAAAAAGATCAATTCTCTCTCTCTCTCTCTTTCTCTCTTTTTAATGGAAAATCAAATTCATCTAATCAAGACGATTTTTAATTTCATAAAACTCAATTTTTTAATTTGTCTTTAAATAATAAACAATTAATAACAATTTGATGAATAAGTTCTCGCTATTATTTTTTTAATATTAAATATTTTAATAATTATACTTCAAAGATTATATTAAAAATAAGTTTATAAAATAGTTTAATATTTAGCTGAAATTCTTTTTTATACAATAGAATTTAGAAATGATTTATTCATAAAAAAAATCATCATTATTATTTGTTGAATATTATATTGAACATTAAATCTCCTAGCATTAGACGGAGAATATTATCATTTATCATGAGATTTATATACATATTTACGAAATATCATATATGTATATTATTAAAAGGATTTTGTTTTAAGAAAATTATTGAAAAATTACAGCTATTCCCTATGAACGTTCAAAACGAAAAAGATTTTTGTCCACCAACTTTAAATTATTTGAGGAAAATCGGACACAATGTCACCACTTTTTCTGGAATTGGCAGTGCAATCACGGCAGTATCTAAAGAAAATGGACTTATAACCGCCAATTCAGATTATCGTCGACAAGGAAGAACAGCAGGATTATAAATAAATTATTCAGTATTATTATGCGGATGGACTTTATAATACTAGAAATTTTTTGTGCTGTCATAATATTTCAATTGCTAATAGCACTTGTAAGTTATTTTATACATTAACTTTGCATTTATATTATATATTCTTTATACATAGAATCTCTATTATTTCTATGTCCCATTTAAAAAAATAGTAAAATAGTAGAAAGAATTTCTTAAAATTGATAAAGTCAATCGCAAACAGATATGTGATTAAATATTTCTTAAGAAAAAAAAAGAAAAATAACAGATTCCTATTTTTAAAGTTATATAATTTTAATTTTAGATTTATATAATTTTAAACAGATATTTCTATAGAAAGCGAAGCGAAAATTATTTTATCTATTCATTCAATATACAATTGACGATTTAATATAAGAATATTTTATATACTTTTATATTAATTATTATTTTAGTTTTCAATAAATATATATATATATATATATATATATATATATATATATTTGTGTATATTCATATATATTTATTATATATTTATATTTATATATGATAAATAATCGAATATTAATAACATTATAATATTAAAAAGAAAATATAATTTTCTTTTTAATACATTTGGCCATAAATACTTAAAAGCAATTGTATGTATTAGTATTTCTTTTTATGAGATATCTCATTTATAACTCCTTCCTTTTTCGTTACATTTGTACATACTCCATAATATTTTATATATGACTAATTATGTTGGTAAATTATTTATGTATTTTACAAATATCTAAAAGTGTCACATCCCTGATGTTCATGATCGTCAAGTCGGTATTGTAAATTGTAAACAATATTAATAATATACCTATAAGCTTTATAATGTAGGATTCTATAGCAGTAATATTATGTATCGTTAATAAAATAATTGTGTTTTTATTAATGGCATTATTATTTAATAATATATGAATTCACAAGTTAATAAATTAAAAATTTCAGATAGCATAACAATTTATAATAGCCCATACAGAAAAAAGCAAAAATAAAAAAATATTGTACATATTTTAAATATATATTTATTTTAATAAATATAAATATAGTTAATTTAAATACATATTTATTTTAATATAACTTAAAACATATAAAATATCTTAGCATTCATGCGTGCGTGCATATGTATCTTTATTATATATTTTCGTATTAAAAATTTTCAAATTCATATTAATACGTTAAGCATTATCCTTATGTATGTGCAAAATAGAAATATTTATGCGATAAATGATGACATTTCTTGTTTTTATATCTCTTCTAATAATCAACATTTCCATAATTATGCATATACGTGCAGTAGTATTTGTAAAATATATTTGTAAAATTATGTTAATAAAATTAACTTGCAGAATTTAAGTAAATCTTATGTTGTAATTAATATATATATATATATATAAAATTTAATTTCATTTTTTAAATTAGCAAATTAGAAAAAATTAAAAAAGATTATGTGGTTATAAATTATTCAGTATGATTGTACATTCAAAATAAATAATATATAAAGTAAAATACGTATATAAAGTTGATGATTTTACAAACTCAACTGTCAGATTCTTTAGGAAATAAAAAAATGAACTTATATAGATACATATTTATACATTTTCGTTTATTAATATAAATAATAAATGGACTTATGATAATTCAGACACTTTTAAATAAAAATATTGATTATATTTTTTGATAAATATATAGAGAAGTCAATTTATTTAATGCTAGTTTTAATTAATTATAAATAATGAAAATTCTTTAATATAAAAGACAAGAAGTTATGATAGTTATAATTTTCAAATAGGAAAGAAAATATTCTAAGAAAGATTTCTATGTACACATCATATATACAATATATAAAGCATTAAGAATTGTTATTAGGAATTGCCTTCAAGGTTACTGCCGCGTTAGTAATCAATATTCCTTTTGGGTTTCTACTTTAATCACTGTGCGCTGTACGTCTCGAATATAGAATATCTCTTTCCGTTAAATCAAACATGACCTTTATTAATAATATTTGCGTAATTACACCAATATTTTTTCCGCCTTCATTATTATAAAGTAGAATATAAACAAATCCAGTTTTTCATTCGTAATATAATATGTAAAGCACTCGCTATTTTATTGTGCAGCCAGCACATTTTAATCTGCTATTGTTCTTTCACAATTAAAGCAATTCAAAGAACGAACAAAATGTATTTTAAGTAAAAAATTTCTTTTATAATATTTTTTCTTCAAACAAGGCATATTTTATTTTTAAAGCGGTTAAAAAAATTATAGTTACAAATTGAAAATAGAACGAACATTATACATATATCTATTTATTTCTAAATGGACAAACAGAGATGAGTCTGTTTATTGTCACACAAGAGTGATTTCAAAAAAGTTTCATAACTATCCTGACTCATTCTACTGACATGGTGATTCATAATAATATCTCATATCAATCATTTCAATATCGTGAAACGTACATATCATACAAAATAACATGTGTTGTAAATCAGAATGATATTTTATTAAACCGTTGGATGACAAGAAGACCGGTTTTTATAAAAAAAATTTTGATTAACCATCAAATCGCATACAATTTACATATTCGATATAATTGTATCTTCCGCAATAGAATTTTCCAAGAATAGAGACATTACAAAATCAATATGTACTTTGATATGATAATATCATGAGTGAACGAAGCATAAATGGAATAACCATGACTAGAACTGACTACGTGCGCCTGGAAATTCCGATCGTGATTACGAGTATTTTTATTACAAGTCAGAAAAAGAGAAAGAGAGAGAGAGGGAGAGAGAGAGAGAGGGAGAGGGAGAGGGAGAGAGAGAGACTCCTGCCAGTGATTGATTTAAATATAAAATCTCGAGAATGATGTATGAATGAGTATGACTGTGTGATTTGCATCGGGCTCTTCTATCTTGTATGCGTGCCAAGTTTTGAGGAAATACGTCAACCGATGAAGTCAATGCGACTACAATAATTTTAAGAATGTACGATTTACGAGCATTAATTGAGATTCCTATTTGAAAATAAGATGACTTATCTGCAGAGAAAGAGAAAGAGAGAGAGATAGAGAGAAGAGAAGAGAAGGAGGAGATAGAGACAGAGAAAGGAAAGGACGAGATGGTGGACAAAGATTCTTAATTTCCGGTGCTTTGTTCTTGTGACCATGGTGGTCCGTTTCATTTCCGTTTCGTTGTGCCGAGGTAAACGAAATGAAGGAAGAAAAAAAGGAATCAAACACATTATGAGAAGCGACCACTGCGAGTTCCGATTAAAGCATGATATTTTCACGCGTATTTGTGAAAAAATTGTCGAGTTATTTATTATAAATATTTCTAATAAAAACTGATGATTAATCTTTAAACATATAGTGATGTTCATTTTTAAATGTTAGTACTAACGAAATGACAGCTTTAATTCTTTTTAAAAATACTGCATTATTTAAATGGAAAGTTTTTAAATATTGCTTTATATTTTACTGTTATCTTTATACATGGAAGAATTTTATGTATAGAAGGAAATTTTGTTTGGTTTCAAACATCTTATTAGTCACAAGACTTGATGATTATAAATTTTTGCTTTAAATACGTGATTTGTTTTATGAACTTGAAAACTGGTTTGCTGATCAAGATTTAAATAGAAGGATCATAATCTTTCATTTACTATTTTTATACAAGTTAAATAATGAAATTATTAATGTTATAAATATCTTGAGAGCTTGGTTTGCTAGTTAGGATTTAAATAAAAAGATTATAGTCTCTCATTTATTTTTATTTATCTATTTTTACGCAAGTTAAATAATGATTAATTATTAAAGCTAACTTTGCGTTATTAAAGCTAACTTTGCGTTGATGACTAACTGTAATTTGTTTTTAATAATCTTATCTTATAAAAATATAAAAAGTTTTGATAAAAATTAAACATGAATATTACGATTAATATAAAATCTAATTTATTTAATCTTCATATAATACTCATATTACATGAGCATTTTATAATCTATATTAATTAAAAAATAATACATTTTTAAGAAACAGAAAGAGACAAAAAAAGAGATTAAAGTTAGAGATTTCTATATTTATGTTTCTATAAATAGAATATTATTTAATCTCTGCAAACAAACATATATGTACATTTTTAGATGTGACATCTTTGAAAGAATCCAGGATAAAGAAATCCGCATATATAATCACACACACACATATTTATATAAAATATATAAAATACATATATAAAATATATATAAAACACATATAATAAAAACATATATAAAATATATGTGTGTGATTATATATGCGGATTTCTTTATCCTGGATGGACTCTTAAAGATGTTTAATAAAACATCTAATAAAAATATATATGTTTGTTTAGAGAGATTAAATAATATTCTATTTATAGAAACATAAATAGAAACATAAATAGAAACATAAATAGAAATTTCTAACTTTAATCTCTTTTTTTATTATCTTACATGATTTCATATAAATAGGAAAAATAATACGAAAATTCTTCTTTCTTTCTACATTTCTTTCAATGTTTTTTTCTAAAAAAAATGTAAAAATTATTCCTTCAATCATATTCAAATTATTTTTATTAATTTTTTTATACATGAAACAAGAAAATGGAAACATATATAGACATATTTTCTATAATTCTATATATAATTCTGTATATTTATATATGATTATATATGATTATACATGATTTATATATGATTATATTTATGTATAAATATCTTATTCTCGGATGATTTATACTATATGCTATCATTCTTTCTAATTTTAATTACATTTTTGTATATTTCTATGCAAAAAAATGATTTTCCTAATGTATTTTATAAATTATTAATTTCACTAAATGTTTTAAAAAATATTAATTTTTCTAAAGAAAAATTTTTAATAATAATGATAAATGATGTGCGTGGATGATCCGCGCGGACTTTGACTCTGTTTTGTTGTCCCCTTCCTAAGCGATAAAGTCTACATAAGTAGGGGTTTGATGTACGCATCGACAAGCATTGTGCTCGCAGGTAACAGTTGTCAGTCGAGAGTCAGAGCTAAGTCTGATTGGAGGTACTGCTGGCAAGGTTCTCTGAGTAAGCAAACGAAACAATACTTTCACCGGGATGCTGAGGGAAACGGCTCTCGTTTTCGCGGCGTTCGTCGTGTTCGCCGGTGCAACCACAGTTAATCAATGTGATACTGGTAAAATGCGATATTTTGATATATAAAAACACACAAGTTAGTCTATCAAATCTTTTTCTTTAACAATTTTTCATATATTATATTTAAAACATAAATTTTCATATCGTAATGTTATTTCTGTTTTTTAAATTTTTTGAGACAATTTTGCTTTTATACATCATCTAAAATATAATCAGACGTATATAACGCGATAATAAATGAAAACTTGTTAGAAAATAATTAAATGATCAATAGTGAAACTATTACTTCAAACGTGCAAGAGAAACTTTTCTTTGTGAATTTCGCGGTTAAAGTATTTCATATTAATAAAATTTTCGTGGGAATAAATATGAATTTGCAAAAAGCCGATTGTGTTATTAAAACGGTTATACATCTCAAGATGTCGATTAAAAATTACATAGCTCTTATCAATAAATATCAGAGCATCTTCGTGAAACTTTCTCGATGTTACGTTGCGGTGAAATTTTATTATATAATATTCCTAAAATTTTGTCAAAATTTACCAACGCATTTTATAATTATAAAAATGCTTTACCAATATAAATATGTAAATATTTTCGTTATAGTTTAAATTATAATTTGCCCTTCTCACACTGTATATAAGTACAGGTTCAAAAGAAATTATAAACATGCTCTATTTATAAAGTAAGAAAAGGTTTAACGATAAAATAAGTTTCGATTTACGACTAATGATTAATAAACAATATTTATCAAAATTGAGAAATACAGAAACAAAAAAATAACATAAATGATGAAATCGATAAAAATGTAAACATATAAATTATAAAAATAATATAGTTAGAAAAAAGCACATGTATCTTTATTTAAGACTTAGAGTATACTTATTATTATTATTTAACGTTTATCTAGAAAAAAATATAATTATATATAATTATATATAATTTTATTATAATATAATTATATATAATTCTTTTCTTTCCGAATAATTATTTACATTACATTTTATCTTCGAGCGTGATATCAATTAATAATATTTCAAAATAATATTTCTTTTCATATTTAATATTTTGTTTGAATGTTAGTCTTTTTTATGTTCAATGTTTTCTCTTGAATATAAGAATAACAGCTTTGACCTATCATATTAAAATTTCTTTTAGCAATACAATTCATAAAAATACATTGCGAAAGTTTGCAAAAACATTCTAGGAACATTCTATAAAGAATGCAGAACCCATCACGCAATATGATTTTCAAAAAATATTATAATTTTTTTTTGCTATAAATTTTCTCGAGATTGCATCAACGGAAATAATGTCTATATAATTGTACGACAAATTGCTCAAGCAGAAATTTCCTTTAGAAATTATTAGATGACGAGACCACCGAGGTAAATTATCACGCGAGTCGAGCGAGTGAGCATCGAGCGATTATGTTGAAGATTGTCTCTCGTGCCATGATGTATTCTATAATTAGTGTTCTCTAATTTTATCAATCCATGATGCACTTAATGACTGCTAATTATCGAAGCCACTATGCGAACGAGGCAACGAGCTTTAATATTGTTATTAATACCCGTGTAATTACTTGTGAGAAACATAATTGACACGCGGTGAAAGTGACGCGCGGAATACTAACGTGAGCGTTAATTTATGACATGTTACATCATTAGAATTTCAATATTATATTAACATTAAAAATTTTAATATTTTATTCGTATAAATTTTCAAGTGATAATATTTTTCGTCGATATATCTGATGACGAAAACAAGAAAAACAGCGTAAAAGCGTATATATGCATAAGGTATATAAATCTATTAATATCGATTATCGACTGACCGATTTATGAATACCGTTAATTTAGTTGGAGATTCTTAGCCATATAAAAACTTCATAATATTTGTGCTAATAGTTGGAATATTACGTACATTTTTAATGTATTCGTGCTACTAACGCGTTCACTTTATTACGTGCACGTTTTGTAAAAACGTATATTATTTTTTATTGGTTTTTTATTAAACGAAGTTTTTATGAACCATATTTGGTTTTTATTAAATTTATCGTATATGCTTTTAATATGAATTTAAAAAAATTGTTTTAACGTGAAAATTATCAGTTTATTATCATGCAATAATTATAAAATATATATTATAAAAATTATATTTAAAAAATTCAAAATTATAAATACTATATTTTAAAAATTTTATTATAAAAATTATGTTAAAAAATAAACATTCAACAAATATTTATTGAATTGATATATTCATGTTTTATTGATTTATTCATGTTTTCTAGAATCGTGTTTTCTTGCGAGTAATATTTAACTATTTAAGTATTGGCCTTCAGTTGCAGACATAATCGTAAAAAACAAGTACACATTGTCTTTTAATGTATTTGTTCATCATTCTTTTCCAACTAAAGATTTGCAAAAAATTACAAGTATCAACTACGTAACTTCGTTTTTATGTTTTGACATCATGGTTTTTGTGAAATTAAACTTATCTACTAATTTTATAAAGATGATTTATAAAAATTCTTTCTATTGTTCAATAAATTTTTCAAAATGCATATAGTTAATCATTAAATTAGAATTAATTGTTTATGAAATTTAATAAGTATCCCCTTAGATTAATAGATTTTACGAAAGAAGTAATAAGAGAGACGTGTTATTTAAGAATATTCAAATTGATTGCTTTCTCTCGTTCTTGTTATTGATTCTGTACTGACTTTGAATCTCTCGATGAAGGAGATCAAGCATTCCAAGGTAGTCTACATTCAAGCTGCAAAAAATTCTTATTGATGTTTGGACTCTTATTATTTTGTAAATATATACATATGCATATTTTTTTAACGCGCTTCTATTTTAATTTCTGTCTTATATTTTTAGACGAATAAAAAAATAATATACATGTTATATGCTAAATATAAATAATGTATGTATAATAAAATAATGTAAATTTATATGTATGTCGTTATGCAACAAAATGTAGCAGATATTAAAATAATAAAGTTATAATATTTCATTTATCTATAGTAATATAATTTTTTATTGTTGCAGAAATTCCGTTCGAGGATTCTTCGCAAATCAGCGTGGCCGATTGCGATAAACCGACATGCATATTGAAACAGGGAACGACCGCTAAGATAGAGATCAAACTGGTGCCCAACAGAGACATTGAAAGTTTGTTCAATGAAGTGAGCGGGATTCTTTTCAATGTACCTGTGCCCTTCATAGGAGTTGACGGAACGGATGCCTGCGAAAATATTTACAACACCGATGGTAGCAAAGCTGGGTGTCCGTTAAAAAAAGGCGTCGAATACGTGTACAAGAACAGCTTCCCCGTATTGACGTTTTATCCTAGGGTAATTTTACATACTTCTTTATTTATATAGTTTAAGAGAAGAAAAACTGTATATGCATGCGTTTACATTTACATTAATAATCAAAGATAATGATAAGCAAGTAAAATCGCGAAGTCATTTAATGTTCGATTATAAGCTACTCCTTTAATTATGCGTCGTTTTATCAGTTAATTTGTCATGTTGCGATAAATGATTATTATAATACGATATTTACAGGTTGCATTGGTCGTGCATTATGCATTGCGAGAAGGAAATGACAGACTTATATGCTTCGAGATACCAGCAAAAATTACAAAATAAACTGTCTCGTTGCTGGTTTCGACAAACTATAATTAAAAGTCACATGTGTGCATGATGGCCACTCGACTCGAGCTTATATAATTTAATTTACTGATGATGCAACATAGCATGCAAAATAATCCATTCAATGTAAAGTATGTTATGCTGTGATGTGTATATAAAAAAACATTTTTAAAATAAAATAATTACTTATATATATTTTGTCAAAGCGATTATTCCGCTAATTTCAATTTCCTTTCCGTTTAATTTTCAGGGTTTTTTAAAAAATAAAATTATTGCCAAAGATTAATATGCGAGCATAATGCAATTCATAGATATAAAATTATATATAGATTATATATTAATCAAAATAATTATAAAATAATTATTGTTCATACTAGAAATTAATATAATCATAACATAATTTAGTTAAAATTATAGATCGAAACATTGATTTTTATTTCCATTTATTTTGTTTAAAATTAAGGATTAAATATTTATCATCTATTATAAGTAAGTAGCTAGCTAATCGTGTAAGTGTCACTAATAACCGTGTAAGTCACTAATATACTTAAATTTCTTTAATAACATTATTTAAATATTTTTATAAATATTTTTATAAATATATTTATATGCTACACTTTTATTTAAAATTATGATAGAATCAAATTAACTTTTAATTTTTTATTTATTTTTAATTAATTTTTAATTTTTTAATTTTTATTATAATTTTTTACATAATTATTTGTAATTAAATTAATTTGTAATTAAATAGTATAATAAGTGATTATAAATATATGATAATTAATTAATTGCTGTATTTAGCAATTAAGAAAACAAAGAAGAGCTATTAAAATAAAAAATATTAAAAATTCTAAAAATTGTAAGGTATATTCGCGTTGCTTACACTTTTAACCTATCTTTCTCTTTCTCTGTCATTCAAATATATATTTATCTTAAATGCAAAAATTTTTAGGGAAAGCAACACGAACAGATCTATTATATTGTATTACAATATATTGTATTGAATATTATCGATAGGACTCGAAGATAATTAAAAAATTAGAGAACTTGACATGTCTGATCGTCGGTAATATCGGACTAACAATCATATATCGACTGAAGTTTATGCTCCAGAAATATGTATAGAATGTAATATATTTAATATTTTATTTTAAAAATTAATATTTAATATTGTATATAATAATTTCGGAATAAATATTAGATATATTTAATGAAAAAGTATCCATACATAGAATGTAAAAAGTATACACATACACACGCATGTAGCAAATAATTAAATAATTATAACAAGTATCATAATTTTCGAAAAAATATTATTTTTAAAAAGATATTTATGAAAGAGTAAAAAGATAATAGTTTCAAACACACACGTATATAGAAATTTAATATTAATTATTAACCCAAATATAAAATTGCGTATGTATACGTACAAAGATAATGCAAAAGCACTATATTTTTAATGTAATAAGAATGCAAAAAAATAATATATCTTCAATAAAATATACATACCTGCGACGACGCACAAACTGCTGTACATGTGACGGAGAAATAGCTGCGAAGATACTCTTTCGCATGCAGAAGACGCTAAATGTTGGCGCGATTTAATACGTTACGATGAACATATACGACACACTTCACGCGACGAACATAAACGACACATTTCACGCGAGACGGCGAGACACTCATGTCTTCTCGATACGTCGCGTGACCGTGGAATGTGAATGTACGTTCGCGATTCTCGAAGTATGAAAACAAAGTCGCGTAATCGTCATGTAAATACGTTCGGACCGTTCTGTGTTTTTGTCGCGCAATTGTGTCAGTCGCGCGCGCGAAAAAAGTGTCGGAGGCATCTCACGTAATGGAAGGTATACATACGTCGTTATTATCGCGTATCGATTCGCTTTTACGTGATTGAAAACGAACCGAGATTCCTCTCGCATATTTCCGCGCCGGTGCTCAACATCATCGCTATATCATAATTAGTTGCATCGATTAAATCTGTTGTGATAATCTACTTGTATATTCGAATACATTTCTTTAATATTTATTCCAAAGAATTTCGAATTTTATGTTAAATGATATACTTCCGTGTGCTCTAATAATTGCATTTTTTCTATTTATTTGTGTCTTTTTCTATACATGTCAAAAATATATTTGCATTTCATATCAAGTATAAGGCCAATATTACATTTGTCGTACGACAAATTTTTTAAACATATTAATTGGCTGCAGAATAGAAAGTTTCTGAAGAATAAAAAAATTATTATCCCGCAGTCAATCAATATGCTTAAAAAATTTGTCGTACGACAAATGTAACATTAACATAAAAAGTGAATAGAATCTGCAATTTGTATAATTCTTAGACTCCGTACATGTCAAAGAATCTAGGAATATATTGGCCAATCAAAAATAACTAGCGTTCACGACGATGGGTGAGAAGTCATCGCTAATTGCACATATCTATGCCCTTCGGTCACTTCGAGCACTGACACGTATGTCTATATAATTTCCATAGTTCGAGGATCGCCATATTGGAATAAGTTGGTTACGGAACGCGGTAAATTATCGGGTCGTATTCAAGTCGTTTCGTGTTTCTCGCGATTATTACCGTATAAAGAAGTGTCGTGCGAGTGTCAAGTGTTCAAGTGTAATGTAATATGAACGTGTATCGGATGTAAACGTGTAACGGATATTGCGATTTCGATCTCGACGATCGGCTTCTTCGCGTCGCGCTTGCCTTGGAATCCTCTTCGTATATTTTGAATATTTCTTCGGCCAGGTATGTACATACATAAGTATGCGCATATCATTGTCGTATATAATTAAGTGCACAGATATTAATTTTTGTATTTTCCATTGCTAAAAATGATATTTTTGAATCGCCGCTGGCAATTTATGTTCGCTTTAATGAACAGCGTGGAAAATAAATCTTTATATTTTCAAGTCCGAAGCTATCTCCATTATTTTTCATTTCTGTAACCAAAAAGTGTAATATTTCCTGGAATCATAATACCTTCTCATTTATTTCTCTTACATCGCTTTTATCAATTTATATTTCACGGCTATACTTTAATTAGTATAATGTATTCATTGTGTATTAAATTTAAATATATATATTTTTCTCTCTCTATAGATAAACCTGCCGCATCCCGATACACACATACATTATTGCAATGTTATCAACCGTAACTATATTCGCAGGTATGTGTGCATGTATAATAATCACAGTCCAATGGTGGGAGTCGCGCGAGAAATTTGCACATATGAATATTAAAAATTGTCGAAAAATGAAAAAAATAACTTGCAAATGAAGTTATAACTCGACAAAGAATGATTCTGAAATCCTTGTATATACACAATCCTTCTCATCTCGCCAAAAAGAATGATTGAGGAAGGCTTCTCTGCGCTTCTCTCATCAAACGGTCTAAAATATTTTATAGGGAAAAATATTTATATGAGATATGATTTGAAAGAAAATTGTGCAATATAAAGAAGTTTCACACAGAAATAGGAGTGTATGGTGTATGCGTGCATGAAACACGTACTTTGTCAAAAGGCAGATATATTTGTATGTTCTAAAATAATTTTGTTGCGAGAATATTAAAAAAAATATGTTGCAAATTTCTGTTTCTTAACAAACTTAGTCATAAATATATGTAAAAATATATTAAGAGGCAATTACGCGACACGAGCGCAATAAATCCAACCGTGGACGTTTCTCTTATGGTTTATCGCGTGTGTCATATCGCTTTTCACAGACATAATTTATAACGTTCGATAACGTACGAGATCGATACTATCGTTGCATTTCAATTGGCGGGAATATGAGTAATAATTGCAAGTACGCACAGGCCACTGTAATCCTTTAATTACAATATTTTTACAAGATCCATGAGATTAATTTATTTTTATGACATTCTGAGTGACACATTGCTGATGAATATATTATATATATGCGATTATTTTAAATATATATATATATATATATAACACTGAAATATTACAAAATATTAAAAATACAAAAATATACTTTAAAATTGATATTTTACATGATAATATTTTTAATAACAATTACATTATTATTATCATTATTAATCCTTAAAGATCATATATGATTTATTTTGATTCTATTGATATTTTAATAATAGAATATCCTGAATATCTTAATCGATAAAAAAATTTATTTAACTTTTGTTATATATGCTCATTTTCTATAGATATCAAGACTACAAATATCAAATATAAGTTTTTGTATAGGTTTTTTTTAAACATTTTTAAATAATTAAAATTGCGACAAGACATTGTGACTTACATGTGATCAGAGAGCGCAGCAAAAAACTGTGTGAGACTATACAAGCGTTAATATACTAATTATATACATATATTAATAATTTGTATACACATGCTTTATAATTTATACATATTAATAATATCATATTAATAAGCATACCAATAAGATATTAATTTATTATTATAATTAATTAATAATATTATATACATGTATAAATAATTAATGTATTATTAATTATATTAAACATATTATGAAAATTAATTTTCATGCAAATTTCTTGCATGATAAAAATGTAAAGTAAAAATATTACATATATTATTATTTAGTAAATAAATTTAATTAATAGCTGCGGAGAAAATAGAAAATTCATTTCAATTTAAGCACGCAACTTCTGTATGAAACAAATAGAAAATTGCTAAAAATGTTAATTATTTTAATTAACATTTTTAGCAATTTTCTATTTGTTTCATACAGAAGTTACGTGCTTAAATTGAAATGAAAAATTTTCTTGTGAACATGTAACTATACTGTGATAATCTATATAATGTTTTGTCTACTCATATATAGATTTGATCTTAGATTTTCGCTTACTCACAGTGGTTCATTAATCTTTACTGCTTTTGAGGAAAATCAAGATATTTCACTGCATAAACTACTATGTAAAATTCATTATGTGATGAAATATTGGCAAGATGTTTAAGCATATATCAGCTAAATCTGTACGAATCGTATCTCGTGAAAAAAATATCTTTTAAAGTTGTTGTCGATGTATAGTTGCTAATATCTTATGTTCGGCAAATTATTAATAACTCAATCAACTCGTAACGATTGCTTCGTATCTTTTTCTTTTTAGAGTTTCCGATTTTGTTAAAATTCACAAGAATCATTCAATCGAGAATCACTTTGATATGCATTATTATAGACAATTAAAGATCGTCTAAAGGTCGTCTATATTAAGATACACGATAGTAAATAGTGCAGACAACAATATTTGATAGCAGAACATAGCTTAACTGTAATTGCATATATCTCGGAACGTTACATTTGTATCGCATAACGTAATCGATAGCGGATGAAATCAATATCCAAGTATCAAGTAAATATCATCGGATATAAATTCATTTCTCAAATATACCGATTGAAATATTAAATTCATTGATGATAATTAAGTGCCGTTATATTAAACACAATATTACATATTAATAAATAATTGATATTGTATTAATACACGTCTGTACTCTTGATTAATGATATTTCATGATACAATTATTCCGAAACGAATCGATAAAGTTAATTTGAAATTGATTCTTTCAAATCGTTTTCAGCGGTTGATTATTTTTAATTTTCAGATGCTATTACAAACATTTGATTCAAATATGCGCCGTTTCTTCTCTTTTTAATTTGCATTCGTTTTGACGCGACAAATGCTGCAATCGACGAATCGTGGAAAAAATTCATCTTTTTTTTATTTAGAAAAATTGACTCGATACCTAGATTCGGCTATAAAGATTAAAGCAGCTTTATTGTTAGTATAATGTCATTTCTATCTCGCGCTGCGCTTTGCATCAGTTTTATAGCGCGTCCGCATATTCCGTCAATTTATCTCGCCTCGTTTCCGTCAAATACGCAACAAATAAGCAGTATTCAAGGGAGATTTCTGCTGGATTGTGAGGTATCGGACGATCGTTGACGCCGACATGCCGATTATTACGCAGTTAACCCGCGCCGATCGTAATCCCACGCTTTTAACTTCTGTCGCGTATCTGTCTCGTAATGGGACGTCCAATCATCGAAACTGTCGAGCGATCGTTAGAACAGTGTTAGAAAGGTACGCAATAACGTTCGGCTGTTTCGTTTAACGATATTCGATCCGCGGTTTTAGTACGCGTAGCATGATCCGTGACTTTTATTTCGCGTTTCGCGAGCGAAGGGCAGCAAAACCGCTCCGGGACGCTTTTTCTTTTTTTTTTTAATTTGCTTGTTAATTGCGCGCGTAAAGTAATCGAGCATTGCCTATACAACCGAATGAATTGTCAGTCGACTGCGTAGTCAGTCGACTATACGCAGGATACGGGGCAATTCATTGTTTTGTTTATGGTGCGCGGTCAGTCGAACAGCGCGCACGGTGCCGTTATTTGTTTACTCGGTATCGAAGATAAATCATATTTTTCGGATTCTTCTATGTATTGTTGCTCATTGTTAAATGTAATATCAAAGGTACGCTAATATTATTTTTTTTCATTTAATTCTAGTCGACGAAAAGTGAAGAGAGAACAAGACGTAATCTCAAACTCTGGAACTGACTCTCGAAAAGGGAAGTGGCAACGACTGGTGAGTAAATTTATATCTCTTTCTCTGTGTCATTATTAATTGCGCTTTTATAAACGTCGCA